GCCAGAGGTGATATACCTACATTGAGAAAGAACCGGCCGGTCATAATGTACCCACACACAAAACAAACCGGCCGGCCATGACATAGTTTCACTACACATTGACCGGCCAGGCATAGCATGCCTATATTAGAAATGAACCGGCCGGTCATATGGAGCCTGAATATCAATTGCTCCCACCATCCTGGAAACATATTCATTGATGCACTGAGTTTTCTGGACCATAAATGCACTGGACCCAGGTTTTTTGGGCTTTGAATACATTTTTAGCATCCCCATAGATGCTCCCAATTTTCCAGGCACATGCAAACCATTCCAGAGCTTTAGAATCATCAAAATTGAGCTTTCTGGGCTGAAAATAGACCAAAACCAGCCTTTCTGGGCTGGAAATGCATCAGAACACATTTATTGAGCCTCCCAATCCACATTTACAACAGCTCTGAGCCTTATACACCAAGTCCGAGTATTTTACACAATTGCCGAGATTCCACAAAGTCCCGGCACCGAGGATGCACCAAGTCCCGGCGCCGGGGGTGCACCAAGTTGCGGCGCCGCAAGTGCTCCAAGTTGTGGCGCCGCAGGTGCACCAAGCCTCGGCGCCGCACCGTCTCGTTAAGCGCCGAGAAACATCGCTCGGCGCCGCGACTTGGTGCATCCTCGGCGCCGAGTTGTGCTAAACCTGAGGAATAATGGAGTTTCTAACAATGATCACAAAAAGATTACTGATGTTTGTTACACCAATGACCTTTTGTAGCTCATCTTATAGGGAATGTTAGGTTCATTAGGAAATCTCCTAATGACACTACAAAGGTTTGTATGTGGTTACTTATAAAAAGTGATGTTTGTGTCTCATTGTGTAGGGAATGGTCTGTTGATAAGTAAATCTTCTATTGACGCTTCAAGGATTTCCAATGGTCAGGCCGGTACAGCTGCTTTTCTTGTCTGGCTGGTAAGTAAACTTACTGATGACACTACAGTATATTGCATTCAATTTGTACATTTGTAGCTCATCTTATAGGAAATGTTAGGTTCATTAGTAAATCTTCTAATGACATTACAAGGGTTTGTATGTGGTTACTTATAAAAAGTGAGGTTTATATTTCATTGTGTAGGGAATAGTCTATTGATAAGTAAATCTTCTATTGACACTTCAAGGATTTTCAATGCTTAGGCCAGTACAGCAGCTTTTCTTGTTCAGCCAGTAAGTAAGCTTATTGATAGCACTACACATATTTGTATCTCATCTTGTGGGGAACATTAGGTTGATAAGCAACTATTATGATGAGACTACAAGGATGTGTACATCTCATGCTGTTGTTATTGTACAGTAGACAGAACACTACATTACAAATGTGTAGTACTATGACAACTTCTGGCTGATCTAGCGCCCACACTAAAGTTGGTAGCACTTACAGCTTGGAAGATTAAGCTATGAGATTTGGCATATGTGCTGCTGGCTGTATGAACATACATTATAGCCACTAACCTAATGTGGGCAAAGAATACTGCCATGGTGAGGAGAGTAAGAAGGGAGCAGGGACATGCACAATTAGTGATATGTCTCTGAAGTGATAAGTTGTTGCCTTTATGTACAACTTTTGTGCCAACATGTGTCCAGATGAACAAGTACATTCATCAAGTCATGTATGGATGGGTTGCTGATACATGTTTCATTTATCCTCATACATTCTGCTATGATCATGATGGCCACACCCTACATATATATCTGTATGTAGAAACCAATCCCAGATGAATATGAGACATTCTATAGAATTAACACATGTGGTCCTAGGTACATTGCTCTGCTACAGCCTACATTTGGAACTCACTGACTTTTCTGTAAATGCTAGACAGTTCAACCTTGATGCAGGGTTGTAACTATGATGTATTCTTTTGTGATAATCAACCTCTTGTTCCTACAGTGTTCCCTTGTCTTAATTTCATTATGTACTAATTAAATACAACACACTGTAGTGTCATTAGTGAGTTTACTTACCAGCCGGAACAGGAAAAGCAGCTGTACCGGCCTAACCGTTGAAAATCCTTGAAGTGTCAATAGAAGATTTACTTATCAACAGACCATTCCCTACACAATGAGACACAAACATCACTTTTTATAAGTAACCACATACAAACCTTTGTAGTGTCATTAGGAGATTTCCTAATGAACCTAACATTCCCTATAAGATGAGCTACAAAAGGTCATTGGTGTAACAAACATCAGTAATCTTTTTGTGATCATTGTTAGAAACTCCATTATTCCTCAGGTTTAGCACAACTCGGCGCCGAGGATGCACCAAGTCGCGGCGCCGAGCGATGTTTCTCGGCGCTTAACGAGACGGTGCGGCGCCGAGGCTTGGTGCACCTGCGGCGCCACAACTTGGAGCACTTGCGGCGCCGCAACTTGGTGCACCCCCGGCGCCGGGACTTGGTGCATCCTCGGCGCCGGGACTTTGTGGAATCTCGGCGATTGTGCAAAACACTCGGACCTTGTGCAGAATGCTCAGACCTGTTGTAAATATGATTTAGGGAGCTAAAGACATGTGCAAGAATAGCCTTTGAAGCAATTCCAGCCTGAAAAACCTGGATCTGGTCTGTTTCCAGGCTAGAAAGCTCATTTATGGTGCTTTTGAAGCATGGGCATGGTTTGTATGTACCTAATAAAATTGGGAGCATGTAAGGGAATGTTTGTCAATGTATTCCAAGCCCAAAAAACCTAGGTCCAGTGTGTTTATGGTCCATAAACCTCAGTGCATCTTTGAATATGTGTTCTGGCATGTTTGGCACAATTATCATTCAGATTCCATATGATCGGCCGGTTCGTTTCTAATGTAGGTTTGTTATGACCGTCCGGCCCATGTGTAGTGTAAGTATGTCATGCCTGGCCAGTCTGTTTTTGGTGTAGGTAGACTATGACCGGCCGGTCCTTTTGCAATGCAGGTATATGACCTCCGGCCGGTATGTTATAAATGTAGGTACATGAACTCCGGCTGGTGCATTATAAGTCAAGGTATATGAGCTCTGGGTGGTGCATTGATAATGTGAATGTATGAGCTCCGGCCGGTGCATCCATGATGTGGGTATATGAGCTCCGGCCGGTCTGTTATAAATGTAGTTGCCTGATCTCCGGCCGGTCCATTTACAACCATAGAATAAATTCCGGACCATTGTTCAGTAACACTTGTTGATTTTCCCTGTCATTGGCCGGTCCGTTCAAAACAAGACCGGCCAGTCTGCTAACAATGGGCACCTCAGGTACCGGCCGGTGGTTTTGCAACCTCCGGACACATTTCTCCGGCCGGCGTCGGGTTTCCGTTGACGACGGGGAATATGCAGCCCGGGTGTACCGTTAGGAACGTAAAAGTACACTCATTGGGCTCAATGACTTACAATCTTGATCACATGTTGATCAGCGGCATAGTTGACGTTGAGTGTCTTACAAGCCTCGCCCCAGCAAATCTGGGCCCATTCTTCTTCAAGCAAGTCGGTCGGAAACGCGTTGATAGTAGACACTCGGCATCTGTACAATGAATTAGCGATATTGAGAAGAGCCTTCACGTCGGCATTGTAGTCCTTGACACGCGGACCATGTTTAGATGGAGTGCCAATGACCTCTGGACAAGATATATCTTCGTACAAAGGGAACTCTTAAGATCAGCATCTCACAGACGTTGATATACAGCAAGAAGATGGCTTACCGCCGTTCATGGAGCTTCCTTCGTCCCCACTTCCTTCGTCATCCTCCTTATCCTCTAGCACTTCGCGCTGCTGCTCCTGGTCGTCATCATCAACATCGTCATGTGGAGAGACACCCTGATGCGGAGGAGGACTACTGGAATGTGGCGAAGATGGCACACGTTCGACAGGCTGGTCATCATCTTGCTGACTAAAGTATTCCTCGTCGTCTTGAAAGTCTGCAGCGTCGTAGACGTATGGATTCACATGATGCTTGTTGCCGGACTGATCATCGTCGTATTCCAGATCGTTGTAGAAACCGTTACCAATGTCGCTTCCCTTGTCGTTGTCTCGGCCCAGTGGTTCGGGACTGTCGGCTTTGGGCCCACGGCGGCGATGATCCTCGGGCGCCATTTCTTCGTCATCACTTAGAGGCGGAACACGTCCAGCGTTGCCAGGACGTCCTGAAGATATCAAACAATCAGTATTGTTCGACATCTTACTAGTATTGGATTGACTCTGAGGTTCACCGGTGGAGCGGCTCTGCGTCGTGTTGGAGCCAGAGAAGACCTGTCTTGCCGTGGAAGCAACTTGAACATTGCGTTGATCTGACAAACATCTGTGAGTTTTGATCAAGCCATGCATGGAAAGAGCTGACCTTGTCGTTGTTCTGACTGATTTGCGGTTCCGTAGCGCTTGAGAGTTGCTGGCGGTGGTGTTCCCGAGCGCCTTGCTATCAATCTTGAAGGCAGCGATGACGATGACTCGGAGTGTCTTGCCACAGCCTGAGGCCTTGAAGGCGGTGGCTGCTTGGAGTGTTGTGGTACAGACAACCTTACAGTAGGTGGTGGTAGTGGCGCCGGCGCCGAAGGCTCAGAGTGTCGAGCACTCTGCTGAGCCTGAGTCACTTTGTGCAGGACCTTTTCTTTACGCTTGATAAGGTTCTTGAACGGCACATTGTTAGGTTTCGCGCTTGTGACACTCTGCGTAGTGAACTTATGCGGTGATTGAGTAACCTGACGAGTCAATTTGTGGAAGACTGGCACGCACCGTTGATGTCGAGTTGCCGTTGTTACCACTGTGCGATGTACGAGGCTTCTTACCTGGCTTAGCACCAGATGCCCTATTCTCAGAACTCTCGTCTGCAGGCCGCTTCTGTCCCTTACGGCTCTGCGCCGCCTCTTGGTCTTTGTCTGTGCAGTCAAAATTGATTGATAGACAAGCTTAAAGGAAGACTCAGGAAAACGTACCGAGTTGGCGCTGTTTCGCAGATGGATGGCGTTCACGTCTTGGAGGTTCATCCGGCGCACTGTTTGACTGTTGCCTAGACCTCTGGGACATTGCAAGAGGAAGTGAGCGTTGTAAATGAATGGAATGGACAGGTAAGGGATGATACCATGCACTGGCAACGTCTGTCAGGCTTCAGTGAAGTTGGGACGTGGCAGAATAGGCACACGACTCGTCGGCAACTTATTGGCTGGGGTCCTGGTTGGGGTCCTAGTCATGTGGATGGACGTGAATACTGGCCTGGATGCTGACAAATAACGGCAATTGTGAATGTCAGCCCGATCGTGTGCAGGTTTCCAAACGTACAGGTCGCACCCAGTAGCCCAACACTAGCTGACTGTAACTCTTGCCACTCAGCCTTCTGGATCCCTAGATGCCTCGCTGTGGTTACTGCAAACGTCAGGTGCCTACAACAAAAGGTGTTCGAGTTCATGTCCGGAACTCACCACCATGCCGCCTCAAATGGGAACGTCAACTCGCCCGAGTCGTGCAGGCAATCGCGTCTTCTCAGAACATCGCTGCTGTTGCTGCTGTTGCCGCAGCATCCTATACGGCGAGCTCTGCCAGTGCACACGACGATGTTGCTCGCACACAACCTGACGACGTCGATGACCCAATGGATGGAGGCCAATCTGAGTCATCGCACCAGACACAAGTCGAGGACGTACCAGAGGTCGAGGAAGACGCCCGCTGATACGTCGAGTGTTACCCCGGCGTCGTCGCAACGATCATCCGGGAGGATAACACGCTCTTCGAACAATGGTGCGCGATGCGTGCTGAAGCTGGGGTTGACGAGTGGGCGCCGTTCAAGGATGAGGAAGAGTGGGAGTTGTTCCGGTGGCTGATCAAGCACGTTGGTCAGACCAAAATTGACGAGTTCCTTAAACTGTTGATTGTACGCACCATGCCTCTTTTCTCCATCGTTTTCGAGCACATTGACGAACTTGAACCTTTCTGTAGATACGAAGGAACTGTGGCTTGTCGGCCGACAGCAAGTACAAGTTCTTTCAGCAGATTGACGACCTACCTACTGGAGTCCCGTGGCACTGCGACATGATTTCTGTTCAAGGTGATCGTATGGGCGATGATGGGAAGTTCATGCAGGAACAGCTCGAGCTGTGGCGGCGCGAACCTATTGAATGCGTAGAGGAGCTGATTGGGAACCCTATATTCGACGGAAGTATTGCCTATGGACCAGAGAGAGTTTATACAGAGGAGGCAGCTACCATACGGCGGTACGACGAGATGTGGACAGCCGATTGGTGGTGGAATATGCAGGTACGTCCGCATGACGTTGCGATCACCCGACCTGTCTGAGAAGACTCAATGATGTTGCTCCCATAGGGGAAGTTGCCAGAGGGTGCAACAATTGCACCTGTAATCCTCGCGTCTGATGCCACGAACCTCACCAACTTTGGCGGCAATAAGAAGGCATGGCCTGTGTATCTATCCATTGGGAACATCTCAAAATCGGTACGGCGTCAGCCTTCGCAGCGCGCAACGATCCTTGTTGGCTACATACCTGTCTCGAAGCTCGAGTGCTTCCATGATTCGACTCGCAGCCTTGCCGGCTATCGCCTCTTCCACCATTGCATGTCGCTCATCCTCAAGTCCCTTCGCGAACCGGGCCTCAACGGGAAGGAGATGACTTGCGCAGACCGCGGTGTCCGGAAGGTCCATCCGATTGTTGCGGCATATGTCGCTGATTATCCCGAACAATGCCTCGTTTGCTGCTGCAAGGAGAACAGTTGCCCGCGCTGCACCGCGCCACCCCTCCAGCGCGGTGAGCAGCTTCACTGTGATCCGCGCGATGTTGAAAGCACCAAAGATGCGTTGCGCGAGCACCAGAACGGAAACGACTCACCACGCTTCACTTCCGAACAATTGCGGCCCGTCTACGAGCCCTTCTGGGCGGACCTTCCCCACTGCGACATCTTCTCGTCTATCATGCCGGACATCCTGCATCAGCTCCATAAGGGAGTATTCAAGGATCACTTACTGTCGTGGTGTACATCGATCATGGGCACGGACGAAATGGACCGCCGCTTCCGCGCGATGACCAACTTCCCAGGCCTTCGACGCTTCCACAACGGCATCTCGCACGTATCACAGTGGACGGGCAAAGAGCACAAGGAAATGCAGCGTATTTTTGTAGCGCTCTTAGCCGGTGCTGTGCCTACGGAGGTCCTGGAGGTGGTGCGCGCACTCGTGGACTTTATCTACTACACGCAACTTCAGTCTCATGATGACACAACACTCACTCACCTGCAGTCAGCTCTCGACACGTTCCATCGCCATAAGGACGTTTTCATCAGGCTTGGGATTCGGGAGCATTTCAATATTCCGAAGATACACGCCCTCCTTCACTACGTCAAGGCGATCCGCTCTCGTGGTTCTTGCGATGGCTACAATACCAAACTCCCTGAGCGCTTGCATATTGAGCTAGCGAAGAACACTTACCGCGCAAGCAACCAGCGTGACTATATGGAGCAGATGGTGACGTGGCTCGCGTGCCAGGAAGCGGTGGACTTGCATGCTACTTACATCGCTTGGTTCCAAGGTCTTTGTGCGGAAGAAACGGCGGAGGAGTTGGAGGAACCAGACTTAGAGCCTGACGAAGAAGAACCTGACGAAGACGTTGCCCCTCCACTGCTCCCGGATGGTGACAAAGTAGAAAGCGGAAACATGTACTCAATTGCAAAGCACTGCCCTCTTCCCAATCTATCCCTACGCTACCTGCTCACTGACCACGGCGCAACCGAGTTCCTACCCGCCTTGACCGAATTTGTCCGCACCGAGCTACCCCGTTGCGAACTATGCCCAAACCACATGGACCGCTACGACGTTTACAAGAATATATGGGTCAGTTATCCAGGGGATCCTCACGGCGACGTACCAGAGCATACCGACCGCATCCGGGCAGTTGCCGCCAAAGCAGGGAGAGGGCGAAAGCAGGCTACGGCTGCGTACTTTGATACCGCATTCATTGTCGACCCGGATGTTCCTTTTGATGGAGTTGAAGGTAAGAGCAGACGTTCTGTCACGTGTGAGTACAGTCATACAGAAGGGCAGTGAACACTTACCTGATCCGGCAAGAACATCCAGGAACAAGGATAGCGCGTGTGCGCATCATCTTCAATCTTCCAGCACAATTTGGATCGCGGCCTCACCCCCTCACATATGTCGAATGGTACACACTGTTGCGGCACAAGGATCCGGGCACCGGTCTCTACCTGGTCTCCCGCTCAACACGTAACGGCAAGGCAAACGCTAGCATCGTCAGCGTTGACCAGATCCGCCGCGCCGCGCATTTAGTCCCGAAATATGGCAGAGAGATAAGCAGAGAACTCACCAAAGATAGTTCACTCAACGTCGCAACAGAATTCCGGGTGAATTTGTACATTTCAGTTGACCTTAGATCCGTGACAGTTTGAATTGGTGTACTAGTAGCCAGATAAGCTACTCTTTGTCTATGAATTGCATACCCGTGCTGAAATGCGATGTATATGTTGCGACTTGCGGCACTGTTCGAGTCTGCATCTCGGACTTATACTACTCGAGCGATGATCGCATAAGCGCCCACGTTAAAGTACCTCCCCACCTCAGCGTCGATGATTAAGCCTCAAAAATTGGAATGTGGACAGAATAGACCTACAAAGTGTGATTCGTGCAAACACACATCTTCGGGAATTGCATTTGCTCGCACAAGTTCAATAGTTTTGCTGAGCAGCTGCGCCACCGCGACCGGCGCTTCTACTATTGACGCGCCCAAACAAGGCGCGTGGTTCTGTGCTTCCCTTGCCACTACCCACCATCTTCTTGTACTGTCCCTCTGCATCATACAACGCCCCCAACCTTTACATTCTATGTCATCGCACACCTGGCGGCACGATGGTCACCGCGGTCCGGGCCAGCCATGCAAACATCCCCGTCAAAAACACGTCACCACCTTTCCGAGTTGTCGCGCGGCCTCTCCGGCGCCCACCTACCCACTATGCCGCGAACCAAGGAAAGGAAATGCTATGTTCACCGGTTCTAATGAGTAGGAAGACGAAGCAGGAGAGGCACAAGGCATCAAAATCGGTGAGTAGATGGCTCTTTCGACCGAGCATACCTCGAACATGCGAGCGATATGTGCTGCTCCTATCCCCCCTACTCTACCTATCTTACATATCTCGCTACCAAGTGTGCATAGACGAGTTGCTCAGTGCAGACCTGCGTTGATGTTTGTGTTGGGGGTCGGCCCGGGTGGTTGCATCCGCGGTCTGCGGGCACTCTCAACTATCCACTTGGTCCGAGTAAGCACCCATCAATGACCATCCCCTATCCTGTCCCCCCGTCCCGTTCCCCAACCCCTCCTTTTGATATTCCGGGCTGATATACCTGTGAGTGGCAGAATACTTGGCATCCTCGTCCTCCTCAACATGGCGTGAACGAGGATTGCGAACAAGCTCCCTTGCATCGACCGCCTTCACCTGGACAAAGTGCGTGCGCTGCGGCTTGTCTCGAACCTTGACACAACATGAATGTACGTCCCGCGTGTGTCTTCGACGTGCCCCAAAGGAGGAGCCAGGATGAGGCATGCTGGGTGTACCGGCCAGCAACTCACGTCGTGTGGCATCACCACTTGACAACAACACGACACGGGTCGCGCGCCGTACGCAATGGCGAGCATGAACGCAAGGCTCGGGACACAGCCGGCGTACGACCGCATGCCAACAGTGTCATCATTTGCCGTGGTGGGACGCGCCTCGCTGACACAAGCACAGTGCGCTGCCTACGTACGTACTAACTGCTTACTAGTACTCACTACTGACGCCTGCCCATGTAGCACAACCCACTCATCTCGCTCCCCTTGCATCTCAGTCACCACCGGCATCGACAAATGTCGAACCGAGCAACCAGCGCCTGTGATTCTCATCTGCGCGATCTTACCGGGAAGGTACCATGACGGCCTGCCGCGCTTCGCATGCCCTCGCGCCCCCGACGCGCAACATCCAGCTGACCAGGTGCCGACGCAAGGATGCCTTGAGGAGCTAGACGGTGAGCACGACCCTACATGTCGTGCACGTGCCAGTTGACAACTGCAAGGCCTGCAGAGTATACACGTCAGCAATGCACTTCGTACCGCGAACCACCGGATGGCCACTGCTCGGATGTGTGCTGGCTGGTTACAGATCTGCCGTCTTGTACATGTCCGGTTGTGTACTATACTAGTCAGGAAAATGTAATGCTAGTGGATTGACAGTACAGAGATAAATTACATTTTGGGTGGCTTCCTGATGTCAGAACCGCCGCAAAGTCTACTATGATCACAACCATTTCTCTCGATACCATTATCAACGGTACTATGACACAACCTATTCTACAGCTGCAATGGACTGCTATCTACCGTAAGATATTCCTATGGCACCCTATCTACCACCTATGATCATCTACAAGGTGCTATGGACAACTATATAGTAGGCGCCAGCGGCTATGACACAGATAGCACCTATCCTGGCTATGTATCTAGGGCAGCTGCTATGCCTAAAATACCTTTTTCCTGATGTACAGGCTTGCCATGGTGCGGGTCAGGACAGGTGCACGGTCAATTGGGTGGGCGGACAATTGGGCAGGCATGCCTACATAAGCAAGAGTGGACAGGCAAGCAGTAGCACATACAACCGCTAGGTCGTCCCGGCCTGCGGCGCGGGGAGGCTCACAAGCGCACTGGGGCCTGCCGCTGGGCGGGGGGCACTCCGCTGGTGGGCAGAGGCGGAGGCGGCACTGGAGGGGATGCACTGGGATGTGTCAGCAAAGGGGGACGGCGCCAGTGGTGCAGCCGATGGGTGCATTGGTGCAGGAGGTGGTGGGGCAGCCATCAGGCGTGATGGTGGGGCTAGCGGGGCCGTTAGAGGTGCCACGTGAGAAGGGGCTGCAAGCAGTGCCTGTAGCAGAGCGGGAGAGAACATACTGCACATTGGGGGAGCAGGGGCTGCAGGTCAGGGCATGTTGGACAGGGCACAACCTTTAAGTCGCTCCTGGGCAAATCCACATCAGAACTTTGGTGATTTCAGTGAATGGCTGTGACAGGCCATGACGGTTGCTGAGACCCCAGTTTCACGTTGTGTCACCATATCAGGCATCAGCAACACCGGCCGCATTTCAGCAAGACGGCCGGATTGTGGGATCAACACCATCAGACGGTGGTCACTCATCAGCAAGCTCACATACAAGACTTCACCTACGGTTAGCATTCACACCAGTAACTGCATGAATGGGTGACAGATCATGCTAGGAGCTTGTACTACGGTACAAAGATCAATATTCAGAGACTATGATCGCCTGCCGTGTGTTATGGGAATATCTCTGAATCCCAAGTCCACCTTATATGCATCGACTCCCTAGCTATTGTTAGAGCTCCGCTATTGTCGGTAGGGTCTATTAAGTAAGCACAATGGACTCACTGCCAATTGGTCGCGAACACATTTTGGCATTATCCAGTAATCTACGGAGTTTGCCGACAACCGCTTTCAGACTGCAATACCAATGGAAGGAAGGACCAAATCCCCAAGGTTATTCACTACTGGTAAAGGGAACACCGAAGGATCACCAATGACCATTGACCTTCGGTAATGGCAATCCCGAGGGATCACCGAGGAAGGCTGTGCTGACACTTTGGACTTAGCAAGGAGAGGACTTAGGCTGTGAAGTTCAGACACATCTCAAGTACAGCTTAGCCTTGCCGGTAACCTGAACTAAATTGATTTTCTGTCCAGTTTTCAGCTTAGGAGGGACCTTCATAGCTTCGAGGGTCTTTGCCAAATCAAGTGTAATATCCGATCCTGAGTCCACGACAATTTCTACTGTCTCTGGTTCTTGAGGACTGAGGAATGCCGACAGTTTAGTAGCTTCCCGGAGGACGGGCTAACTCTTTCTTTAATTCCAAGACCTTTCCGCTGTCGTTCTCCTCATTCGGTAATGGATGAGTGGTCTTCCATTGCCAAGCCATCTGTTGACGGCCTTTCCTGTTAATTCCAGAGAAAATATTATTTGCATGAGCTTCGTTCACTGAGACGTTGTTTACCATTGCCGTAATGGAGTCTCCCTCCAGGGCCGACTCTACTCCATCCTTAGTCTGCTCAGGCTCGAGCGCAACTTCAGATGGTTTGGTAGTCTGAAGGGGTTTATGAAAATCCTGCTCATCCTCACTATGGAGTCCATAGTAGGTGTCTTCATAATCCTGTTCGTCCTCAAGCTCATCTTCATTCAGGAGAGCAAGGTTAGCTCGGGCAATACATCCACCTTTCCGGGAATACTTGCACTGGCCATGCGCAACGCCTGTGAGAGAACGGGATGGTCACATGACATGGAATTACCATAACGGGCGAAATATCGCACTCGAGAATGGCAAAGCATCCTGAGCAAGCTGTACCCTACCAATTGCCTTGGAGAAGCGTGGAATATGTGTGCTTGTATTAGGACATCAGTGCGAAAACATATTAGACAGATATATGGAATATCAAGAGCAAGGGAAAGGATCAACTATCAGGAGTGCAGGAGCTCCTCCTCCTCGTACTCGCAATCAGAGTCAGACTTGTTATGGTACATGCTCAGGTCATCAGAAGTCAGAACTAGTGAGGGGATTGGTGCATCTGTTATGTCAGAAACACTGGGCAAAGTCAGATGAGCTTCGTTGTAAGTATCAATAGCTGAAAGTAGTGTAGTGAGAAGCACATCCTTCTTGCCTGTGACCGCAATCTTCGCCGACGGATTGGCGCGTTTGTGCCAGTACAGCTGCGGTTTGATGTCTTTCTCAATGGTAATAGAACACTTGTCCACATTCCACCAATACTCCGGATCCAAAATCGGCGTGATCCCATCAATCAACACGTTTTTCTTCTCTTGAGCGGCCACTCAAGCATCACACTTCACGCGATGCACACGTACGCGGTGTTCTTTCGCAACCATTAACGTGGCCCACTTCTTCCCTAGTCTCGAGCTGTCAGGCTTCTGACCCAGCCGCCAAAGATATGTCAAATCTCCGGGGGAACCTGACAGGTGCCGGCGTACAAAGCTCGACTTGGAGGTGTCATTCGCGGCGAACATCTTCTCCGCATTGTAATTTGTTTGCTGCACGCCGCTTCCCTACACGCAGGCTCCCTAGGTTTGACTCGTTGTGGTTGTTGGTTGCCCGTACTGCCACGCGTTCACACTGCTTGGGCGTCAGCGAGGCGATGGGTGACCCGGGAGCCACTGGCAGAGCATGCAGCGACTGGGATATGGCGCTGGCGGCGTGAGCTGGCACGGTTGAGCTTGACGTGGCGCCGGTGTTGATGCACCGCTCTGCAAGCTTCGCTTGAAGGTGATCCCGGGAACACGTTGTGTTGTACTTGTCCCGATGAGCCTTCCATACGGCGGTGTCAGCCGCATGGACACTCTGCCGCGCATTCTTGCGTGTGGCCACAGTCTCTTGCCTTGCCTCGTCTCTTTCCTGCAGCACCTCCTGGACCGCCGTAGCTTTGTGCGGTTTGTGGCTTGACTGTGATGCCACCTGGCGCGTCCGGCGAGCCACAACACTGCATGCAGCAGCGTGCTTGCTGCACTCCCACTGAGCCCTGGAGGACTTACCGGAGCCTGACACCATGCCAGTTGTGCGTAAAAGTGCCAGCAGCAAGCCTATACCGCCAGTTGATGATGCAGTAAGCTAGCTGGTCACCAGGACCAACGGAGGAAAGTGGAGAGACGCGTCGCGGTCGCTCGCCATGTCAGCCACAGACGCGACTGGACGGGCGCTTGAGCGAAAAGCTGTGTCTTGCCCTTCGGAATTGCGGCGCAAATTCCAGCTCATCGCGAGCATTGCCTCTCCAAAAAAATACATGTACAGAATTGGATTGATTGCGGCTACAATGCTATGTTTGAAAAATGTATGATTTCGGCCTACATTTGTTACTAATGTACCAGATCTACTCGAAAGGAGTACATATTTCAGGATTTCTAAACTTCGCATTCTTCGTACTGAGCTCTCATTGCCTGTGCTATAATCCGATTGATTCTACGGGTCCTGTGCAAGCCCGAAAATACTCTACCACTTTCTGGACGGCCTCCGCACTAAGCGCGGGAACACGGATTTTGCCGGAATGGCAGGGCATTGCGCATGGCCACTTGCACTCATTATCCCAGTGCAAAGGACTGTCGCAATGCCAACAAGGACGTTTGCCGAGCTCTTGGGGAGTTTTTCGGTTAGACTTCACCAAGTCATCCCTCGGGAAAGGAGCTTTACGCTTCTCTGGTTGACTTCCAGAGAGATGTACCCTGGTGTCGGGATACTTTCCTTTCCCTTGGAACTGATCCCAATGGTTATTATCATTATTGAGCTGCAAAAGTGTTCCTTCGTAGTACCGAATAGCATCTTGCAGATCAACTACTTTCTCATAAAGGTGAGGTGTGAGAATGGTAGTCCAGATAGTGGGTGCTCCGTCGAGGATTTCATTGATCAATTCCAATAATTCCGACTTAGTATAGTCGTAAACAAACTCCAATAATTCCAGCTTGCGAATGTAGTACTCTGAAGGAGACTCTCTAGGAGCGGCAGAGTCTCAGTAACAAGCACGGTTGGCTTTACTCTTTTGTCAATCAAGCCAAGCTTTATTCATGTAGTGCTGACCTATAGCTGTCTTTAGGTCACTCCAACTATGCTGAATTTGCTCTCTTCGGTATGTCGGCAAAGAATAATACCTGTTCTTGGCACTGCCTTTAAAGCGTCGGGGAACTACTGATCCTAATTGCTGAGCGACTGTGTGCGATCCTTTGGCAAGCTGGTTGGCCTTAAGGATCCATCGGGCGAGGTGGTCAGTATTGCCGTCCCAAGTAGGCACGACATCCGTCTTCAGTTTAAGGTCAAAGCAGGGTTCTTCTTGCCGACCTTCATCATCTGAATTATTGTCTTGCTGACAATGTTGTCCTCCGGGACCGGTGTGTAGGTTGCGAGTCTCCCGGGACCGTGTGAGGTGGCAGGGAGCAGGGGTCGATAGTCGGTAGAAACGACAGGTTTTGTTGTCGGACGATGTCGACGTAACTATAGGTAGTCACAGAAGGAAGGTGCAAGAGGAGTGCCTAGGCTACACTGCCCAGTGCTTGTTCCGCTGAACAATGGAACAGCTGTTCCCGCAAGGACACGCAAATACGCAGAGTTTGCAGTACGCACGCTCGCCGCTGTCGCCGCAGATTTGCAAGAGAGAGAGAGAGATTTATTTGCCGCTTAGAAAACAGAGCTGTCCTGGTTCGCAGGAGTTACCTCTAACCGTCCGCCCTCGAAGTGGTAGTGGTAAGTGAGTCCCCTCCCTCTCACGCCAGCACACCATGTCCTTCCCCTCCCCAACTTCCCACACCCTCAAACTTTCCCGACTCTCCCCGTCCTCTCCCCTACTCCCCCTTCCTTCCGGTTGGCCAGTGAAGCCCCAGCCTCCTTTGCTCACCGCTCCCACCCACCATGTCCCTCCCTGGACAATCCCCATACGACGTCCACTTCTACCGTCTCCTCGAGCTCCTTCTACACGAACACAACTTGGAACCCCATCTCCTCCCCCACGATCCGACTGCCTGGCTGGCCTGGGCCCATGGAAGTCGTTGGCTGTTGGTGTGTCCTTCTCCTAGGACCTGTCGTCTCCCACGCTAACTGTACTCCAGCGCATGCTGTTTGAGTCCCGTAGCATCGCCGTGGCCTCCGGGGACATCTCTCTCCCTTCCGTCCACCAGACACCATCTGTGCACGCCCTGGTTGTGTACCTCGACACCATCTTCGCAACCCTTTGTTCTGAGCACGCTTCGTCTCTCCCTGAGCCATACCCATCATCGCCTGGTCGCCTAACGTGTTCTCGCCGAGCAGAGCATTGCTGAGGAAGGTGCTCCACTCCCGGCTATTTCCTATCGCAACAGTCCGCTCGCTTTATCGAACCAGCGCGCTTCTTCTGTCGGATGGGACGTCATCACCGACCAGCTGGAAGCTCTTAGTGATGCTCAGTGTTTGACCACCAACACCCTTGACCAGCTCGATCGTGGGCTAGCCACGCTCTCCGCCGTGGTCCAAGGTATTCAGGAACAGCTGTCACACGGGCTGTACCTTCCAGACAATTATTCCGGAATTCCTCGTCGTTTAGTCTTCACCACGTCTAGGGGTTCAATGGCTCTCAATCCACGCCCCATGGGCTTCACGCATAGCGTTGCCGATGCTGCTGCTGACCGAGAGGCTGGAGGATCCGGAAGGAACGGGGACGGAGGGAACGTTCGTAACGCAAGCCCTTTGCTCAACTGACCCCATGTAGTCATCTGTAGCACCTTCTGTAACCGTGTGCTTGGCTTAGTTGGAATGTATTCGGCCCGTTCGTGTTCTGTTCCCCAAGTCCGTACTTCTCGGGGATGCCTTTGTTGCGCCGTACCGCCGTCCCATTTCTCGCCCTGACGTGTTTGTATGTTGTCGATTCCGTGCATAGACCGTGGGCCATGCCCACAACGGTTCGGCATACCTTTACGTTGAAGAACAATGGAAAGGGCAGAACATTACCGACGAAGCATAACAACAAGACTTACTCCCAGGTGATGAACACGAAGTTTGAGTTGCGGTTGAAGGGGGTGGCAACACTGAAGTAGTTGACGCTGGTGTACTTGGAATCACCGAAGGAGGAATTGCTGAAGCCAAGAATCAGTAATTAATGAGCTTGGTAAACAAGGCAATCGAACTCACTAAATTGACCAGTCTCCAAGCTGAAACCTACGCTATTAAATGCCTTAGCTATACTTCCATACTGCTGTGTGCTTTTGAGTTCGGCTCCCTCCGTACAGGGTATGGAGGAAGGGTAGATTCTTAGTCAATGAAGGGTAGTGGTATTAGGCGTATGCAACGAGAGTATCATCAGGAAAGACAAGTCTATGTGAGAGCAATATATGGAGAGTTCCTTCCGAGCCGTTTGCCCAAGTTCAGAGCCTCCGAGTCCAAATCCTAGTCCACATCCGAGAGTGGGTCCTACGTGTCCCCTCCCGCTCCTTCCGCCCCGCTACTTATGTGAGAACAAGCAATAAATGGTACGTCGAGCGCGAGTGTCCCGGGCGTGGGCGATGCCCAAAGGGCAATCACGTGAGGTAGATACACGAAAATTGACGGTTTATATACCCCTCCCCCCTATCCATTTCGGTCAGGTACTATCGCGGCCGAGCTTGCGAGCTTGCCACGATCGCGTGCTCCAACAACTTATTCCCCTTCAGCCGAGCTCACATGCCCCTCCTTGTTCTCTCCGGGTCTTCCCCCTCCCTTCCCTCTCCTCCTGCTCCTGCCTTCTCCCCTACACCGATGGCTCAGCCCCCAAACCCCACCACTTCGTCCCACTCTGCTCGTTACCTCTGTCTTATTGATGTCCTCCAGTACAAAGGGTTGTTCGAGCCTCGGTTCGACGTAGAGCACGCTACTGCCTGGCTTGCCTGGGCCCATGGTGCTCGCTGGCTCATGGTTTGTCAGCCTCCGTCGTCCTCCGTGTCCCTGCTAACCCGTCTGTGTTGTCCCAGCAGATGCTCTTCGAGTCCTACGCCCTGGCAACTGCTCACGGTGATGCCCGCATCCCCCTTCTGTCCAGCATCCCCGAGGTTCGCGAGCTTATCGAACATTTGGACCGCGTGTTCCTCAACCTCCGCTCTGAGCAGAACGAGGCGCCGCTCCTATACGCGACCATCCCTTGGTCCCTGGATCAGCTTCAGAGAGAACAAACCGCCGTGGAAGAAGCCCCAGCCCCTCCTCCTCCATCATATAACAATCCTCCCCTCTGCCTCTCCTCCCTCCGGGGTTTGACCAACAACTGGGACCGCCTGCTCGCCGCCACGGACCGTTCCTTGGATGTCCTCCGCGTTGAACTCGGCCACCTCCACCACGGCCTGGCTGAGGCCCAGATTGACCAACTGTCCGTGATGCATGAAGTAGTCTCCATCACGGGCCGTCTAGAGGACATATGTGATGCACGAGACCTCCCTCCTCCGTTAGTTAATCCGTGACTAGGCCCTTACAAGTAGTGTCTTCCTCTGACCAGGTCGTTCGCCCTGACACCCGTATATCCTGACATGTAATGGCTTGCGGGGTTCAATGGATCTGACTTGTGACGCGCCCGAATGACCTCGTAAAATATCCCATTCCAGGCATGTTGCCGCGGCCCAATCGTGGTCCCCAAAGCTAACATCCTTGGCCTTCTCTGACTGTCCATCTTCCGGCGGTTCCGGCCTCAGCCTGTGGGCACTGCCCACACCTGCCCCGACCTCAGATACTGACCGTCCCCAGTCAGTCGCCTTCCCACGTATCTCCTGGCATGTGCGTCCCCAGATTCCCGCGTCCGTGCCGTCACTCCCGTCTATATTCCTGGCCGGCGCTAACAAGATGTTCCTTCTGGCTGCCTGTAGCCACCGCTCCCCGGTCGTTCCTGGCCAGCGCCTGTTCAATCCTCGTGCCTTGGCCTCCCTCTGTCCTCCCTTATCTTCCCATCACTGCCGCCCTCTTCTCTCCGTCCCCTCCCTCGCCCATGTCCACCCCTCCACACCTTGACACTGCTGCTGCCGCGGACCTCTCCGCCGTCCTCGTCCACCTGGTCTCTGCCTTCGAGGTGTACATGGCCGAGGAGGTATTAATCTGTCCACCCCATACTCTCCCTCCTGGAGGGTGGGTTCCCGATACCAACACAGTGTATCAATGGGCGTCGTGGGCCCGTGCCCTCGTGATCGACTTTGTATGTTCCTTCCCATGGCTGGCCTCCCCCCATTAACCTCCCTCCCTCCACTCAGTATGGCTACATTGCAAATCACCATCTCGCGGTGCAGTTCCACCATCCCCCGGCTGAATTCAGTATCCAGCCAGTGCTCGTCCGGCTCTTGACTTTGATGTTCCATCTCTCCAGGAATGACCGTATCCCCACCCCCCTCCGACCCCTCCTTAGCAATCTGGAGGCAGACCTTCGCTGCCCGGCGCAGATCCACCCAAATGGCCTGTACGTTGTTTGGGGATCCAACCAATTGTCGTTCCCTCTTGCCGTTCCTCTCCTTCCTCCTTTCCCCCCTTTCCCCTTCTATCCCAATTTTTTGACTGAAACACGCCCCCTTGTCATTTCGTGTCTCGACCCTTGGAGGAGTACCGGCGGGCTCCTCTGCACGGAGGTGCGGTGGCCCCGGATCTGGCAACCATGTCCCTTCCCTCTGCCACCCTGAGCCCTGGAGCCCAGCCTCCCAAAGGACTCTTCGTCCCTCCTGGCTTTCCTCCTGGGCCGTTCTGTCCAGACAGCACTTATGCCCCTCACATCCTCTTGCAGCCCCCTTCTCCGCCGCCCGTGAAATCCTCCCCCAGCCCTTCTGCATGTCCTTCGTCCAGCCCCGAGCATTTTGTTTGCAACACCGGTCTCCTCGATCCCCTCCCGCGTGTTCCCTCCGTGGCTTCAGCGGCCGCCCCCAACCCTCGCCTACTGGCCATCAGTTGGCTCCTTCACGCCCCACTCCTTCATGATCATTGCCCACACCATCCGCCCCGGATCCCTTCGTGCGTGATACGGGCCTCCTCGACCCCGTCCCTCAGGCCCCTGCAGCAGTTTCCCGTGCACCCTCCACCAGCTCTCGCCCCGCGCCCATTATCCAGGCTCCTGGACTGCGGCTGTATGGGGTATCCCAGCCACCCCCTGCAGTCGCCCTCAGTGCGTCGTCCTCGGGTCCCTCCACCGCATCTGCTGCTTCCTCCTCGCGTCCCTCCGGTCCTGCTGCAGGTCCCTCAGATCCAGTGCCCCCGGCCCCCTCCGGTCAGACCGCGGCGTCTCGGACTTGCTATGGCTTGTTTGTGGACGCCCCCAGCCAAGCTTGCAGTAAGTGCGCCGGGCAGAGGCCTCTGGGTGTGTGTCACGTGGATGGCCATCCGCAGCACTTGTGCACTGGGTGCGTGAAGGGCAAGGTAGGCTGTTCACTCTGAGGTGTCCATAAGTCCTTTTCCTCTGGTACTCATCTTGTCCTTTCCTTCTAACGGCCCCCTTCTCTTTTAGCTACAACGCGGCTTGGCCTTCGATATATTGGTCCCCACCCCTTGCAGACCAGGCACTCGGTAGCCGGGTCCCTCCAATTCCTTCCCAACCCTCCGGTTGCAAACGCACCTGCCGACTTGCTTGGGGCTTTCCCGTTGTCTTCTAGGGCGGCGAACCCATTGTCTTCAAGCGTGGCCAGTCCTTTGTTGTTGATGCTGCTGCAAAAATCGACGCCACTGTTCTTTGACAGCCCGGGTAGTACTCCCACACCCTCCTTCCCTCCGAATGTGGCCATGCGCTCCGCCGTGCTTGCCTCCGGTGCGACTCATGCCGCGCAGTTGGCTGGTTGTTCCCAATCGGCGCGCCGTTCTCGCCCGCCCGTGTCACCCTCCATGACCCCGTCTGTGGACGACGAGCGCGAGGTCAAAAGCGAGGATGAGCACGACGAGCTGGACGACGATGAAGAGGAAGTTGCTGAGTTGGTGGGCCAGGTACACTCCTGGGAGGCAAGCTCACCGTAAGTGTCTGGTCTTGTTGCATTCCTTGTTCGATCCGACGTGTATTGCTCTTGCTCTGTGTTAAAAATATTCGAATTAACGCATTTCCTTCCCTCCTTCTGCATGTGTCATGCTCGTATCCCCTGCCATGAGACGGCATTGTCGTGGCGCAATTGCCTGATCACCCGGTTCTGGGCCTAGGCCCCTACCCCGACCCAAAATACTGACCGTCCCCGGTCAGTTGTTCCCTCCGGAGCTATTGCACGGCATCCTGTTGGCTGATTGGTCCGGATGGTGACCTTCCCAGTCGAGCTTCCTTCTGTCGCCTTCCGCTGCTATTCACGGCCAGCACCTGTGCAATCCTCGTGCCCCCTCACCCTCCAAACTCCTTCTACTCGCTGCACTCGATCCCTCCTTGCCCCTGCTCCCTCCTCCTCCAACTCCTCGCCATGCCTCAGGCAACGTTCAACTTCGAGTGCAAACTTGACGTTCAGACCGCTCTGGATGTCTCGCAGCTGATGTATTGGCTCCGTGGGTCGTTCAGCAAGGACATTGCAAACGAAGAGTTCATTGTAATTCTCCCCAGCGGTGTTCCTTCCCTCTGGCTCCCCAAACTCCCCGTGCTCGTGCGTTGGATGGCCTGGGCTTGGACCACCGTGTTTCACTTGGTACATCTTGACCTCTTGCCAACCCGTCGCTTGTTCCGTGCCTTGACTCTGCCCGCCTTGCCCGGAACGCCTTCGTTGCCAACCTTTGCATTGCGATGCAGTTCAGTTACCCCCCTACGCCGCTCCCTCTGCAACACAAAGAGGTCATCGCCCGCACCCATTGCAACACGTTCAACGTTGGTAGGTGCCAACACCTAGCCCCCAAGCTGGTACAGCTGGAGATACGACTCCTCATCACTGACTTCCGGATATACCCCGAGGTCCATGAAACCGGACGGTTCATCATCTGGGGGTCCTCGTGAATCCCTCTCGCCGTCCCGCTCCGTCCTCCCTTCCCCTACCTCCCATTCACTCCCCTTCTCTCCGGTCATAAGCCTCCAGACGACAGACCACCCTCTCCCTTAGCTTGTCCGCCTGCACGTGCCTTCTTCCGGGCTCTCCCTCCGAATGCGCACATTGTTGAACTTCCGAGTTTTCAGTGTTCTTATCTTATCAGTTATGTACTAATATGGACTTATGTTCTGCAATGTCAGATTACATACATTCTTTGATGGACTTTGCCTAGATTACGTCATGTGACTTTAGTCTGGATCATTCCATGATATTCCACGACATTCCTTGATGTTCCATGACATTCCATATCATTCCTTGATGTCCCATCACGTCTTATATTACTCTTTGATGTTCCATCATGTCTCATATTATTCCTGATGTTCCATCATGTTTCATATATCTCTCCACATCAAAACTCCGAGTTTTGGCTTACTCATGCTGCTTACCAGCTTACTCATATCCCCAAAACCTCGGACTTAGTGCTTACTGATGAACCACTGATACAGCATGTGACCTGTATCAAATGTGTATATATACTGGGCTGGTTTGCCCTGTAATAACAACGATCCTTCGTCCTCTCCTCTGCCTGCCAGCATAGGATCTTCCCTTTGGGACTGGTCTGTTCACTCACTCTTTAGTCCTTCACTGCCACTGGGCTTACTAAGCCTAAAACCTCTTTCTTCAACACACATTCCCTTCCCTCTAGTTGCCTCCCGTCTTCATATGCTCCTTTTTGTCCTGATGGCATGATAGATCCCCTCGCCTTCACCCCTCCTCCTGCACCGCCCGCCGCTGGTCCCTTCGCTGCGCCTCCCTGGCCCCTTCCTCAGTACACTTCCCCAACTCCCCCCGACCACTCCTCTGGGTTTGCCAGCCCGATGTGGGGACTTTCCGACAATGAGATAGCCCAGGCCTACGCCCCTTCTTCCCCCCTCATTGGCTAACTCTCCATCTGTCAGAGGCCGCTCTCCTCCCATCAAGCCCTCCTCCGGACCTGATGATCCACCCCTTTTCCCTCCCCACAAACCCCATGCAATCGGCCCGTCCTCTGGTCCTCCCGCCACAACCGACGCGAACGGAAACCGCATCTTTGCATCGCCTCGTGCTTTTTTTTTTTTTTGGATGGCTTATGAAGAGTCAAGGCAGCCGACAATCGGACGGCCCCATTAGACTCAGCCGGCGAACAGGCAGAGCCTGTCGTTGCTTCCAGGAAAAAAATGCATTTACGCACGGCCAACTGGCCAGTGTGGGACTCGATCTACCCTGGGTCTATCGCAATACGACAGAAACCCGGGTCAATACCCACTAAAAGCCTTGGTAGTTTGGTCCAGTCTTCCGCGAGACCATTCTCGTCACTTATGGTACCCGTCCAGGTGGCCAGGACCAACAGCCTGGATTTTGCTAAGTTACCGAAACTCCTACGGGTCGCTATGAGGTCTAGCTGCAGGCGTCTGTTCATCGCCGCATACCACCTTCTTGTGATCTCCCGTTGTGAGTGGGTCCAGTCAGGTTCGTCGGCGTGTTCGATTACCCGCTCGCACCTCAGCTTCCAGATGAGGTACGCCGCCTCAGAGATTGCAATGCGCCAGAGGCGTGCCAGGGCATGACTGGACTTGGCGCCGTCGGGCTTTGGGTACAGGCCCAGGCCAACCGTCAGGACATCCTCGAGGGACGGTTTGCGCCAGGTTCCCGCCTTTTTCCTCCAGAGTTCGCCCGTGAGGGACCATACAAGGTCCTGGCCTGGCGCTCTGCACTCGGACAAGATGTGCCTCAGCGACTCGCGTGTGCCGCATGTTGAGCAATCTGCGCGGTCTTCAAATCCTCGTATGTGGGCCCAGAAGGCCCCGATCTTTAGTGCGTCATGCATTCCTTTCCATAGGAAGTCCACTATCCGTCTATGGATGTCCCTATCGCGTAGGCTTGTCCACAGCAGTTGTGTCGGTGGTGGCAGGGAGCCTGGACTGCGCAGGCTATTCAGGATCCTCTCGACCTGTCCCGACGTTCGGGGACGGTCTGATGGGGTCCGTGTGGCCAAGATGCCTCTGTATGCTATCGCTTGCGAGAGGGTGGCCAGTTTTGCTCCAGAGAGGTCAAATTGTCTATCGATCTTCGGGGCTACCTCCTCACACTGGTGGGTGAGAAAGTGTTGCTTTGCCAGCTCGATGGCGTCATTCCGGGTCCGGAACTCTTCCATATTTGCCACCTTGCATATGGTTGTAGGGGCGCAGCGTTGTCTGAGCTGGTTCACCAGGGCCCGCAGGAGGGGACTGCCGTGCACACTGATCCAGCCGCAGTCTTCCCAGGCGGGTAGCTTCGCGGATAGTTGTTTAGCCAGCGACATGGAAGAGAGGACAAGGCGAAGCGGCGAATCCTTCGGGGTGTCTTCGACCGCATGCAGGGCCGCTGTTACTTCGCCCTGCTGCATGAGGATGTTTCCTCTAGGAGGGCGAGGCCGGACGATGGCGCTCTTTTCAGGACTGCCCGGGTAATAGACGAGGCCCATGTTGTTTGGCATGGGCTCCGCTCCCTTTGGCAGGGACTTTCTACTCGAAGGGCCAACAAGGTACGCAGTGACCGCTTCGTCCTCTACTATCCTCCCAGCCCGTGCTCGAATCGCAGGGGGTTCGTCATGGACACTTGGGTCCACGAAGACTCTCATGGCCTCCATTATTGAACCTCTTTCTGTTAGGGATGGATTGAAAGTCACTACGCCCTCTGACTCGAGGGCTTCTGTGTTAGCATCAAGACACTTTGACGTGAGAGTCAGCCCATCCGGGACGGGTTCCACATCGGGGTGCCATTTTGGGCGGACCTGTTCTAGGAGGTTGGCCGCCGCCTTACAGCACCCCAGGGGGTGCTTGCACCCGCGAGCGGTGTCTTCCCCACAGGCTCTGCACTCACACGTGCTAGGGACGAAGTCGTTTGACTGCGCTCTCGCCCGTCGAAAGCATGTTCTGCGCGTGAGTTTGAGGAGATCCGCCACGTAGGAAACTCCATGCCTGTCTCGCAAGAAGTCGCTTACTCGCGTGTTGTTTAGCAGACGGAGCCGCTTTTTGGCACCCAAGTGGTACCATATCGGTAGTGCACCTTTCATGGTGGTGCCCAGCTTAACCGCTGCGAAGCTGACGTTATGCTTCTTAGCGACTTTTATCATCCTCTTGATGTATGGCGGCAAGCTCGAGGCCGCGTGTACCGCGGGGGTCCAATCCTGCAGGAAGGTGTTCAGTTGCGCGGAGCGGCGTATCGCCCCGGCCTTAGCTGACGCGGCAATGTTGATGAGGACGTCAACGGCGAAGGCCCATCGCGGGCGGTCGTCTGACAGGGTAAGGTATCTTTTTGTCCACATGAGGTCAATGGCCTCGTTCCGTACCTTAACATCTAGTAGACCGATGCCTCCCTCTTCTATAGGCCGGGTTAGCGTGTCCATGGCCACAGGCGCAGCCTCGCTCCGTTCCAGATGAAAGAGCGGATAGTGGAGGTGAGTGCTTCTTCCACTTGTTTCGGCATGCCCTACACCGTGGCTAAGTACTGAGTTATTCCCCCTGGGCCCATCTGGACAATGTGCTTTTTTCCTGTGAGGGAGGGGCGGCACTTACTCCACCGCTCCAGGAACCCGTCCACCTTGGCAAGTGCGGGTGCCCAGACGGCCACTTGGTCGACTCTGTTCCCTATCCAGGCACCCAGGACCCGAACGGCTTCGCCCTCCGCCGCGATGTGGACGGACTCGGGGATCTTGTCATCCGGGTTGGATCAATCAATACACCGCGATAGCCGCAAGGCTGATCGGTATTCAACTGAGCCTAGAGGGATTACCTCCGTCTTACCACCGTTGAATCTTGCTCCAGACGCTAGGCACCACCCTTCCAGAACGACCCACAGGCCGCGCCAGCTATTGCCTGCACTCAGGAAGGTCGACGTATCGTCTGCAAACAGGTTTGCGACGAGGTTGCCTGCGGCACCAGGTATGTTGAAACCACGGAGATTAGAGCGGCGTAGCGCACATGCTAGCGGCTCGATGGCCATGTCGAAGAGGAGACAGGACAGGGGATCGCCCTGTCTTACTCCGCGTATTATGCGGAAGGGGGTACTTGACTCACCGTTTAAGATGACTACCGTTGTAGCGAACACGTACAGGCTGCAGAGTCTGTCGATGAGTTTCTTGGGGAACCCGAAACGTTCCAGGACTTTCCAGAGGTAGTCGTGACGGATCTTGTCATAGGCCTTCTCCTGGTCTAGGGCGATAATCGCCCTGTTCTCCTCGACTGCCTCAGCGTACTCCACCATTACTTGACACATTTGAGTTTGATCTGATATTTGCCAGCCAGGTATGAAGCCCGCCTGGCCAGGGTGCACAATCTGGTGTACTACCCGGCCAATTCTCGTTGCGAGAATCCTTGTGTAAACCTTGTAATCAGAGTTCAGAAGAGTTATTGGCCTTTAGTTCGCAATGTCACGCTTATCCTTCTTTTTGTACAGAGGACACATCCAACCGTCGGCGAAACCGGTCGATTCGCAGGTTCCATGTCTATTTACGTCCTTGTATAGCAAGCATAAGAAATCGAGGATGTCGAGACGATGTTTCGCTTTGGAGGAGCTTCCCTTCCATCGTTCATCCAGGGTGAGCCATAGTTTGTAAGGGAGGCCGTCTAAACCAGAGGCCTTGCCTGGGCCAGCCTTCCGTATTGAGTCCTCTATCTCTCTCTTGGTGAAACTATGCGTGAGCTCATCTGCTTCCGTTTTGGATAGGCGAGCTGTTATATTGTCCAGCGATGTGTCGACTGCCAAGGTACGTGCCTCCAGACCAACATCTGGAAGGTCTCTGTCCTTTTGTAGGCCCTCATGGTAGTCTCGCGCCAGCTCGGCCATCTTGTCTGATCGAGACACAAAGCGCGGAGGGTTGGATTGTGGCTCGCGAAGGCTATAGAATAGGTCGCGCGGTTTCTTGTCGCGGTTCACGGCGGACCAATATTTACTGGGGCATTCTGCGTTCAGGATGTACCTGGCTGTGGTCGACGATTGGACCTGGCCATGTCGAGCTCTCTCCAAGGAGCGCAGTCTGTCTCGCAGGATACCCACCTCGCGCTGCTGTTCTTGGTCGACCGAGAAACTCGCGGTCGCACTGATCGTGCGGATGCCTTCCTTTATCTTGTCTATGGCCGCCTGCAGCTTCGGGACCTTTGACTTCATACGGTTACGCGCGGCGTCACGTAATTCTGTTTTGAATGACTTGAAGAGGGTCTGCGGGTTGGAGGTCGCGGTGCGCTTCTCGCCAATGGCGTCCTTGGCTGCCTTCCATTTGGTTTCACCAATTTGAACCGCTTCCTCTAGGAAGACCGTGTCAGAGAGCAGTTGCAGAGGGAGGGCCCATTGGCCTTTCCCCACAAAGGGGGCATCTGCCGCGGTGAGGTTTGCCACTACAAGACGGTGATCTATCTGTATTCCAGTCGTACGTATTTCCCAGAGTAAGGATCGCGAGATGAGGGGTCGACTCATGTAGATCCTGTCAAGGCGCGAGCACGACAATCCTCCTCTCTGGGGGAAAGAGTGATCTTTCGTGTTTGGTTCTGAGAGGCGCCAACCGTCGAAGACTCGGGTTGCTCTAAGGAAGGCTTGTAGGTCGCTCACCGCGCCTGATTGGTCTTCTCTAGTTGGCAGGCGATCAATTGCTTCTTCAACCAAGTTGAAGTCACCCAAGACCACATCGGGTCGTGGGAGAGAGCCATCCTCAAGCTTCGTGAGGAGGGTGCGCCAGAAAGCGCCGTTTTCGTTGGGATGATTGGGAGCATACACGTTTAGCAGACTCAGCTTTGCGCCACCATGCCAGTTCATGGACATGAAGAGGGCCCTTCCCGGTACTACTTCTATAATGTTTACGCCGCTCGTGTCGACAAGTTCGCGGTTCAGAACTAAGGCGACCCCTAGAGCCCCCATCGCGTTGGGGCCTTGGCTGTTGTAGAGCCGGATACGCCTCCCGTAGAGGTTGTGAATTTCGGTCACTATAGTCTCGTCCAGGTGAGACTCCTGGATCGCCAAGACTCCTATATGCTGTTCCCTGAGGACCTGGTTTACTTCGTTCCACTTGCTGGAACCTTGACCGCCCGAGCGGGCCCTTCTGCCGCTCACATTGAGTGATCCCAGAAGTAGTGACACTTTCGTGTTCCGTCCTCGCTGTCTCTTACGCTGCCCTGGCGGTGTTGCCTGTGCTTGGGCATCTTCAGGGAGCTCGTGCGCCTCAGGGGCAGCTTCATGTTCATACACCCGGCCGCCCTCAGGCTTGGATAGAGAGCCTGGGGTGGTCGTCCTACCACCAGGTCCCATCTGCAGGTCTACGCTCCGCTCCCGGGTAGGAGGCGGAGGCGGGGCTCGCTGCAGCTGGGGGAGTGAACCGTGTGCCAGTAAATCTACCGTGTTGGGGTCTTCGTTTGGTATTAGAGCCGTTGATGATCTGCGCACCCGCCACAACAATTGCAGGTGCCGTGAGCCGCTCCTGGGCTGCATCAGGGAACATGTGCTACCAGACGCACCATGCGGTGGTGCACTTCGCCATACTAAGGCCGGGCAAGTTTAGGAGTGCCCTTGCTAGGGGAAAAGGCAGGCACCGATACGACAGCTTTCCTGTCCCGCAGACGGTCAGTATATGTGGGCCGGTCGTGTTTCGGTGCCTGCCAGTTAGTAAGGTGAGAGTCATTTCGGGGTGACAACGAGAGGTACAATCTTGCTACTGTTCACTCAGGATGGCTTTCCCGACGATCGACTGAGGCTCGTTTGGGGCGCTCTTTTCGATGAGCATAACGTCTGAGCCATTTGGTCCAGTTGGTAACAAAGTTGTCATTTGACATTAGAGGTGGATGTACGAGACAACAGCAGGGACCAAAGAGTGATGCATAGCAGTTCAAACATGTCCGCACATAAACATCGTGCGAAGGGGAAAGTGCGATGGCAGGGGACGAAAAATAGTTTACCTGTGGTGGGGCCATCCACCACCCGCTGCACGCAGCATGGCAGATGTGGTGTTATGGTCGAGGTTATCACCGGCGGCTGGGTACCTATTTCCGCGGCCGTGTCCGTTGCCTCCACGTCCCCGGCCGCGCTGCGGGTTCCCTCCACCGCGTTGTCGGTTTCCGCCGCCACGCTGTTGGTGGTTCCCGCCTCGCCCTCCGTTTCTGCCGCCGCGCGAGCTGGAGGCGGCGGGCTGGTTCGAGTAGTTGTTGCGGCGGGGGCCGTTCCAGCCATCGACGCTGTCAAGATAGCACAGCCCGACGCTGTGGTCGGCCGAGTGGCAGATCTTGCAGGCGTCGCCGTAGAAGATGTTGGGCGAGCGGCCCCCATCTACCCCAAAAGAGTGGGCCTGAATGGCGTCTCGGAATTCCTCCCAATCTTTCTCGTTCGTGGTGGGCGGGTTGCAATACATTGCATACAGCGGGGCGGGGGTATTCAGTGGGCCGATGCGGCGGGGAAGGACGCGCACCTTGACCGAGTTAATGATTGTGTTGAAGGCATCGGCCATGGTTGTGTCGCCCCACTTCCCAGCAGCTCCGGATGCCTTGTCTCGACAAATGATGCGCGCGGTGGTCGAGAGGAGGGGTTCGCGGGTGAAGCCCGCCGCCAACATGTCTTCGACGTCCTGGGGGGCGGAGGAGACGAAGGCGGTCGAGCTTTCCCATGTCGCGACGTAGGTAGGAAGCGGCGTGGGGAAGCGTACGAAGTTTATCGATAGCCACTTTGTTGACACCCAGCCCCAGCCCAGCATCGTGGCGATCTGCTCGTCAGACAGGTCGGTCGCGAGTGTGTAGAAGGGCGCAATGTTGGAGCCCGTCGGCGCACCAGCTTCCTGCTGGGGCGGGAGGAGCTGACGGCGGCCGACGCCAAAGAGGACTAAGACAAGTTCCTTCATAAGCTCGTTGCATTGCCACGATTTGGAGTTGTCGTCGCAACCGCCGCATCATGCGATATGGATGAGAAGGCACTTGCCCTGCTTGGCTTTCTCGACCCAGCGCTTTGCCTGCTGCTTGTCTTGTCCCTTTAGGACGTCCTTCAGGGAGAGGAATTGGATCGGCTGCCAGTTCTCCGGCGGCGCTCGCGTGATGTCGGCGTTCAGCCAGTCGATGCCACTGGCTACCTGCGGCCCCTCGTTCATGAGCTGCTCGTTGAAAATGGCGTGGTCGACAGGGGCCCTGCGTTGGTTCGCCGCCGGGGGCGCAGGCATCGGTGGAGCGGGCATCGGAGGGGCATGTCTCGGAGGGGTGGGCATCTGGCCGGGCATTGGGCCGGGCATCGGGGCGGGCCTCGGGGGAGCAGGCATTGGGGGAGCAGGCATGGGAGCGGGCATAGGAGCGGGCCTAGGGGGAGCGTGCAACGGTGGAGCGTGCATAGGAACATGCATAGGGGCATGCATGGGAGGGACGGTTGAGAAGGGGTCGTCGTAGCAATAGTCCTGTGGGACCTGCGCGGCGGGTTCAGGGATAGCGCTGTCATCAACGGTCATCGCGTCGACGTCAATTGGGGTGGTCTGAGGCTGGGCGTCGCGTTGGACTTGGACATAGGATAGGACTGAGGCTTGCGAGGGAGCATGTTCGCTTGTACGACCCGCTTGCTGTGATGTTATTGGGTCATCGCGCCTGCCGCTCGTTCCAGCCAGGCCGTGAACCCCCGGATAACCTGCCAATGGGTGACGCGGCGACTGCCGATATGCAGAAGCCGTTAGAACCTCATCACTAGTAAGGCGGCCCTGGCTTACCGGGGACTGGATGTTTGCAGTGATGTCTACGTGGATCTCGGGGCCCGTCTGTCGCATCGACGAGTGGACAGAGTTTGTGACGTGTTGCTCGAAGTGGAGCGGCGCGGAGTTATTGTTCCACGGGGCCGCGAAAGCGCTCGATTCCGCAGGAATAGCCGGGGGAGGGGTGGGCATTGCAGGCCTAGCAGACGGGGGCGGATGCTCACCGTACCTGCTGTGCCCAGCCGACGCATGGACGTGGGTAGGGTTCCCAGTCATGCGCGCCATCACAATGGCGGGAGGGTCAAAGAAGGAGTTCGGGTTAGGCAGGGAGGCGAGGTTTCGAATCATCTCGTCGACAGAGGAGGCTGAGAAGCTACCATTCTCCGATGTACGTCTGATGTGGTGGCCAACGCTGTGATCCCAGAGGAGGTCCGTGTGGTAGGTAGGGTCGTTCCAAGAGTTATTTTCTTCCTGGGGCGCGGCCTGCTCTGCATCCCAGGCTGCCGAAGGGTGAAGGTGGGAGGGGAGCGCGGGGCCCGTTGTCGGCGCCTGGTGCTCCTCGGAGGAGTCAGCGTGTGTCTCAGGGTCGGGCAACACGGTCCTCGCGAAAGCCGGGCCAGGAGAGAGCTGGAGGCGGGCCTGAGGCTGCGGCTGGGAAGACTCCCCGCCGTCGTCCACCGCCTCACGGGAGGTGCGGCGCCTCTTCCTGCTGTCGCTAGTGGCCTTCACGCCACTGTTCTGCGGCCGAGCCGCGGGGGATGGTGTGTAGGGGCGGCGAGGGGATCCGGGACTCAAACAGGGGATCGCAGCGCGGGTCACGTTCCTCTTGCGGCCACCACGTTTGACTTCGATCCAGCCGGCCTCGACAGAGGGAATGTTAGGGATAGAGGCTTGATAGCCTCAGAGTGCACAGAAACTCGTTAGAAGTGTTTACTTACCGAGTGGCTGCATCAGTGAAGGTTTGTTATGTGCTTATCTTACTCTCCTTATCTTTCCTTTATTCCTCTCAATGGACATCAATGTAGCGCTTTCATTGTTTTATTACCGAGGTATTGATTACCGACGTTTTAATGCTTTAGAAGCGCTTGTTACTGTATCTACTAAACGGACTATTACTGAGTTTCTAGTGTGTGTTCTTACTTATTATGACCAGATGCTTTCAGTACTGATACAAGAGCTATTGTATGCTCGGTAAATGATGGTTATTACCGATCAATTACCGAGTTATAATGGTTTTGTATCGGCATAGAAAGGAATGGCTGTGCAACAATTACCGAGCCATTCCTGAAGCTATGTTGAATGGCTGTGCTATCCTTAGGCTGTACACCGAAAATGCGGACTCTTGCATGCCTCGGTAATGCCTCGGGAATCACAGTCCTGAAACAGTGGCTGTACTGTGGCTGTACTAGGATGACTCGGTAACATAGCTTGCCTTGTTGGAAACAATGAAGTGTAAGGCTATGATCCTATTGTTCTCCTAGAATGGCCTCTGGAGCGGTGTAAATGAGTCAAGGACATGTACTATACACTTCTACGACACTCCTTGATTTTCTATATACTTCCATGTAGCTCCATTGGCTGTGTCCTCGGTAATGGCATAAAAGGGCATTCCCGAGCACGGTCAAGATCATCAATCATCCAATTCACCATCTACTCTTCACCGAAACACACCCTGTGTGCCACTCAAAGTCTTACTTTGTCCCGAGTGCTAAGTTAGCCATACTAGCCACTCAACCACTCTCGCCGAGTTCTTACCGACGCGCTCTAAGACCTGCGACAGTGAAACCTTACTTAGTACAGTCCTCGCGCTACTAGTAAGGTTTAAGTAACCCATTGACTGACTTCACAAGTTGAGTTCAGTAAGAGAAGGTGCTTAGTCATCATCTACTTCTGTAAACTTGTTACCAACATCAATAGATCTCTGTATCAACTAGTTCCATACTAGCACGTCTCAGTGGCATTACTATAATTAAAGTGGTTAGCCTAACCAGCAACTCACTTGACACTAAAGCAAGCCTTATAGCCATTAGCTGGTTGAGGATTAATTGCCTTAGTGAGTCCCTCTTGAAGCACGGCCTCGCGCTGCTACATTAGGGTTTTGTAACTTGCCATCGTCACTGTGCAGTCAAAGCTAGCTGTACAGACTTCCATTCAACTTCTGTTGTGTGACTTCAAAACCAAAAAAGCCCATTCCTTCGGAATCAACCTCTGGATACTAATCCTCTGTATTCAGACTTCATCCTCTATTCTGAAAAGCTCTAAACCTCGGCAATAATCCCCATTCATTGCCGACTCAAATCCATTCATAGCTTACTCTTCCCAGTTGAAGAGCAGTACTGCATACTTGTATAGCAGCACTGACTAAAGTCCCACCCTCTTTTGTATTTGTTGTGGATCTGGTATCCTCATTACAGCTCAACTTTGCGCCGTCTCGGTAATTGCATTGCCGAAGATTACCGAGGATTTTACCGTTTGTTACCGCTTTGTATAGGCAATACAAATCTCTATCACCGAGGTTACTATTCCTATTGACTCGGCAATAAACTCGGTAACTAGCTTTCTATAAACAAAAACAGAACCATAACAGGGAAGAGCTGTCACTGGGGCCGTGGCCGGGTGGGTAACGTCGTAGAGACCGCCGGGGCGAGTTAGGATGGGAGGGCTGACGTCCTCGGTGGCACTGGGACCGAGGTCTAAAGAGGGGACGTCATCGGTGCGCGGGGACGGTGTCAGTCTCGGCGTGCAGGGCATACCATAAATGGCGTGCGGCAAGGCGCTGCGACGACGACCAGCGAGGACGTCTGCAAAAGAGGCCACGCCAGGGCTGTCTGGCCGGGTATGAGCTCCTTCAGCGCCCGGGGAGGCGGCTTGGGCGCGGTTTTGTGCCTGCGGAGACGTCGACCCGGGGGCGGGCAGCGTAGGCTGGTGCAAACCTGGGGATTGCACTGGGGTCGAAGGGACCGTCGCGAAGGACCGCGGCGTTGGTTTACGTTGGAAGGCACTGGGGTGCATTTCGAGGATGGCAGCAAGAGGGAGGCAGCAGCAGAGAGAGGAGAGAAGGAGGAGAAATTACGCGCTTATTCCTTTTTATTTCGGCGGGGAGGGTTGACACCTTGCGGGAGCGTTCAGGGTCGTCGTAGCCTAGCGGGTCGGTAAGGCTACGCCTTACGGGACGATTGCATCGCTGTGTTCCTGCGGAGGTTATGCTGTAGGCGCGGGAGAGACAGTTACAATCCATTAGCTCCTCTCGGGTGTTGCGCAAGACGGCAGTGGCCTATCAGGTGTCTCTTGTTCTCTCGCAGTTTGCCCTTGTTCAAAGGCGCAGTGGCCCTCTGCAGCTCATCTTTGTGTGTTTGCATGAGGGAGGATGGGTCGGGGGCACTAAGCGCTGGGATCGGCCGTGCCTCGGCATGTGTCTGAGGAGATGGTGATCTGGCGTTGAGTGGGCGTATAGGGGACGTACCGTGCTCGATTCGGACGTGACAGCGCGAGAGGCCGTCCATCTCAGTCGGAGGGCGCTGATACGTGGCGCATCATGACATACAGAAGCTTCGATTCTTGGCCTTATCTTGACAGGTGTGGGAGGCTGTTACATACGGTGTCTAGCGGCCCAGGCTTGCCCTCTGACCCTCCCGCTCGATATCTCTCCAATAATTGTTCGCAATATTCGCTATTCTTCTAGCGAGGGTGGGAACGTCGTCTTCATCCACTTCGAACTCATAGGGATTCTCGTTCAAGTTGCGGAAGGCGGGGATGTTGGCGAAGGAGCGGTGTGGGGAGGGGTCGTTTGGGAGGTTGAAATAGTGCTCCTGATGGGTGAAGCTCTCGAGACTGTCGAGGATTGCCCACGGGATAGGGACGCGTAGGTTGCACGGCTGTGGCGCACCGACAATCGAGAAAGTGACCCAGTGTCGACGAAGATCTGTGATCACCGATAGGCGCCCTGTGCCTGACGTTTGGGCGTCTGTGAAGATCGTGATGCGGCTTCCTTTTTGGAGCTGCACCGTCGGCCTCTCGTCCGCGATCCAGGTAGGTCCGTGTTTGCCTCTGATCGTTGGGTATGGGAGGACTTTAACGGGGATGATAGGCAGGCCCTCGGGCGGGGTGTAGAGCGTCGGCAGTGGGGGGAGGGTGACGGGGGTGGGCGGTGGAGGAGGTTTCGCTCGACTGGTGCGTTTTTTGGGAAGTTTGGCGTTGCATTTCTGAAATTGTTTCTTGCTCCTTCTAGGGGCCATTACAGTGTGGCTTCCAGAGGAGTACGGGGTGTGCGATAAGGAGGGTGGGTGGTCGCGAACCTGTCGGACGTATATACTAACGGGCAAGCGCTTTTTTCTATCATTACGTTAGGTGTGCGCGCCTCGTAGTGAGGGAGTCTTATGTCAAGCATTAAGCCATTGGAAGTTAGGCGGAGGCTAGGCATTATATGGGGTGGGACGGCCACATCTTGTGTTTCTTTCCTGGGGGATGGATTCACAGTGTGTGTGTTTGCGTTGTTGTCCATTTACAGATAGTGGTCTCTATATGGAAAGTAGCGACAAGCTCGGAGACTTCCGGCCTCCTTTGTCTTTCTTCCATGGCGTGGACCCTAAGTGGGCTTCTCTTCTTTCGTGTTGGGTGAGCCAAAACCGCCGAGGGTGATTTGCAAGGTATGGCACCGGGGCAGGCGTGTATTAGGCTCTGGCGAAGCGGGTTAGCTGTGTGTGTGGCTGCATGATTGTACGATTATGGATGATGACCGCATATGGAAAGTTATGTCAGACACGGGTGGTGCCGGGTATTTACAGTTTATGTACGGGTGGCTGAAACTCTAAATAGGCGCCGTCACCGTAGGGCCGCATGCTGCGGGGGAGGGAAGGAGGTGGGAGGGAGGGCGAGCCACTCGCGCTCGCTTTGTGGGGACTCTGGGAGCTTGTGGAGGGAAGCAAAGTGAGGAGTCACCACGAGGCGGTGACAGGTAGGGTGAGATATGTACGGCGTGGGGTGGGGGAGGGGTATGCATGTGTGGGGAGTGAGCGCGTACGTGAGCGTTCGTAGGCGTTCCGTAGCTATTTGTTGCTCGAGGGTGAGCATAGCAAGAAGAGGCCTTTTGGCACAAGGAGTTTCCTCCGATCCCTTTCGGGGCTGGGTCTTGGCCTTTCGGGCAGCAAGATGGTCCCAAAGACTTCGACCGTTAGGCTCGTAGAGTCTTTTATAGCGCATGTTCGTTTCGTCCTAGAGGACTACTTACCCCCCGGGACCACGAGAAGGTCTGCGCAGGGCGTCGACGATGTCGAGCCCTCCCGGGGGGCACCCGGAACTCCATTCATCTTGATTCTCGCCTTGTGCTTGTCCTAGCACGTCTCGCCTGGTTGCACCGTCTGGTCCCCCGCTCGCGAGTGCCCCTCCGGTTCCCTCTGTGGCCCCTAGACCCTCAGGCCCCTCCTTGCCTCTGCGCCCGGCCATGCCCACCGCCGCCGGAGCTACAGCCTTGACAGTTTACACTGATCCCCCGCCACCGCTCCCTTCCGGTGGCTCCGAAGCCTCGCAATCCCAGTACAGATTGTTAGTGTACGCACCACAGACGCCATTGTTATGGTTCTGTTTTTGTTTATAGACAGCTAGTTACCGAGTTTATTGCCGAGTCAATAGGAATAGTAACCTCGGTAATAGAGATTTGTATTGCCTATACAAAGCGGTAACAAACGGTAAAATCCTCGGTAATCTTCGGCAATGCAATTACCAAGATGGCACAAAGTTGAGCTGTAATGAGGATACCAGATCCACAACGAATACAAAAGAGGGTGGGACTTTAGTCAGTGCTGCTATACAAGTATGCAGTACTGCTCTTCAACTGGGAAGAGTAAGCTAAGAATGGATTTGAGTTGGCAATGAATGGGGATTATTGCCGAGGCTTAGAGCTTTTTGGAGTAGAGGATGAAGTCTGAATACAGAGGATTAGTATCCAGAGGTTGATTCTGAAGGAATGGGCTTTTTCGGTTTTGAAGTCACACAACAGAATTTGAATGGAAGTCTGAACAGCTAGCTTTGACTGCACAGTGACAATGGCCAGTTACAAAACCCTAATGTAGCAGTGCAAGGCCGTGCTTCAAGAGGGGCTCACTAAGGCAATTAATCCTCAGCCAGCTAATGGCTATAAGGCTTGCTTTAGTGTCAAGTGAGTTGCTGGTTAGGCTAACCACTACAATTATAGTAATGCCGCTGAGACGTGCTAGTATGGAACTAGTTGATACAGAGATCTATTGATGTTGGTAACAAGTTTACAAGATGAGATGATGACTAAGCACCTTCTCTTACTGAACCCAACTTGTGAAGTCAGTCAATGGGTTACTTAAACCTTACTAGTAGTGCAAGGACTGTACTAAGTAAGGTTTCACTGTCGCAGGTCTTAGAGCGCGTCGGTAAGAACTCGGCGAGAGTGGTTGAGTGGCTAGTATGGCTAACTTAGCACTCGGGGCAAAGTAAGACTTTGAGTGGCACACAGGGTGTGTTTCGGTGAAGAGTAGATGGTGGATTGAAGATATCTAGATGTCCTTGACTGTGCTTGGGAATGGCCTTTTATGCCATTACTGAGGACATGGCCAATGGAGCTACATGGAAGTATATAGAAAATCAAGGAGTGTTGTAGAAGTGTATAGTACATGTCCTTGACTCATTTACACTTGCTGGGGAGAGGGCCATTACTGGCAGTACAATCCCTTCGGTGTCAGTTCACATTGTTTTCTGCTGTAGTTCACCGGGTAGGGACACTAACAAGCTATCACAGTGTTTGCTGGGGGTTGCTGTATTGATGATACTAGATACTGTCAGTATTGATTAACACAGTATGACAGAATGAGTTGCTTCACAGTATATTGTGTGAGATTGGGGTATGTTGTATTAGCACCCACTGTTTGGGCCACTCTTTCATTGGAAAGTTGCTTATTGAGTGTCTTGTTGAGCTTACTGACTGCTGGTATATCACCACTGATTCATCAGATGACATTCTTGCACCTATTGTGATCTACGCATACTCGGGGAATTCAATTGGTGCTACATTGGGAATGGGGAATTCATCTTCGTAGTATGACCGCTGCCCATTTCCTGCAATTATTTCCAGCTGCACCAGTCGGCATGCACGCGACATATTAAACTGTACGCTGCACAAGAGGCGGTGTCCGTCACGGTTGACGCAACAGCATGAGAATTCTACCCCTCCAGCATAGGTGACTATGTGTTCGTAGTAGGTAGAACTGTTGTGGCAATCATATTATGTGAATGAGTCGGAATGATTAATGATATCTAAACTCACTAGGTGTGTGACCAAGGCACATTGGGTTCAGTGGCAGCGGCAAGGCGCTGGGCATCGAGAGCGGCTTGAGAGCGCAGAGTGTGAATGCCCAAGGGATGGACAAAACCTGCTTCCACTTGGCGTACCCGTTCAACTATGACGTCCGGATACTGCTCAGTGCCAATAGAGGGATCCATACTCGAATAGTACGGCTGAACTGATGATGAGCGGGTTGTGGTTTGGAGTGAGAGAAAATTTACTGAACGCGCGGCCTTACTTCCCCAGCGTCTAATTTTGAACTCCTATTTTTAGGCTTTAATCTATCTGTAGCGGTGCAAGCACGGATCCCCAACTCCTCTTGGGAAATTCAGACTGCATAAGGTTCTAACAATAAGTACTTAGTACTAGGAAATAGTCTATTAGAACAATATCACTATGCACCTCCTAAAATATTGTGGTACTGAGCCGGCATCACTGTCATTCAATATTGTCAATGCCTACTGTTGGAACATACGGCCAAGCGCGTGCCGGAATGCCGACGTGCCGACGTGTCGCAATACAGCGCAATGTTACTGTACCCGCCGCTTCCCCTTAATGTACCTGCCCCATCGATGATACCTCGTATATAGGTCTGTGACTGCCTGTATTTACTCTTCGTGTGTTTGCCTCCCCGCTCCGAGGATGAGACAAACCACTTTGATTCTATTGTGTTCCCACCAATCTTCTCGCTTGTTCTCATGTGATGCGACCTCACTTCAACACCTACTTACTAGTGAGACTCACTCGGAGGCCCCTGGAGGCCCTCGCACCCATGGCGGCTTTGCCGCCTGGGCATCTCGGGGCCTCTAAGGCAGCATCTGTTGAAGTAAGCGGTGGCGGGGCGTGGGAACAAGCGGGCGTAACGAGTAAGCAGCGGGAATCAATAGGTACTGGAGTGGTTTGTCTTGTCCTCGGGGCGGGGAGGCAAACACGCAAGGGTAAATACACAAGGATTGCGAGTAATATATGAGTCCGTAAATGATGGGGAAGGTACATTAAGGGGAATGGCAGGTACAATAGCATCGCACCGTGATGTGGTGCGTCAGTGCATTGGTATTTGGGCACACGCTTGGCCATATGTTCCAACAGCATCCACTTTGACCTGAACTGTCTTAGTCTATGTTAAACCACACCCAATCCTTTGTTGACAAGAAACTGGAGATGCAACTTCATAACACACTTTTATATATACTTGCAGAGACATTGCATTGAGATCCAGCCAATGGAGCCGGGATGGAGTGGAACTACCTGCTATATGTGGAAAGCACGTGTGCTTGGTGCCAGGACTGCACCTCATTATGGTAAGAGTTGCTCCTGTTATGGACAGTTCTCCCACGTGTATGGCGGCATGCTACGGCTTCTTGATGTTTCATCTTGAGAAAGCCCTCCTCCTTTGGGAGGAGTCGGGGATCCATTTATGGTGCTTGTCCCCTTCTATACATTGATAAGTACTCATTCCTCATTCATATTCTTTGTGCGTGTTGGGTTGATAGTTGTTCTGGCTGACAAATATAGGTTGTGTGCATGATGTTACAATAATATTGGGGTGAGGGAATGTAATATTTGCGACGAAAGGGGGGGTACGATAGCGTAGGACGGCGAAAATTCTATGATTGTGACGACTGGGATATGCTCAATACATTCCCGAACGCTCCTCCATCCGCAAGCATGCTTCGTGTGTGGCCAGCATCATGTCCACACCCTGCTCCCACAAGTTGTCGTCCCATCCAAGGAGACTTGAATCCTTGGGATAGTTGTATGGCCAATAGTAGAAATAATCAGTCCACACTTGACCGAAGTAGTTCGCGTACGCAGACATGTACTCGTACGCGCCATTTGGGAGGCGGACCACCCAGGTCTTGCACAGACCACTGCTTGAATGTGTCAGCAGCTAAGGGTGCTATGGGTAATAGATCTTTACTAGGTTTTGCAGATATGTGCAGTGTTTGCGACTCTGCCATCAACCTTCTTCCACTTTTGATGCACACTCAGAGCCCAATCGAGGGCAACTTGTGGTCCCTGTGGCATCAGGGAGATCGAGCAAGAGCGGGTGCCATCATCGCAAGGTAGAGGAATTGCCGGCCTGACCGAGTCAAAGGCTGGGAGGAACAGGCGGCGGCTGCGGACTGGGCACCACTGCATCGTGGACGTCAAAGTTAGGGATGTTTGGATAGCAGTGGTGGGGGTTTTTAAATAGTGATGTGCTTCTTTTACATGCGCTGAATGCTTCCGTTGGAACACGTGTATCAATACCGATCATTCTGGCAGTCAGCGTCTATTGGTACAGTCTAGAATGAGCCATTGTCCAACTGCCAGTTGTACCCCCCTCTGCTGGTACTGTAACTGAAATACTGTTTGTACTGGAACTCCGACCTTCCCCACGGAGTGACCACCACCAATTGCCAGGTGACCATGGTCGTCACAAGGTTGAGTTGGATGCTCACACGCATCTTGCGGTTGGCGCATCAGTCGTAGTGCACCCACGTGAACTCCACTCCATTGGGCAGGATGTGGATCCATTCTTTGTAGAATGTTCTAGATCGTGCTAAGTCATTTTGGGAACCAGCTGAGAATTCACCTAAGCCTACATGGTCCGGTGAAATGTATTGTCGGCTTGTCCATAGTCTTTGATGTAGGTGATTGCATCACGCTGACAATTTGTCCAGATCTCTAGCCCAACCATCCCGATTGGCATCTCCCGGGACACAACTTCCTCAAATGGTTTGACAAAGTGGATGATCGGTTGCGTAGTCATGGTCAGCTTTGGTGCTAGGACAATATAGGGCATGGTGCGTGGTATAAGAGGCGGGATAGGTAGGGCTGAGTTGCGGCACAGAGTAAGGTTGTGAGGGACAGGTTGCGGTTGGGGCATGCATGAGTATAAATATACAGTGATAGGCCCTGCATCTGTCTGCAGAGCCGCTAACACATCTTGGGATGACAGCTAGGGCCTTAGCTTCACGAAGCTTCGCAGGCCGTAAGTCTTAAGTGCCGTGTGAATTGAGGAACTTGAAGTCCAAGAACAATGGAACATGTTTGCAGTCTGGCTGGGTCGGCAGATTTGATCACCGATCCGCGTCTTGATGAATTCATGGTGCTTGTCCCCTTCTATGCATTAATAGGTACTCCTTCCTCATTCATACTCTTTATCACTATTGCAATTGTACTATCCAAGGCCGGAGTCTAGGCTGTTCAAAATCACTACACTGGGACTCACAAGAAAGCGCAAGTGAATCTGAAGAATCAGATTCAAGATCGGAATCAAGCGGAATTGATGAATGGGTGTAAGATTTGCAGAAGTTTCCCTTCAATGCTAATCAAAATGCACTCACACACTGTCACACATGGCACATCACATATACCTGGGGATTCAGGTCAACACCCACCATCACACCCCAATACCTCACACGCTACCACAATGAGCTCAGAATCGTCTGCTGTGTCTTATGTTCCCACCCCGTACGTTCCTCCTGGCCACTGACCTCACATCACTGGAATCTTCCATAACCACGACCACACGATCCTTAACCCTGACTTCTTCTCTGAGGTCCCTATTGAGTATCTTGTGCTGGCGCAACTTGGATATGAAACATGCGACACGCGGTTGTATCCCCACACCCAAGTCCTCATCCTTGACATTGTACACGTCAAATTTGCCTCATCAGTCCTCCGGCCGTATGGATGGGTCGTCATGGACATCTATGGTCCAGTCCACCTCACGCGACCAATACACTCTGCACGGCGCGATGTGCTGGCCTTCCAAGGCTGGTGTCTCGACCTCGCCTATCAGGTGGACACCAACAACCGTGCCAACTTCAACCCCTGTATCATATACCTTCCCCGCTCCTGCTTCATGGAGCCGGTTGTTCCACAACCTGCGCGTACCTGGATGTACGTCTGGGAATCAGTCATCAGTTGCTTCAAGTCCATGAGCTGGTACGTTCTTATCATTTCTCCACCCCTCATGGCAACAAGGACATTGCATTCTAAACATGGGGGTGGATGCCCAACTTGCAAAGATCATTGCTAATGGAAAACATGTACCAGCATTTGCAGTCATGATGAAGATACTGTCTTTGACTCAGAGGTTGAGATGGGCAGCATGGGGGAGAGTGGTGAGATGGGTATCTGAGGACCAAATTGCTTTATTTGTATAATTCATGGACTACATAATAGACAATGACTGCAGTTTGGATGATCTTATTTGAGGGAACAAATAAGTGAGTAATATACTTCAGTAATATGAACAATGCTACTGCACTTTTGAGAGATGTTCCATCATGTCCTGACATATAGTGCTACTGTCATATTCCTATTTCCCAGTGTACGCAACACACCTGTTGCTGTTGCTTTTAATTGTCCCTCATTTGTACATTTTTTACCTGTCTCTCTTCCATCATTGAACCATATTTTGCCATCTGTTGAGATAATGCGGCAGGTGAAATGAAATCCTCCAAAATAAATTACTCCCACCAGACGGTAATCCACTTGGCCTTGTAAAGTGGGCAATGTGAGCTGCTTACTGAGTTTTGTATTGTCTGCTTGGTATACATTGAATGCAATGAAAATGGGTGCTCGCAGAACTGTACATTCATGGATCATAGTTGCATTGCAGACTCTGCATCTGTCAGGCAACCTATGTTTCAAGGCTGCCTTAATCCATTGGGCCATAGTCCGGGTCTCTGATGGATGGCCACGTGCTATTCTAGAATTCCATAGTGTTGCATCCAGTGCCCAGAGCTTGGTACAGGCTGTGATTTCATGTTCAACAACATGACATGATGAACAACAGTCAGATTCATGATAGGTTGGGGCTTGGCTTGCAATAACAACTTTGCAGAGTGCATACAGGTCAGATCCAGCTGGGGCTATAATTGGGAATGACCCTGGGTCCTGTGCATGTAGCATTATATGCATGCTGTCCCTCACAGAGTCCAATTCCAGCTCATTGTTTCTGACCTTTGCCAACAACTTTGTGAACCTGGTTAATATTGCATTTTGGCTCTTGATGTCTGGTTCCCATATCATATTTTGCTCCCTGTATAGGTTGTGCAATATGCCAAATAGGGTATCAAATGCACAGCTGTATGTCTCATTATTCCAAGTGAAACATACAGGCTCCTCTTGACCAGCCATGTTCATACTGGATGTACGTGTGCGCTTGACTTCTCTTTGCAAGCTCTTATCCTTTGCAGTGTGCTTCCTTTTATTTCTTGAACCAATATCATTGCTCACAGTAGCAAGCTGAGTAGTTCCCTTTGCAGGGACATACGTGGCTGTCTGGAGATCATGTTTTGTGAGATTGGTGGGATCTGTATTGGCACTTGACTCTGCAAGGCTGTCTGGGTCTTTTTGCAACTGGGGCTGTTTGTCCCTATTGGCTCACTTCACCATTTCCCACTGAGACTCCTTATATGGTTTCTCAACATCAAATGGCTGCTTCTCTGACCATTTCAATGCACTATGCATGGTATTTGGCATATACTTGGCACCTTTCATGGTGCGGTATGAATGAATGAGAGCCACACGGGTCACACCCTCAACACTTGGACTTAATGTCCCATCATACTTAAGCTTTGTTATCTCATCCAGCAGCTCAAGCTCTCTGAATTCCTGTCTTAGCCAGCCAGTTACACCACCCATGAACTTGGAGTTGTCAAAACCCTGTACAATAATGGTCCCTTGGTATGTGGATCCACGGGAAAGGCAGGTGTACACTGACTGGTGGTTCTTGCAGTTCTGCAAATCAACCACATTATAGGGCCGTGTGTGTCCCTGAGAGCTGAAATCTGTCATGGCAAAATTGGGTATCAATGCTACCTGTGTCCTATGGATTGTTAATGTGCGGTCATTGGGCATCAGACAAGGTATCTTCATAGACTGTGCAGCAATGGGCACTACATTTTCTGGAAGGCCATCCAACTTCACAGGTGTTGGCGCAGCTGTGAGCTTTACAAATACAACCTCAAGCATTCTCTTATCACCAGTTAGTGGCTTAGATGACCAGCCAACAACAATGGCTTCTGCACCATTTGTTACATTGCATTCTGTGGCTTCATTTGCCTTGATCATGACAGGTAGTCCTATACACAGTCACAACTTTCCTGGATGGTTATTAGTGTCCTTGTGTGGCAGAATCCAGAGCTGTTCCTGCAGATGAGGATGAATCGTGTCAACATTGTGCTTCACCTCTGCATTCTTCTTGGATTTATTGTGCCTAGTACCCTCGTCTGGACTGCCATAGTGATCAAGTGAATAGAATGTCTCCAGTGTCTGTCCTGTATCCTTGGCAAATCGTGTCACACCACGCTCATTGATGCGGTCTCTGTGTGAGTTGTATGATAGAATCATGGACACATTCCGGAAGTTGGGATCATTCAGCTTGGGCTTGCCTTTTCCACGGCCAGCTATACGGCCCCGCAGAAAATTGAGATCAGTATGCCTTGTAGCGCAGATTCTCTAGCGGTTTCCTGAATTTGGCATTCTCCAAGGTCTGTGATTTTTGTCGCATGTTCTGTCGGAGTATGACCACTGTTGTTACTTGATGCCATTGGCTTTGCCTAGAGATGCCTCTTGCTGCCTCCAACTAGATGCAGAGTGCCTGAGACTGCTGACCTTGGCTGAGAACAATGAGAATCCTGAACCTGGTGGCTCAAGCTGGGCAAAATCACCAGCAAAGATCATGTTGCCTCCAAAGGGCTCTCCATCATTATGGAAAATGTGGCACAGACAAGCTGAGATATCATATAAATGATTGCAGTCCACCATGGATATCTCATCTATGAACATGTAGTCCACATTCTTCAGCCTGTCACGCACATTGCGCAGAGTACCTGAGTTTGCATCCCCATACTTTGAGAAACCTAACATGGAGTGATAGGTTGATCCTGATATAAGTGAGGCAGCAGAACCTGTTGGTACCATGCATATAAATCTGTATCCCTCATTACGGGAATGGAAGAATGTAATCAATGCCTTGATGACTTGGGAGTTGCCTGTTCCAGCCATGCCACCCAAGTACATCTTCAATGTTTCTCCCTGTGGCTGGGTGGCATGATTAGCAACAATGCGGAATGCCCGTTCTTGCTCGGTATTAAGCTGGAAGTTGTTTACTGTATGATCAATGATGTCCTGATTTTTCTTGTCTGAAGCTTTAAATTTGGCTGACATGTAGTCATAGTCCACTGCTTTGACAGAGTCCACATAGTCAGGCGCTGTAGGATGTGTGAGTTATTATTAATCACTGGAGGGTGCCTGTTCCTCTCATGAGATCCATCTGACGGGAAGTGAACTGGTGTGCAGCAAATGCATCATCCCAAGATTGCCCAGATTGCTTCAGGTCTGTACCTGTCCTCCATGGCTTGAACAACATAAGCATAACAAGACAATACTCTTCCCTGTTTCCTTTGTCTTTCCTTGGAAGACTGCCACCTACAAAGTTAGGGACCCTTGCACAATGCTCAGGCTGCATGACTGCCATGCGTGTCTCATACTGCGGATGGGTTGGAAGAAATCGACTAGTGTGACGGATAGGCATCACTATGCCTGTCCAGTACTATAGATTATGAACCATCTAGTGTAGATAAGATTAGATCATGCATGTACTTAGCCATCTGCCTTCCTTTTTGGGAAGCAACTGATCTTAACCTTCTACTGCCACCTCGTACGCGTGCGAATCACCGCACCGTCCGAGTGTGGAGTCCTGTCTCTAGTCGAGAGTGCTCCTCGCACTCTGACAAACAGTGCGAGCTCCTCGCCGCGCTGAGGAGCACGGCTCCTCGCTGTCTCCTAAACCGGGCGGCTCCTCGCCAGCTCATTGCCCTGGGCTCCTCGCCGTGGGCTCTCCTCGCAGGCTCCTCGCCAGCGTACGACTACAGCCGGCTCCTCGCCTTGCTGACGACAACAGCCGGCTCCTCGCCACGCTGACGACACTCGACTAGGCTCCTCGCCCGTCTAGGAATGACCCTCAACTGGCTCCTCGCCCCGTCTAGGACTCACCCATCAGCACTGGCAGCAGTGCACCAAGGTCGCCCCTGGCCTATAGAGCCGTGAAGCCCGTTCACACCCCTGAACAAGGCCTCCCAGATAGGCCGAACTCTTACATTGGTGGACACTCAGGGGAACGGTCCACTTCCCTGCTCTATTACGGCCAGCTCATCATTCTATTCCTGTCTAATCATTGCCATTCACTTCCTATCCTATCTGGTCCATTATAATGCCTTTGTCGACGTGGCTTCCCAGGTCCCAGTGGGATGCCCTGTCACCATTCCGGGAACTCGAGCGCGCATTCCCGTCGAACAGCGCGCGCGAGTACAGCGCCCGCACCTTCTCCTCGACGATCGCGCCTCGAGGCTACCCTCCACCCCTTTCCGCCACTCCCCGCGACTCGCGAGCCTCTCCAGTGCCCGTTCCGTGCGTCTGGAGGTCCGTGGGAACGGAACCAGCGCGCAAGCGCCGGAGCGCGCTGAACGCGCGGCCCTTCGCGCTCGACTTCCCTCGACCTCCACCCCTCTCGTGCCCGGCCGACCACCCGAACGCTCAAGGCACCACCCTCGCAGACGGCCCTCAAGACAAGTACAGAGCTGTGCGAAGCCGCACGCTCGGTACAGGTAGCTGCACCGCCACCTCCAGCACCAGGCCGGAAGTCGAACGACCGCGCGCCTTGCGCCATGGCGAAGCCGACGCGTCGACGTGCGCGCTAGCACCGCGACCGGAGGCCCCTCACTCGACGAGGTCGATCGACACGCAGCGCTCCTGCGAGCAACCACGCGCGCTGCGCAACGGCGAGCCCAACACGTCGACGCGGACGCTAACACCCCGGCGGAACGGCCCACGCACGACGCGTACGGCCGAGGCCCAGTGCACCCGCAAGCCCGACGCACCGGCCGCCTCGACGCGCGCAAGAGCTAACGCAGCCGAGGATCCGCGCGCCGCGCTCACGAGCCGCGCGTCCTGCGCCTGCAAGACCGTCTCGCAGGACGCACCGACGATCGCGTGGACGAGCCCCGGCGCAGGAGCGAGCATAGACACGGGTAGAGAGGAGTGGACCCCGGTGAGTTCCTCAACACTTCACCCTCCACCGTCCTCTCCGCCGCCCTCGCCCTCGCCTTCGCTCGTGCTCGCCGCGGCTCTGCGCGCCGAGCTCGCTCCACCTTCTACCCTGCGCGTGCGTCGTGCGCTCGCGCCCTCTCCTGTCGCGTCCGCGCCCTACGGCACACCCTCTCCCTTCGCCCGTCGGTCGCCCTCTCCCACTCGCTCGCACGCGCCGTCTCCCGCACGCACGCACGCATCGACTCCTGCGCGCTCACATCCGCCGTCTCCCGCGTGCTCGCACTCGCCCTCGCGCGCACGTTTCGCGGCTGTGCCCGCCGCCCTCGCCCCGCCCCCGCTTTCGCTCCAGCTCTCGACCGGCGTGCCTGCGATCCGCGAGCGCGTCGCGCCGTCTTCCTTGGAACGCGCCCGCCGTCTGCCGTCTCCTGCGCGCTCGCGCTCGCACTCGTCCTCGCTCGTGCGCTTCGCGGCTGTGCCCGCCGCGTTCGCTTCGCCCTTGCTCGACAACCACTCGACCGCCCACGGAACCACCCCGGCGGACAGCCCTCAAGATAAGTACCGAGCTGCGCGAAGTTGCCGCGCGCTCGGTACAAGCAGCTGCCCCGCCGCCTCCGGTTCAAGGCCTAAGGTCGAGCCACCGCGCCCTCTGCGCGACGACAAGTTCGAAGCGTCAGCGCCCCGCGAATGCGACGCACCGTCTCCTTCCGAATGCGCGCGCTCGCACCCGCCCGCGCGCGTGCGTTTAACGGCTGTGCCCGCCGCGCTCGCTCCTTCCTCGACGCTGCCGCCCGCCGCGCTCACCCTGTCCTCCGCACGCTCATCCTCACTCCCGACCCACGCGCTCTCGACCGATGTGCCTGCGGTTCGCGAACGCGTCGCGCCGTCTTTCTTGGAACGCGCCCGCCGTCTGCCGTCGCCCGCGCGCTTGCGCTCGCTCCCGCCCTCGCTCGTGCGCTTCGCGGCTGTGCCTGCCGCGCTCGCTTCGCCCTCGCTCGACCAGAACTCGACCGCCCACGGCTTCGCCCCCACAAACAGCCCGCAAGATGCGTACCGAGCCGGGCGAGATCGCACGCTCGGTACCGGCAGCCGTCCCGCCGTCACCAGCTCAAGGCTGGAGGGCGAACATTCGCGCGCCCCGCGCGACAGCGTGCCCGACGCGTCGACGCGTACGCTAGCGCCCCGACTGGAGGTCCCTCACCCGACACGGATGACCGAAGCGCACCACGTCCGCGAACTAGACGTACCGGCTAACTCGTCGCGTGCAACAGCAAGCGCGGAGGAGGGCTCGCTCGCCGCGCAAACAAACCGCGCATCTCGCGCCTACAAGGACACCTCGCAGGACGCATCGACGCGCACGGCCAGGCACCCTAGGGATGCACCGACGAGTGCGCGGACAGACCACCGCGATGGGAGGAGCGGGGAGATTGACAGAGAGGAGAGGAAAGTCAGGATGACTCCGGTGAGTACGACTGCCCCTCATCCCCCGTCCTCTCCACCGCCCTCATGCTACGTGCCCTCGCCCTTGCCCGTCTCCGCTCGTCCGTTTGCGCTCTCGACCGATCCGCCTGCGCCCCGCGAACGTGATCCGCCGTCTCCCTTCGAACGCACCCGCCGGCTGTCTCCCGCGCGCCCGCACACGTCGTCAATCGTGCGCTTTGCGGCTCTGCCCACCGCTCTCGCTCCGCCCGCGTTCAACGACCACTCGCCCCCGCTTTCGCTCTCGAACGGCGCGCGTGTCGCTGCGCCCTTGCCCTCGCTCGACAATCCTCCTTCCGACGAGCCTCTACGCACGCAGCCCGCGCGTCCTGCGCGTCCTCTCTCGCGTCCCGTCAGCCCCTCGTCGCGCACTTCCGCTCCGGTGCGTTGTCAAACCATCTACGAGGATGTGCGATTGGTACTCCGCACTCCTCGTAGCCAATTGGCCGTTGCCGAGGTGACGAACAAAGACTGCGGCGCCCGCGCTCAACAGGAAAACGGGCAACAGTTTGGCGGCGCGACACGCGAAGGGCAAGCCCTCGTTGATGCGCTACGTGAGGAACAGCCCGCACGCGCTGTTTCGCCGCGGTCTCACGCGCGAGCAGTAGTGCGCGCGCATCACGAACAGCACCTTCGAGCCGCCGCGCAACACAGAGATGAGGCACAAGCCTATCGCCGAGCCTACGAGTTTGCGCAACACGAGAGCGTGCCTGCTCGTGCCGCTTCACCCTCGACCGTGCTCACCGCGCGTCCACTCGCACTCGATGCACTCGACTCGCACGACTCTGTGCCATCGTCATTGACGTGTCCACCGGTGTCGTTGGAAGACGTGGCCCTTGCTGGTACCCACTTTCCCGGCTCCGCACGTTCGCCCTTGCCGCTGCATGTGTCGTCTCCATCGCCAGACACGCTCCTTCCGATGCGCTCTTCTGCGCCCTCGCCACCGCTTGGTCTGCCTTCGTGCGACAGCGTCTCCCCGCCTTCCGCGCGTCCGTCGCCGCCGCCTGATCTCGCGTCCTGCAGCTCCGCATCCGCGCTCGCCCCGCAACGCGAAACACTCGCCCAGTTCTGGGGCAGTTTCATGCGGAAACCCCAGGTTTCGACAACCCACCCACCCTCTACCACGCCTCCTTTATCCTTACGCCCACCTCTTCTCGTTGGAATCTCGAGCCGAAACTCCCCACGGATCGTTCCGACTTGAGATTGGGGGGCAGTAGGGGGTAGGGGAGGACAGGCACCTAGGATGTAGGCTAGAAGGGCCAGCCGACCCTAGCCCGGGCAGGACGGCCACTCCCTGCGAGGAGGACAGCTTAGGATGGAATCCAAGCTGAAGGCTTAGCCATGGGACTGGAGCTCGGGATGCTGTACGAGTGGGAGGACACGGTACCAGCAGGACAGCTCAGTCTCTGTGCAGGACGGAGTCCAAGCCAGAAGCTTAGCTGGACTCGGACTGGAGCTCAGCGGGTTGTGCGAGTGGATGAACGAGGTACAAGCTGGTGAGCTCAGTGCGCAGTGTGGTTTTGGAGAAGCGCAAGAGTGCGCGAATTGGGACCTTTTTCAAAACTTCGCTTTTTCTTCTTTTTTCCATATGTTTTCTCCTCTTTTCTCATGCTCATGTCTACTCTACACCCCACATCCACACTATATGCTTCATAATGGGGGGCTCTGTGACGGATAGGCATCACTATGCCTGTCCAGTACTATAGATTATGAACCATCTAGTGTAGATAAGATTAGATCATGCATGTACTTAGCCATCTGCCTTCCTTTTTGGGAAGCAACTGATCTTAACCTTCTACTGCCACCTCGTACGCGTGCGAATCACCGCACCGTCCGAGTGTGGAGTCCTGTCTCTAGTCGAGAGTGCTCCTCGCACTCTGACAAACAGTGCGAGCTCCTCGCCGCGCTGAGGAGCACGGCTCCTCGCTGTCTCCTAAACCGGGCGGCTCCTCGCCAGCTCGTTGCCCTGGGCTCCTCGCCGTGGGCTCTCCTCGCAGGCTCCTCGCCAGCGTACGACTACAGCCGGCTCCTCGCCTTGCTGACGACAACAGCCGGCTCCTCGCCACGCTGACGACACTCGACTAGGCTCCTCGCCCGTCTAGGAACGACCCTCAACTGGCTCCTCGCCCCGTCTAGGACTCACCCATCAGCACTGGCAGCAGTGCACCAAGGTCGCCCCTGGCCTATAGAGCCGTGAAGCCCGTTCACACCCCTGAACAAGGCCTCCCAGATAGGCCGAACTCTTACAACTAGGCTCATGGAACTGTTCAGCAGCATACTTCTTTTCATCCTCTTCTGCCTGAAGTGCAGTATCCTTGGTAAGCAACATTTCATCGTCACTATCAGTCTCATATTGTGTGGTGGGTCCACCACCTCGCTGTCTGGGCAAAGGCTTGATGTCCCTGACCTGTTCAGCTTTCACATTTTGTGTCAAATGGGTGATCTTTTCATTGACACCTCTGAGCTTTTGTGTTGCTTGCTTTTTTGCACGACCCATGGTCTGTTTTTCAGCCAGTCGGATCCAGTCATATAGGCTAACATGGTCATATTTTGTAGGCCTGTGGATGTAATCAATCTGCTGGGATATGCCAACAAAACTGTCCTTGCTCTTTCCAATGACCACCTTGACAGGGTTCTGGTCAAGATTATGCCATATGTCTTCCTCAGTCCAGGCTTTCATCACTTCATACTTGTAGCTGCACCAGTAAAATGGTTTGAATATGTGGCTAGTATAATGATCAGGATGGTTGAGTAAATACATACAGGCCATAGGTGCTCCAGTTTCTGCACTTGCAGACAGTGCATTGACCAGAATATTCTTGTAATAAGCTTACGGGCCCGAATTTTCCTGTCTGTGCCATCCTCCGTGAGGAGTTCTGTGTTGCGTGTAAACACAGTCTTTACTGCAGAGAACATTGTGTGGGTCTTCAGTGGTATTTTGGTGATGTAGTCTGTGACATAGGCTGTGATAGCTTTGATGGCAGTCCCTGAGAGCAGACTGGTCACATCACTATTGCATCGCAAGATATATGTCAGTGCTGGGGTGAAGCTATTTAGCCGGGCTTCTCCCTGTTTCATGAGCAATGCTCCACTGTTAGGGTCAAGTATGGTACACGGCCTCACAGGACGAGGGAATCGTCTCTTGCAGACCTTGAGCAATTTACCTGTTTTCTGATCCAACTTGCAGCCACCTGCACCTGCAGAGCACTGATGTCTGTTGGATTTGTACAGGATATCATTCACTGTCTGTCTGAATTGAGCCCACCAATTGCTGTCTGAATAGCATGTGCAGCCAGCACAATCTGCTTCATGCTTGACAGATGGTGGTGGTAGCGGCAGAGTCAATGTAGGAGGATCCTGATAGTCCTTGGATTCTTGTGAAGTTTTGATATCCTCCTCAACATTGGCCATAGTTGAGCTCACAAACTCAGCTTGGTGTGTACCCTCAAGATATTCAACCATTTTTTGTTGAAAATCAGAGTTGGGATCCATGATACGGTCTCTGATTTCTTGTGGTGTGAGTGAATTCACAATCCATAACATGAGATGAAGATGAAGTGTCATGCGTCCTTGCTGTTCCACAGTGCCATAGCATGCTGCAGTTTCACCATATAGCCCAGGATGAGCAGCTCCCACTCCTAAGACATGCTTGATGAATAGCTCCACTACAACATGGAAGAAGCGTGCACCAGCAACTGGGTTTGAAGCAATTAACCTTGTACGGGTGTCACTATCCAGTACTAGTTCTGGCTTGTATGTCTCATTTGTGTCAGCAAAATACAGGCAAAGCGGATGTTTTACATCTGCTGGTGCAAATGTAATGAACCATGAGGGTGCTCCAAGATATGAAGTAAGAGCCCATATCTCATTTCTCATGTATTTTCTGTTGGTCAATGAACCCTGAACTTTATGTGCAACATGGTCAATGTCCTGTATGAGCTGGTAGCAGTCTTTCTCAGCCTGTGTCTCTGGCTTGTAATGATGACCGTCCTTTAGCTTATCTGTCAGGTGTGCAAGCACACTTTCATCAATGGACAGTATCCGTTTGGCAATGTCTGGAAATTTCTGTTGCTCTGCAAGAAGAAATCCTCCTGCTGTACTGTTTTTGATCTGTTCATGATTGAAGGCAACTAGTGGAAAGTATTGCTCAAACTGAAACCGCTTGTCATGATACATCAGCAACTGATGTTTCCTCTCTGCCTCAGATACCTTTGCATATCCACGGGCATTGCCAGGACCACCAAGTCCATATGGAAACAGCCATGGGAACATCTGCAGATACAATTGCGGGTTGGAAAACCAAGACTGTGGCTGGTCTGACTGTCCAATACCTAGCGCCATGTTCTTTTTATTTTTGAAATACTGTAGTGCATATGCACGAAGGGCATTGGTACTCATCTTGGATAATTGCTCACCCACCAGCCCATGGACAACAAATGGACATGGCCCTTCAGTGGTGCCTTCATTGTCATCTGTGTCATTGGCAGCCTTAGCCTCTTCATCCTTTCCGCCATCACCAGGATGATAGTCTACAATGACAGGAGGACTGTCCTCAGGATACATGTTCAAATTCTTGTATGGTGAGGTCTGCATAGTCTATGTGATTGAGCTTGAGCCATTCCAGAGCATTGGCCACTTTATTGCGTCTCACTAGCAATGGAGTGCGATGATGTTATATATGTATGCAAGCACTTCATCCAGCTCCTCAGGGCTAGGAGGCAATGCATTGTATACCTTTGGCATAGGTATGGTATGGCATACTGCATTGGCTATCATTTTACTTTGCAGAGAGCCCTTGACATGAACAACACATCTGTTATGGTTAACTCGGCTAATGAGAGTGCGCTCAGCCCAAGTCAGGTTCTGCAACTGCACAGGTACCTCTCCAATCCACAGCCCATTGGGTAGTGCCTGTTGTGGTGCTGTGCCATTGTCCAATGTCATCTTGCAGTTCTGACAAACATGTGAAGATTTTGGGAGAAGAACAGGCCCTTTTAGTTCCTCTACATGATCACATTCTGACTGTCATTCTTTTCTTGTCACACCTGTGCCATCTGTTTCAAGGAGGTGCAATTTGTGAGATACTGTTGACAGAGGATACAGTGTTGAAAATGGAGTTCATAAGCCATACACTGCACAACCAGTTTCTGCATGTTGTAGTGGATGAATAGCTTTGGAGTAATCTGCTATCACTTGCTGTATCAGAAGTGGGCTTGGTGGTGGTGGTAGGAAAGGTATGCTGGATGATGCATCAAATTTGGTGGTATTGCGGAACTTCTGCACCCATGCTGTTGACTTTACATGTCCACTCCATTTTTGGAGAAGCAACACACATGTACTGCATTGACTTTGACACTGGCGATGCTGTACTGCAGTACATATGGTGCTCACTGATGATTTCAATTGACATTGAATATTGTGTAGCTTTGTTATGATTTTGAGATGCTTGTGAGGTAGTGTAACCCATTGCTGCAATGGGATACGGGCCACAAGCAATCTTTTTGACTCTGCTGAATATGCTTTTACATCATCTGTCCTGCAATGTGTTGCAAATACAAAGCAGTCATTGGGCATGGAATGGTCTGGCAGCAAATCATAAGATGCATCCCAAAATGGCTGGAGCTGGGATCAAGTCCATTGCTCCCCTCCCCCATACTGCCACATTTTCTGCTTGTTTTGTTGGGCTTGAACAATCTTTTTGAATATATGCTCATGATAGTCAAACTGTTGCATAAATGACTGCACATGGTCATGGTGGGCACACTGATGTACAAGCAGCCCTGATACTTTTGCAGAGTAGTCATGTGAAAACATCACATTGCGGGACAGGGCAAGTTTAATCTGCTGGACCAAAGGTTTCAGCATGATACGCAGCACTACAAAACTGCCTGGACTGTGACACAGCGTGTGACATTCCAGGTGTCTGTCATGAGCTGTGTGGTGGTGGTGTTGCTACTGCAGCCAATCAAAGCCCATGCCCAGCACAGAAGAACTGTGAAGGTAAAAAAATCCAGTTTGCATACACAGCTTCATGGTGGTTGGAGGAAGAGATGTTAGATGCCAAAGTATGGTTGATCTTGAACATGTGTACTGCAATCTTCATATCACATGACTTTTTCACATCACATGTATGCATGTAACATGATTTTATCTCATCCATTGAGCAGTGGCATGTGATTGGTTCATATTGCACACATGTTATCAGGCGTAGCAGCATATTCATATGTTCATAGTGTCATACAGACATAAGGCATACACATTGCAATAAGTCCATGTTCAGTTACCCCTAGCCTCATTCCCAACCAAGATGACAACACCAACAACATTGAGTGACAGATTGGTAGGCTCACCCGCACGACCATAGGTGGACACAGTGTGCAGCACAGCCACAACAGAATGGTGCACTGGCTCCTTCTCAACAATAGGACAGTTGGCAGGCAATTGTCTCAATGTCAAAGACAGGGGCCTCCTGCTGCTCAAAATAGTGCCTGGCATCCCAGATGGGTACTGTGAAATCACAAAAATAAGAGTGTGTCCATGACCATCACAAGGCCACAAAAAACATACTCTTCTGGTTTGAAGACACTGCTACCTGTGAGCTTGATATTCCGCAGGCCGGCTGCGGGACTTGGGGTGCTTGGAGGCAGACGGTGAGGACACCTTGTCCTTCATGGGGCTCTTGACGACCTTAGTCAGGTCAACAAAGGACTTTCTGGAGTATGATGGGCGGGATTGGGATTCATCTATTGCTGTATGAGCAGGAACATCATGAATATAATATCATACTTACCAGATTTCATATCTTGGCAGGCAGGGTGTTAAAGGACATGACTGGGCGAGTGTAGCCAGGTAGGCTAGCAGAGAAGTTCTTAGGGCTTGCACGGGCAGGGTTGACGGGCAGGGTTGACAAGCCAGTTGCCAGTGAAGGACCACTGGATAGTGCGCTTGAAGTTCCTGTGTTGATTTGATCAATGGGCATAATAGCACATCTGTGTGTCTTCCTTACTGTCTGTGGATATGAATGCCATGTTCCTGGAATGCATTGATGACAGGATTTGTCTCAACAAACGCATGCTCAGGAACATCATGTTTACTTGAACATATTGGTGAGCACAGTATACATGAGCTGGGTCATTGACATACCGCATAGGCCACATATCTGCATATGTGTTCTCAAGCCATCCCTCAACACTGTCCTTGTCCAATTGCTTGCAGTGCCTGTTGATGCATATCAACAATGTACATCTATACTGTGAAGCAGTTTCTCTCACTCATTGCCTGTAGGGGGAAAGAGCTCAAGCTTGGGCATCATGTAGCTAATGAGCCTGTCAGTATATGTGGATATATAATTAGTACAGCGGTTGACACTCACACTGCACCAGGAACACCAGCAGCATCATCTCTGTCCTTTCTGTTGGATGATCATCAGAAGCATGATTCTATTTTCAGACAAAAGACATACCCAGATGGTTGCTTCCCACGCTTGAGGGTTTCTGGTATCTCAACGACAGTGTCAAGTCTGGTACCCAAAGGTTCAATGCCGTTCACATCAAAATGGAGACCATTTACTGTTTGCCCCCAATGAACACAGCCTCCCTGTATATCACAGCTATCAACAAATTCATGTGACAGTGAACAAATGACGTACTTGTTACTTGTTCCAGCAATGAATGGATTATCCTCTGCATCGGAAAGGACTACCGCCTTTGCCTTGCCTTTGCCTTTATTGCTGTAAACATGGTCAGCTGTTGATCATCTAATCTGATAACATAACTTACACCGTTGTACGTGACTTCTTGGTTGGTGATGCTTTCAGGGACTCTTCTTCATCTGCAACAGGACTTGGTCGCTCAATGCTACACTCCTAAGATCAGATGACATTGCGATGACACAACAAACAACCTACCGCTTGGCTCTCACTTTATCTTTACTGTTAAAGGTCAGCATGCATATATTCCTACATGAATAATTCAAACCTTGGGGATGGTGTTGCTGGACTGTCTGGCAGACCCTGTCAGGTTTGCCCTATCAATCAATGAGCATAGACAATAAGCTGTTATTGCACTGCTCTGGAATGTACCTTTTGATGGGACTATCTGGGGTTGAACCCACAAGGTCAGTGTCCCAGTCAGGGCTAATTGACATGTATATCAACTCTGTGAAACCAGTCACTGTGTACACACCTTGACCTGGACATTTCACTGAAAACACATGAATGAGAGACAGCATATCAAGAGAGAAGCTGACAACTTACAGGATGGAGCGACGTCTTCTCAGTCTTGAGGTAGAGGCATGGCCTTTGGTAGATCTAGAGGTCATTTTGTCAGCAATGCATTAATGAGGTTATATCAAACCACTTACACAACAGGCTCATCATCACTCGACACAATTGTAGCCACATCTGCTATCTCCTGCTGGTCATCCTCTTCATCAGAAAGCTCAACAATATCTTCATCATAATGGTCTTGATAATCGTCAGTGCCCTCAATCCCTCTGGCCTCCCGAGCTTCATCATCAATGAAGCGGCGGACTTCAGCAGCGCTGGCCTTGGCCCTTGCAGATGGACTGTATATGTAATGTATATAGTGAGTGAAAGACATAAGATCAATTGATAATAACACACTGCTTGGGAGGTCCACGCTTAGCTGGCTGTCTGCTGTTGTACATCATTACCTACATCAGCTTACATAACAAAGACAATCACGTACGGCTTCTGCTTTGGCCTTGGGACATAGTCATCTCCACTGTCAAATACCTCCTCAGGTTCAATCTTGCCCATCATAGCCTTGAAGCTGAAAGATGGAGTATAAATATAGTTCAGTACAGTGAGTGAGGTCATGGACAAAGCACTTACGACTGGGTAGCAGCGCGCAGCTTCTTAGGGGTGTTTACAGCACCATGCTTTGTACTACTAGATCTGATACAGCTGCAGTATGAGACACACCCAAGCCACAAATGAACATACAATGACTCACGCAGACATGACAGATTATTGGTATGAATGGGATGAGGTACTGGGGCTGCTTGGAGAGATTTCAGTCTACTTATACAGAGCGTGAGTGAGTTATCTATCAGTGGATCAATCAGATATCCATCAATCGTGTGATTAGTGTGATACTGATAGTTGCCATCAGAAACAGAAGCATGCACAATATCTTGGAAACACAAGCTAGACAGCTACATAAACTGCTGCATACACTCCGAACAGCCACATTTGACAGCTCAGGCAACACACAAATGCATAGGAGTCAATGTAAAACTGAGGGATTTCAAACAATCATGGCTGACAAAGTTCAGTGATCCTGTGGAAGTCTGGCATTCCATTGATTAACACTCATGGAAGCATCAGATGTTTCAGATGCATGTGTTGATGGGAATATAGCCAGTCTTCTCAAGGATGCTGGCTGGACGTGTGTTGGTGTGCTAGCCAGTATCCCACTGCATCCTTTCATCCTGCACTCATGGCTCTCGTCAAGCTGTACGATGCATCCAACAAGTACAGTATGTTCAGCTGCAGATACATCACAGACAAAGACTCACAGACTGAAGGACAACAATTACACAATGAATTGACCCTGGCTCAGAGCGGCAAGAAAGCATCAAAGCAACTTGTGACCATGGCTGCTGTGCGTACTGACATAATAAATTATTCATGAGCTAATAATGCAGGCATTACATAGGCTAATCACTTACGTGCATCTGCGGATGTTCTGAACCATGGGTCTGGCAAGGACAAGTTGCTTGTCTATGGTGGAAAGGACGATGCAGTGGCTGAAGAAATGGTACTCAGTATTCAAGGGTATCTTTTAAAGACCAAGTTACCACCCATCACAAAGGAGTCGGAGTATGTGACTTACCCTACAACATATATAGCATATCTGATCATATATGCAGCATAGCACAGACCAAGGTTGTCCACACAGAGCAATATGTGCGCATTGGAGGCCTGGCAGATCCGCTGTTTGACCAGGGAGCTGTTGCGGTTCTTGCAATTCATCAATTCCTGGAATCAAGGCTTGGGTCGGGGTCATTGCAAGATATGGATGTCAAGCAAGAACAGGGACACATTGTTCTTGACTTTCATAACCGGTACCTCACCCCCCGTAGTGAAGCAGCAGTCACCAGCATCATCCCATTTCCCAATGACTATGATCCAAGACACATCTTGCAAAGCCGGGTTACAGATGAGGTCTTCACAACCAATAATGCTGTGCAGTTCTATGAGCGGGTCAAGCTGGATGGATCTAGTCGCAGGTAAGTGTATTATTTAAGACATTTGTACACTGGCTCATGAATAACACTGTACCAGCAAGTATCAGTTCAAAAAATCTCATCCAACTGCCTTGAGCGTTGGACAGCTTGTTGAGATCCAGACGTCCTTTGCTGTGGTTCCAAGAGGCAAGAAAAAGTACATGCTAATCAACAAGCTACGATCAATCTGTGTTCTTGACCAGAGCATTGAGAATGTACGCACAGATTAGGCTGACCGTATGTTTTACTGCATCTAATCTTTATACAGGAGATCAATCAGGAACGCATCCAAGCAGCCTTGCGGAAGACATCACCTACCCGGAAAGTGAAACGGAATGTGGGCTATGAGGATGATGACAGTGAAGTTGAGGAAGCCAGAGAGGATGTGAAGTGCATGCGGATCAGCAGATCAGAATCTCCGTAGTTATATCTGTGATACTGTGAATGCAGACCATTGGCATAATAGACAGCTACATTGGGATATACATGCATGGCACAGTGGAGTTAAATCCACACAATAATCAGACTGGCCTCAAGCCCTTGCGTAGTACAACTCTTCCGCCTTAATCCAATGGCATCATCCTCAGGAGCATCAGCATCAATGGATGAGGCCACCTCCCCATTGTCAGGATCTATGATATCCAGGAACCATTTACCGTTCACCTTGTCCACCAAGTTTCCATCCCTTCGGTCGTAGCTCAGCCACTTTCTTTTCGTCCACTTGCAGCGCTTGCACTTGAAGCCAGCAAAGTACCGCATGGTATTGCGCTCAACACTTTTGATGGGCTTCAGGGTACCAAGCCGCATGCAATCAGGGCACTGGGATGGTATGCGCATCCCGCCAGGTGCAAGGTTTGGGTGGTGCCACACATAGTTCTCGACAGTGATCGATGGGGTGTTCTCCATGCCGTTGTGGTAGCGGAAGACAATGACACCACTGTGGAGACGGAGGCTGAAGGACATGTTAAGCATACGAGCCATTGTGTGGCGAAGAGGGACAGCAAGCTGGATGATGATGCGTGTGGCAAAGTGGATGATGAAGTCGGAGCTGAGGTGGGCATTGAACATTGTGGCTGAGAAGCCAAACACAAAGGGGACCTTGTACTCGAGAAGTTGATGCTTGAGGTGCATGTGTGCAGTGTTGTTGTTGACAATGGCACCACAGGCAAGGATGAACATCCAATGCTGTGAGACCTTGTCGCATAGTACTTTGAACTCATCGGTGAGCACAATGTTGAACCACTACAAGATGTCAGACAAGACTAATCAAATATGTCAGGGACTCACCTCGTCTATAGGCGAGGTTGCATCATGAGCATGGTATAGGTCGCCTGTGTGCACGTTGCTGTGCGTGTAGATGAAGGTGACAAGGCGGACATTTGGGACGCTAACACACGGCCAATAAGCATATGCACCATCAGTTTAGTGCCTACATACGAGATTATGTCAGCATACAGACTCTTCATACGCCTGGCATGAATTGCGGCATCCTTCACGGTATGGAAATCAAAGACGATATCGTCGTAGTGGAGGTTGTCGGTACACCAAAAATAACTTTCAAGATGGGTGCGCAACATCAATGGGACACTGCCACGGTTGCCAAGTGACTTGAGCCGGAAGGATAAGATGACAATGGGTGCAGTGGAACAGAAGGCTTTCCGTGGGCCAATGTTTGTGCCTACAACTGGGCAGGGCTCTTGCACGGCTGGAATGACCCAGACAAGATGGAATGCCTATGCACAGATGATGTTCTGAAAACAAATGAAAAGGTGCATGACTCACGTAGTATGGCTCGTCCTTCAACTGTTTATCTTCCCCATGGCACACGGGGCATATGAAGCTCCACACATCCTGTATGGCAGAGAAGTCCAACCGCCCAAGACACTGGGCACAGACATCCCGGGTGCAGCGGCAACAGGTGACAAGGCTGCCACCATTATGGCACCGGTAACAGTACTGCAAATGTGTCATTCATCCGCTAACAATGGTACAAACAGTGCACACACAATGCTTGACTGGCCATGGTCTGTAACATTGCTCTCTTGCTCAGACTCAGGCTTGTCCTCCTGCTCATTCAGCTCCATGTCTTCATCGTCTGTAACACCATTGATCAGCGCCAGGATCTGCTCCGTTGACAGGTTGCTACGTTGTCAATAATCAGACAACCCTACACTCTTGGATGCGTTCTGTGTGGTCCGAGCCATGGTCTGCAACAGTGGCGAGCGTATAGCAAAGGCCAGACACAAAGAATGCACCCTCAGCTATGTCCAGTGGGAAGACGGGGGAAACAAGGAGTGATTCCATGCTCACGGTTGCATGTGACAAATTGCATTGGACCTGTGACTGGTGAAGACAAGTGTACAGACAATCACAGACAAGATGGGCTACAAAGCAGATGAATCATTGACATGTGGGTCCTCAGACATGCAACATGACACACACTTGTCTGGGACGGCATAGCCATCCAATCCCCCAGAATCCACAAGACAAGAGAGGGTACGATGCAGATGAATCACTGATATGTAGGTCCTCAGACGTCCAACATGACATATGCTTGTCCAAGACAACATAGCCATTGAAGCCCCCAGAACCCACAAGGCATATGGTGGTGCATCTACGCATAGCCAATTGGTACACAAGAAAAACAAACTCCTACATGGGCCTCAGGCAAAATCAGGCACCCTGCATGCCCATGGCAACATGCAAGGGGTCTGGCTGTGCACATAAAAGTTGTGTGAAGGTTCAATATAGGTGACAGTGATGGACATGATGAGAGCAGGGAACAAAGGGGATGAACGCTCAAGGTTGATCTTTATGTGACAATTTTGGGCGCTTCCTAAACGAGGCCAAGCCATGTGCAGCACATGGGAATGAAGCTTGTTATCTTTTGTTGCACAAAGGATGTGTGATTGTTAAGCACATACACAATTATGCTTATAAGTACCTTCAATGCCATGGGCATTGAGCAGCAACACTTTGTATTAAATCATGTTGATAACAAAAGTTACAGTTACATGACTTTGTGGACCTAGTGATACAGCAATAACAAGTCGCTGGGCACTTGTGTACACAGCCTAGAAACAATCAGTTTCATGCAGTTTGGAACAGTGCACATAACAGAATAGTATAAAGGATTGGAACAGCATGACTGTATGATATTGGCATAATGAGTCTTTACAAGTACGCTACACTTTGAAGTATGTACCACTACGCTTCAACTTACACAAGGCATGTTCCCGCATGATCACATCAAAATTCATCCTAGACTTCACAGCAGCAGGCAGCTTGGCTTCAAGATGATTATATGCAAGCACAAAGCTGTGCACACTTCACCTTCAGTACTGCGCAGACACACCGCTGAGAAGTCCAAGACAAATGAGACCAGCCCGTGCACCTAACTTCAATGATGCAATCACATGGCCCATCTCAGGCACTGTTGGCATCTTCACCTTTCCTGCATACACAAAGTCTGATGCAAGAAGAGTGGCAGTAAGTGGCCCACAGCCAGGGAGGAGCTTCCGGGTACTGCCTGGGACACGGGGCCATCGAGGAAAGGAACATTTGGGTGGTCAGAGAAGAACTCCACAAAATGAGGTGCAGCCGCAAACATCGCCTCGCCATGGCTAGCATCACGGTCCACGGCATGTGAGCCATACACATTCTTGTTGCAGATGTAGGGCGACAAAGTCTTCCAGTGTGGCAAAGAAGGTAGGGGAGTGATAGGAAGCCTCTGCGCCAAAAGTGATGCAGTGGAAGATAAATGCATTTGCAATCCCTCCTGGCTTGTCGATGTTGGTAGGATGGAAGGGACCCTGGAGAGACATCACCGCTCGGCAACCACGGGCAAGCTCCCGGAATGGCAAGTACTTGTCCTCATTCCTCAAGCACCAGTTCTGGAGCCGAGTCTGCATGATCTGCTTACCATCTAGAAGATGGTCCAGCAAGCCATAGCAATCCATGACAAAGCAGTGGAGCGCCTCTAAGCCTGGTGCAGCAGAGTCGGAAGGTTGCAAGGTGAGCTGAGGTGCTGGCAGAGTGGAGCGAGAGGATGCAGAGGACAGTGGTGGAAGTGAGGAGGAACAAAGCCGAAGGAACTCTGCAAAAGCACAAGTGTCTGGCGAGGTAGGCTGGGAGAGGACTGGGAGTGCATGGAGATCATAGAACAGAGGATCTAGATGGGTGGAAGGGAGGCAACACCGGCGGTCGTCCAGGATGAGAAGGGAAGACTCAGCACGCTGGTAGACATCCCAGACACTGTCCAGAAGAAGGACATCTGAGCAGCCAAAGGCCGAGATGATAGCGCATATGAAGAGGGAGCGCACATACGAGGAATTCTTCGGGAAGTCCAGCCATGTGCGTAGGGTGCGCTGAATGAAGTCGATGGATGCAGTGTAACGCCGATCAGCGGTGAAACGAGCTCTTGGCATGGTGATGGAATGGGGGGGGAGATCAGGAAGGAAGTCCTGGCGCTGGAGAGTGACCAAGTTATGCGACTTGAAGCCATCGTTCACCGCAATGGCAAGACGGCCAAGCCAGTCATTGGCAGCAGCGGAGGGAGCAGAGGATGAGAGAAACCTTGAGCAGTAGTTGACAGGAACACAGTCCAGCCAGAGCCAAGCATAGTAGTTCATCATCATTATTTCAGACCTAAGAACCGCGTGCTTGAGGTGCTGCAGGGAGTCATCCCGCTTGTACCTTGTCTGCGCAGACCAGTTCTGGAATCATTCTAAGTCAGAAATGCAACCTAGACATGGAACAGAGACACATACACGTTGCAGCAAAACTGCAAACCCAACAGAGCACGCAGCTGCAGAGTCCTTGCTCTCCATAGCATCAAGCAGGCCATCAAGAAGCTGGCGTGAAACAGATCCGGCAGCTGAATCCTCAGACTGCAGAACACTGGCAACATTGCACAGCATCTGGTTTGCAGCCTGGAACTTTGCTGCAGTGAACAGCGAGAGAGCAACCGCATACGCTAAGTTGAACATGAGCCTTGGTGTGCAGAAATAAAAATAGCAACTCACACTTTGCACTTGCACTTCCTGATGACTGAGCTGCAGGAGACAAGACAGGAGCTTCCTGCGTCTCATCCTCGTCATCTTATGCAATGAACAGAGGTCAGTCAGGACTTTATGCTGAGAATGCAAAAAAGCGCACCTTCATCTTCCAACTCAGACTCATCTGCAGTGCGTGCAGACAACTTTGGAGGGACCATAAGTGCATCCAGAGGCACATACAGCAGAAATTGACCATCCTCTCTGTCAGACACTGTAGGGTCTAAAGCGAAAATGAATAAAATGGAGGCACTACTTTACAACAGACTTCTTACTGGGACCACGTGGCCGCAAAGTCATACCTCCCCCATGCTGAGATGGCCCAGCAGAACTGCTAGGCTGATCTACAGCAGGTCCGTCCACAGCCATAACACGTGTAGCACGACGTGGAAGGCCTATAACTTTACGGGCTGCAAGGGAAAGGTCAGTGAAATAAAAAACCGAACAAATCTCGAAAATAATCGTACCATCTCCATTCTCTAAGTCCAAACGTGCTGTAAAAACATGAGATGAAGTCCAAACCATGACAGACAAAACTCTTACCTCGTTGGGCAGGTCTCTCATCAGAATCCATACCATCCTCCACCTCTGCGCGAGCGCGCTTCTTGCCCTTGGCTGGCTTGGACTTGGGCTTAGGCTTCGCCTTCTTGCCCTTGGACGGCACAGGAGCTTTCTCTGCAATGTGTATATGAGCAGACAGGCACAAGGAACAACAAAAAGACATACTGGGTTGCTGGGATCCTGCAAGAACAGTCAGAAAAACAGTAAAGTTGAATAATTGCAGTACTTACTTCCAGGACGTGCAACAGGAACAGTGTTGGAGTCTGGGTTAGAATTAGTATAATACTTACTTCAAGGTAACCAGTTACTTGAAGTCGAGCAATAGAGTAGAGGATGTCTCCTTCGTTACAGAGGAATAGTAACGAAGTTGTATGTTTAAATGAATAGATTCCCGAGGTATTCAATACTCGGTAACTCAGAAGGAAGCGTCGGTAATGCTTAAGTCCAGTAGAGCAGTTACCGAAGTGTCGGTAATAAATGATTACCGAGAAGCAATGTTAGAACATTGATCAGTATGATGAACCTTCTCCGATGAACCCGACTCTTGTAGTCAGTTGAAGTTACTTAGACCTTACTAGTAGCGCGAGGACTGTACTAAGTAAGGTCTCACAATCACAGGTCTTAGAGTGCGTCGGTAAGAACTCAGTGAGAGTGGTCGAGTGGCTAGTATGTCTAACTTAGCACTCGGGGCGAAGCAAGTCTTCGTGTGGCACACAAGGTGAATTTCGGTAAAGAGTGTAGATGTATTGCTGCAGTCTTTCGTCTCGTCTTATATACATTTTCTATGTCTCAATCCTGTACACTACTACCAGTCCAAGGCTGTCCTACGTACCGTACTTGATACATGTAAGATCTCACAGCCCAAGTCCTCACCGAGCTAAGTCCGAAGTGTCAGCGCAGCCTCTCCTCGGTGATCCCTCGGCCTTGCCATTACCGACAGTCAATAGTCCTCGGTGTCTCGGCCCGTCGTTCCGTCGGTATTGTAGTCTTGAAAGGGATTTCGGCAATTACCGGAAGTTGCCGGAAGTTACCGAGAGGTGTGTTCACCCAATCGTCGGTAATGCCATTGTGCTTACCTAATGAACCTTACCGACAATAGCGGAGCTTAGAACAATAGTGATGACTCGAGGCATATAAGTCGGACTTGGATTCTTAGAGATATCCATAACAAACAGGCGCAGGGTTCTCAGTCCCCATCTCTTTGCGGAGGTCCACAATGCGATTGTCATATGTGGCTCGTGGAATGACAGCCACATAACGCAGCTTGTGCTCCTTCCACTCCCTCCAAGCCTGAGCACGTGCAAGGATGGTTTCATGCACATACTCAGGCTCATCAGGCCGATGTTCAAGGACAGGGACCAAGTCCGTGTCAGTGAATGTGATGCGCTGGCCCTCCTCATCAACCGCAGAGAACGCACTGAAGAACACGTCTGGGTTAAGAGAAGGACCAACATCGGCTTGACGCCAAAGATGGAAGACGAGGTTATACAGCTGGCGCACCATGAAAGACGCAACAGCGCGCCTGTCCCCAATGTTGAGACCATCAACAGCATAGTTGAGATAGTTGCTGTAGATCTTGTGGTCGCGGTCGTACCTACACGCGCATGAGCAAGACCTCACAAAAATGAAGTCAATACTTACATTGGATTGTACATCTCAGGTGGGATGTTAATGGCCTTTTGCCCAACAGCCCCAAGTGCAAGCATGGAGTTCCCATCCATGACACGGCTCATGGGGTACATGATATGGTTCAGACGCACAGCATCCGGTGCAATCTCCACCGTATTGTCAGAGACGTATGGGCTCATTCCCATGTGCCAATGAAGGCCAGAGAACAAGACAGAGAGCAGACTAGACCTCTCTGACTCATCCTCTGCAAACCCATCCGGCAGCTGCACAAATGCGTAATACTCAGGGAAGAGGAAGAGCCTGGGGTGGATGCCCATGTGCAACTTCAAGAAAACAATCATGACAGACATTGCACCTATGGAGTTGTGCCCCACCAAAAAAACCCAGACTGTCAGACAAGTCCATGGGTCCTGCAGGAAATCAAGCTAAGTCATCATCAATAACAAAAAGGGAAAAAAGCGGACCTTTCTGGAGCTTATCAAGGTAGTCTGGTGTAGAGACGTTCAGCTGGCTTCCACCAAAGCAGACATTGCTCATGGTCCCAGGGCAGAAGTACCCCAGGAGCTTAGCATGCAACTCCAGACGGTGGTAAAGCTCAGGCTGGACGGTGCGGATGATGTGTACACCCAGCTCACTGCCCACCTGCAGACAAGTCAGACAAGTCCCAAGAAAGCAGATAGAAGCATACCTTTGCAAGCTCCCTACGGATCTCAGCATCCTCACCATCCCCTCTAGTGAATGATTTAGCCTCCACGTTGGGTGCCAGAACACCGTTCTGCACCTGCTGGGACTGCGTGATGGCATAGATGTGCTTACGGTCCTTAGTACCCTTCAGGCCCTTGCTCAGCACAAGTCGCTTGAACTCGGTGCCCTTGATCCACTCCCCATTTGCTGCCTTGACAGGTGCCTCACACGAGCACTTCTCACGTGGCCCCATCACACGGCTGCAAGAGTTGAGGTAACGCTGCACAAGTGGGACAGGCATGTCCCTGCAAGACATCAGCCATGTGCATGTATCAGAAAACTATAACTACTCACTTCTGTGCCACAATGGAGGCAGGCACCAAGGCCTGCAACCAGAAAGCAGCACGTTGTGACACGTTAAGGTAGGCAGCAAGGCCCAGCATCGTGTCACGGCCACACAGACGCAACCATCCTGCTCATACATAAGCTAGGGCTGCATATAAGGCACACAAAACTCACCTATGTCCAACGCATGCTCCTCTGCGACATGCGGTAGGTTCCACTCGGTTGGCTTCCTCGCAGTCATGGCAGCAGCAGCAAGCTTGCTGTTGTCTATGATGTAGAGGTAGCAATTGGCGGTGGGATCTCCCGGTGGGGATTGAGAGGGTGGTTGTTGAGACGGAAGATGGGAGGATAGGACTCCGGACGGTTAGGGATGCGCACCCACTCGCCTGGCAGCTCAGTGATGACCCAGGCAGGGATCCCATACGGATATGCCAAAGAAAAGCTACAGAAAGGTCAGTGCAAACCAACAAATAGTCCTATTCACTACTCACTACACCCATTTGTCCTCCTTGTACTCCAATCGCCCAGGAAAACCGTCAGGTAGCTTAGGAAAATCCGGGGTGGGCTACAAGTTCCAAAAGTCGGAAATAAACAGGCATTTAGCCTAAATAATAGTAGAATAGTGAGGAAGTATTACTTACCATTACTTGAAACAGGTATTTCGGGATGGATGGCAGAGAGGGAGAGTTGCAGAGGCTGAGCAGGGCCAGCAGATGACGGTTGAGGAGAGAAAAGCGCAAGTTGGTGTGCAGCCACTGATGACTCATGGGGCGCCTGTGTGCCGTGCAGAGTTGCATCCACCTGGAATTTCCAGGCGGATGCAACTCAGCACGGCACAAATGCTGTGACGACCAGCCAAACTCAGCGGGGCGCGCCAGCTGCCCGCCACCTGCTGTCGCCCCCACCCCTCCTCTCGCTGTGGATGATACCTTGTGAATGTGGTGTCGTCCGACTCTCCTAACTCAGGAGAGTCGGGCGGTACTGCTTTCATGCGGTTCCATGAGGTGCCGCCGACGCAGCACGTCTGCCAACATCAGCCGTGCGCTGGTCGCCAGCGCCTAGCTGGTGGCTGCGCTTCCGGCGCTTACGCAAAGTACAACCATTCTCTTCTCATAGGCTCCTCCCGTCATCCCTCCCGACCACCCGACCACCACTGTTCTGGAGTGACACACTGTGGCCACCACCTCGACGACACACCCCGCGTACCCGTCGTCAACATAAATAGATGGGCCGGAGACTCAGACGGACATGACCTACAATCCGGGTGTCTTGCAGCTGCCCCGCCCCCCTGGATCAGTAAAACTACAGATTGCTTTAACTGGCTTAGGCAGCTTCGCACTGTGGCTTTGCATGGCTTGACAACTCACTTGATGTGCTTAGCTGTCTTAGACGGCTTACCGTTTGCAGGCTGTTACTACACCAAACTTGACATGCTAAGCCATTAAGCATCATTAAGCACCACTGTAAGTACACATGTGTTCGATGTAAACTAAGCCGTTTGAAGCACCACAAGTACATGGGCATAGCCAAACAAATATGACCAGGTCACCCCAAGTGACCCATGTCAATTGGGATTTTGTGCAATTCTTCTGACGGCCCTGTCAGGGGCTTCATCAGTCAGATGAGGATCAGACATCTGAACAAATGCCACCAAGCACTAGACAAGAGCGCTTCACAAGGGCAATTTTCCTAAACAGGCATCTACATCTATCATTAAAGTTGCACTTCCATAACACCACAACATTGATCCTCCCTGCCATCACAATTCCTGCGGCTATGTCTGCCCCCATGCCCATCACCGACCATACCACCGCCACGGTCATGCCAACAGCTCAACTCACGCATGAGACAGCTGGGCCCTGGTATATGTATTGGGTCAATCCAGCCACTATGGCGCCCATACAGAACCCATTCTTGTCCTTGTACATAGACAGGACCACTTGTAACAATGCCAATAGTATGTTCATGAATGAACAGCAGGCACTATTGGGACTACTGCAATGCTACTGGCAGCAGCAATGATGGTGGACGCAACTTCAACACAACAGATCGGGAATCAGTAGATGAAGACATGGTCAACTCCCAGGCCAAGCCTTTTGAGTGCATGCCAGCAGAGGCCTATGAAGGGATGACTGACGAAGAAATCCTGGAGACCTTTGACCAGCGGCTGAAGGCAATGGAGGAAAAGTGGACGCAGCTGATGGCGGAAGCAAATGAAGAGATGACTGAAGAAGAAATCCTGCGGAACCTTGACCAGCGGCTCACAGCAATGGAGGAGATGTGGGTGCAGCTCACCACAGATGCAGAGGATGAAGTAACAGATGAGGAAACCCTGCAGACCCTTGATGAACACTTGGCAGCAATGGAGGAGCATTTGATGCAAATGATAGTGCGAGCACAAGCTCATAACTAGATAGTCTGGTATAATCTGGCTATACCCTGGATACCTAGTCCCTCTGCTCGCTATAGTCAGATGGTCGCCTATGTCACTCTCCTCAAAGTCATGTGTACAAATACAACACTCTTTAGACATGGGATAGCAAGGTCATAGAAGGAGCTCCACAATAATATGTATAGTTGATTACTGACACTATAGACAGCCAACAGAATGCGGCCACTGCCATGGTAGCCAGCCAGCCAGCAAGATATATGATTGCTGTCCCCAGTTTCCATATTGGGCGCCACTGGAGTGCGTTTCATGGCCCCTCACCCCAGGACAGAGCAGCCAGCCACAGCATTTATTTGTATGTGTTGGTGCAAGTCGCATCATCTGGGAGTTTCAAATTTTGACTCCCGCTGATGGGACAATAGTATCAGTTACTTATCCCTCATTATCTGGGCTTCAAGAAGTCACGTGTACTCCTTCCATATCAGGCACCACTGTAAGGTGTTTCATCCCCTCCAGTCATAAGAACGATTCCTTTGTACCTCAGGGATCGTAACCGCTTCAGAGGCCATTCTAGGAGAACAATAGGATCATAGCCTTACACTTCATTGTTTCCAATGAGGCAAGCTATGTTACTGAGTCATCCTAATACAGCCACAGTACAGCCACAGTTTCAGGACTGTGATTCCCGAGGCATTACTGAGGCATGCAAGAGTCCGCATTTTCAGTGTACAGCCTAAGGATAGCACAGCCATTCAACACAGCTTTGGGAATGGCTTGGTAATTGTTGCACAGCCATTCCTTTCTATGCCAAAACAAAACCGTTATAACTCGGTAATTGATTGGTAATAACCACCATTTACCAAGCATACAATAGCTCTTGTATCAGTACTGAAAGCATTTGGTCATAATGAGTAAGAACACACTAGAAACTCGGTGATAGTCTGTTTAGTAGATACAGTAACAAGCACTTCTAAAGCATCAAAACATCGGTAATCAATACCTCGGTAATAAGACAATGAAAGCGCTACATTGATGTCCATTTGGTGGAATAAAGGAAAGATAAGGAGAGTAAGATAAGCACATAACAAACCTTCACTAATGCAGCCACTCAGTAAGTTAATGAGTTTCTGTGTGTTCTGAGGCTATCAAGCCTCTATCCCTAACACCTGGTGCAGTGCAGTCGAATCCAACCCTCGATAGAGACCCTCAGGGAGGCGCATGTGCAGGCGGCGAAGCTCAGCAACCCACCTGCAAAGTTTGGCGGGTGGATCTGCATGTCCACCGTGCCAGCCTTCTACAAGAGCCCGCCGCCATCTCTGCAATCCCTCCTCCATAGGTCCCTGGAGGATAGCCCAGCTGGGCAAGGGCGTACCGCAATAGTAGAAGGTTTAATGTATGTTCAGGTGAGTATCATATTACTTTCGATGCTCATCTGGGTGACTAACGCTGTGTTCTTGCCCTAGGATGGCTATGGCCCCGTGTTCATCCCCCTCCTGGGGGAGATTGATCTCAATGGCGAGGCCATCGTCATCAACGGCCACGGGGCAGAGCAGCCACTCCTCCACCAGGCCGTGCGCACACTGAACAGGTACATTGGAGCTGTTGGGTATGCTCCCTGGCCCAACAATCCTCACTTCACACTCGACATCTACGATCCTATGGCTGAAACCTTCGTACCGCACACTCTCCGCCCCATATTCCCTCTCCGCCTCGCGCTGCCTCTGCAGTCTGTGCCGGTCATCAAGCGGTCCATTGTGACCCTAACATCCTTTGCGCATGCGTACGCCACTGGTCAGAGAGCTTTTGTGGCACCCATGTGTTCAATGAAATTCGACTTCATTGACGCATCCTGGACTTGGCCAGTGGGGTCGTGCGCCCAACGCCAAATCATGCGAGCAAGCTGGAGGGTCACAAACTTTGGGGTGCCCCTTGGTACGTGCACTGTCCACCCGCTTCTTGATGAGCCGGGAGTGATCGTTGTACCTGCGGTGCCGGAGGACCTTCGAGTGTTGGGTCGTGGGCACAAGGAGCAGGATGTTGATAGCAATATGGACTCGGACGCGGCGGGCGTGGACACTGACTTTGATGGTAATGACGAGGCTGAGGCCAACTTCTACTTTTAGCACCAGAACCTTCAAGTGTATAATACGTTGTAATGTTCAAGTTGAATCTAGCTCCCAAATGCACTCTCTAGCTTGCCTGGTTACGATCCCTGAGGTACAATACGATCCCTGAGGTACAAAGGAATTGTTCTTATGACTGGAGGGCATGAAATGCCTTACAGTGGCGCCCGATATGGAAGGAGTCCACGTGACGTTTTGAGGCCCAGATAAGCAAAGATAAGTAACTGATACTGATGTCCTATTAGCGGGACCAAAAATTTGAAACTCCCAGACAACGCGACTTGCACCAACAGATACAAATAAATGCTGTGGCTGGCTGCTCTGTCCTGGGGTGAGGGCCCATGAAACACCTTCCAGTGGCGCCCAATATGGCAACTGGTGGCTTTCATCATGTGACTTACAGGCTGGCTGGCTGCTGTGGCCTGCCAGCGCTCACACTGTATACAGTCAATTAGTAAGTAATAATAGTAGACATAGTATGCCCATCTGATAGCCATCCATTCAAAGAGTATACAGTAATATTCCTGAGCACTTACAGTGGCTGGTTGGGCTGGAAAGTGCAAAACAAAAAAGTCCACATGTGCCTCTGCACAAGTCAAAGCACTTTTTCCTACTCCAGATAGCCACTGAATCATCAGGACAATGTACTCATGCAGTTGAATGACTTTGTATGTGTCAGGTGCTTCTGTGATACAGCAAAGATGAGCCATATTGGGCAATTTGACCACTAGTGTGGACATTATTGCTTGTGTATCATGTCTATCACTGTCCTGTCTCATTTATGATGACCAACTGTACCTGTTTAGTGTCCTACTATATTATCAGAATTTTACACATTTTCACAAGCTCATAACAAGCCCATTTGCCCTCTTGTATCAGCTGTGATTTCCTTATTATGGCAATACACAGAACAGCACACTTATAGATGTCATCTGGGGCCCTCTGACTAAACACTGCATGTATGATACATGCTTAACATCTGTAGGAGTATGTGTGCTCCACAGAGAGTGACATTCACTTCTGTAAGCACTGGGCTGATGATACAGCAACCAATGTAGATGTATTGAAGGTGTAACATGAAATAGAGTCTCTCTTCTCAATTGGAGCCTTTCAATTCATTGTCTATGCTTTCTGATTTCTCCACATTTGTTTAGATCTGTACAAGCTAGTTTAAGAGAAGTAACAGGCTTACATTGCTTACTAAGCGCCCATTAAGCGCCCGTGTGCCGTTCGGAGTTGCATCCACCGGGAATTTCCAGGCGGATGCAACTCTGTGTGGCAGGGGAGAGATGCCGATTGGCTGATAAGCCCATTTCCTTGCCCCATTGACGCAGGCCTGCCGACATTTGGGCTGAGTTTGAAATTCAGCCACAAGGCCATTAGTAGCACAGTCACTCTGCTACTATAGGCCAATAAAATCCGTAAAATCTTCAAAATGTTACACTTTGTAGCCCTCACACTATAGAGTCTATGGCTAGTCTTACCTTCTCATGCACTTCAATACTAAGGGCACAATTCACGAAATAAAAAAATCACACAAATGCCTCGGTGACATGCTTGTAGTCCTTTGCACCTGGTAAATGATCTCTAAGAATGCAATTGTATGCCTATAAGCACCTTTGTGTCTAGTTAGTGTACATTACATTACAATCTACTTGCTGTTGTTTCTGGTATGTGGCTCCACCGTTTGTAGATGCAGAGGCACGTGTGATTTTTTTGTTTTGCATTTTATGGCTTTGCTAGCCATTGTATATGCATAGCATTCACATTATATATCCTCTGAATGAAGGGCTTTCAGGAGGGCATAGTATGCTTGTATCATTGGTTACTGATGTGTATTTTGAAGGCTTGTAATGATTCAGGTTACATTGTGCAATAAGCGCTCGATAAGCACCCGTGCCACGCGAGGTTCACTTGTTGACAGGTCAAAAGTTTGACCTGTCAACAAGTCATCTTGCAGTGTAGTCTCCCAGACTCTGTTGCAAACTGCTGCAAAAAGTAATGGTCCTTAACAGGATTCACCATTCTCAGCCCAGCCACAAGTGAATCAAATCCAAAAAAAACCTCGAAATCTTCATGCTAGTAGTCCTCATACTATAAACCCCATGATGGGTATTGGTTTGCTGTAGTGTGTCCATTACTCATGCCACAATATGCAAAACAGAAAATGCACATGATTCCAAATAAATAGAACAGCATATCCACATTCTTAGACCCGTTAAATAAGGAAGTTGTATTATTGTTAGACTGCTGAATAAAAATGCAAAACTGGGATATTGGATCCAGGGCATCTTTCACCAGACAAACAGTTCATAAGATTCCTTAGGTAGTGGGTATGCAAGACAGAGATGACACTCCATTAGTGTACTGCTACTTTTGGTCAAACCCTGTTGAGTGTTGCTGCTCTTCCATGGCCTTAATAAAATCAAAAATACCCCAAAGATCCACAATTATGTGTCATATTATAGATGTGACCTTGGGTATCACTTTACCATGTATGATAATGCCTATATAGTGCTGTACCCATATTAACAAGTTAAAATTTGTCAACAACTTCATGCTGCCCACATTTTTGTTGTGGCAACCCCTCTATGTAGCATCCAATGAAAACCATTGAGTGTTCACTGACTTCACTACAGGGATTCCAGCAGCTATCTGTGTTGTACCAGGCAAATTGAAGCATACTTGCATGTTGGATCAATACTATATATGTACTACCACCAGAATACATCTGCACATTCCTATTCTGTCCAACCTATGCCTATATCAAAACATGTCCACATAGAGTCAGAATTGTGTACTTTATGCCAATATGCATGTCATCACTCAAAATCAAAAAGAAATTAATGGGTAGAGATTCAATGAGATTACTGGCTCAGTATGGGAAGTCAAACGACATGTTCCTGAGGCAGATGGCTTTGGAGCTCATGGAAGGAAACCACATTGTTTTTTGATTAGCAAGTGGCTACATCGGTTGAATGGTTGTAATGTGTATTCTATGTCTGTTTATTTTTCCTGTCAAAAATCCACTTGTCATCATTGTATTTCATTGTACTATCACAAAGATATTTGGACACTGACATTTCAACACTTTGATGCACTTAACAATGCATATACTATCCAGACTATTAGTGTGATTATTTCCCGATTTCTACTGTGTTCCTGCTCATTCCAGTTGTAATAAAATCCTTCAGTACTGATATAATCACTCTTGCATGCTTGGTAAGTGATGATTATACTAATCAATTACTAAGTTATAATGGTAGACTCTATTTTGGTAACCATGTCAAGCATTATCAGGGTTTTCACACCCTCTTACCGCTTTGAATAGCTCAAAGAGATCTTTGTCACTGAGATTCATGTCCCTAGTGACAGGGTCATTGACTCTGTAATCAGCCGTCTACAATTGCAGCAGAAATAGAACACACTGGAACTCAAAGATGGCAGAGAACTTAAGAGAATATATTTATTGAAATTATCACTCACACTTGGCAGTTCTCTTATGACATCAGTTTGATCATAAATGGTTGTCATAACATACATATAGGTAAGCCATTAATTTGCTGAGTATACTGTGATTGTACTGTAGCAGTCAGTGAATGATGAATACATCATGAGTCAACCTCCCTGCACTATAAAGAACCATAGTGGGGTTATCAAGGCATGCACAAGTCAGAATTCAAAGTGGGAGATATGTAGCATTGATTGTCTGCTGAGGATGTAGTATTACAGATGTGACAGTACCAGACATGTTGCCTGCTTGCTCTGATATTTCAAATTGAAGGGATCATATTGCCAGACATGGCCCACTCCCCAGCAAGTACTCCCCAGCAAGTAGAACGGCCACAAAGTCAAAATCCACAAACAAGCACTTGCTGGGGAGCGGGCCATGTCTGGCAATACGATCCCTTCAGTTTGAAATCTCAGAGCAAGCAGGCAACATGTCCAGTAGTGTCACATCTGTAATACTACCTCCTCAGCTCCAGACATTCAATCTTACATATCTCCCACTCTGGATTTTGACTTGTGCATGCCTTGATAACCCCACTATTCTTCTTCATGACCTTCACAATGATTGAACTTACATATCCAGGCTTCCCTACAGACATGGTACCATCTACATACCAACCACTATTGAACTCATCATCCACCATTTGCTCTACATGGGTCCACAGAATTGTGAGTTCAAATGCCTTGCCTATGGCTAGAGCATTGCTTTGGTAATCATCTTTTGCTCCTCACTGCATATGTGATCTCTAACCTCTGTTTTGATTACTGCATAATTTTGATCCTCTGTCCAGTTTATAATCTGTGCCTGTGATGGCTGTTGGGTGCATGGTAGTTGAAAGTATCATCCAAAATAAATTACATGATTGTAATGAATGCACAAGTGAGTCAGTCATATATCTAGCAGCATTCATTGCAAGTAGTCACTCCATTTCAGCAGATGCTATTGCTGATTGGTGTCATGAACAGTTATGATGGTGTCACATGTAAAATCACATTTTAGAGGGTGCATAGGCATGCTGACGTGGTGTCAGAACAGTTAAGTTGCATATGAATGCCCCTTGGGCTCAGGCATATGGTTTCATTATTTAGGTGTGTGCCTGACATATCTAGAGCACAGGGAGGTTGCCTTATGATGTGTTTATCAGTCACTGATTGCTACAGTACAATCAGCAAATTGATGGCCTTCATATATGTATGTTACAATCAACCATTGATGATCAAACAGATGTCATAAGAGAACTGCCAAGTGTGAGTGATGATGTCAATGAACATATTTTCTTACATTCTCTGCCCTGTTTGAGTTCCCGTCTGTCATATCTCTGCTTCAATTTAAACATCTGATCACAGAGTTAATCACCCTGTCAATAGGGATTTGAATCTCAGTAAAATAGATCTCTTTGAGCTAATCATAGTGGTAAGATGTTGTGAAAACCCTGATAATGCTTGACATGGTTACCAGAATAGAGTCTACCATCATAACTTAGTAATTGATTAGTATTATCATCACTAACTAAGCATACAACAGCAATTATATCAGTACTGAAGGATCTTATCACAACTGGAATGAGCAGGAACACAACAGAAATTGGGAAACAGTCACACTAATAGTCCAGATAGTATATGCATTGTTAAGTGCTTCAAAGCATTGAAATGTCAGTGTCCAAATATCTTGGTAATAGTACAATGAAAGCATACAATGATGACCTTTGAATTTTTGACAGGAATAATAAACAGACAGAATACACATTACAACCATTCAACCGATGTAGCCACTTGCTAATCAAAAAACAATGTGGTTTCCTTCCATGAGCTCCAAGGCCATCTGCCTCAGGAACATGTATTTATGACTTCCCCTATTGAGCTAGTGTTCTCATTGAATCTCTACCCATTAATTTCTTTTTGATTTTGAGTGATGGCATGCACATCGGCATACAGTACACAATGCTGAGTGACCCTTTATGTGGTGATATAGGCATAGGTTGGACAGAATAGGAATGTGGAGATGTATTCTGGTGGTAGTACCTATATAGTATTAATCCAACATGTAAGTATGCTTCATTTTGCCTGGTACAACACAGATAGCTGCTGGAATCCCTGTAGTGAAGTCAGTGAACACTCAATGGTTTTCATTGGATGCTACATAGAGGTGTTGCCACAAGAAACAATACGGGCAGCATGAAGTTGTTGACAAGTTTCAACTTGTCAATATTGGTACAGCACTATATAGCCATTGTCAGTTATTTCAATCAATATTTTATCAGAAATCACATGAGCAGCACTGTAGTAGCCATCTTGAATATTGGATTGGGCTGCAAACACAAATGCAGTCTTATGACTTGCACAGAAGCTATCACTGTTGTGAAGCAACACCACAAAGATTGTCAAGCCCTAATTTTGTAATGATTATTGAGCTCAGATCAACTAGCAAACCACCAACTCACAGGGAAATCCTTCTTCCCCATATAGTAGCCAGATACTTTGATGGAATGTCTGTGAGTATGATATATGGTTATATGAATCAGATAAGTGGGAGAGAAACCAAATTTAGTCGGAATTCTCTGTGCTTGATGTGCAAATGGGGCCCTCATTAGTGAGCTACATGACAAAGTGATACCCAAGATCACATCTATGATATGACACATACCATTGTGGATTTTTGGGGTATCTTTGATTTTATCAAGGCCATGGAAGAGCAGTAACACTCAAAAGGGCAGTTTTGACCAAAAGTAGCAGTATGCTAAGGGAGTGTCATTGCTATCCTGCATAGATATTATTTGAGGAACCTTATGAACTGTATTTATTGAATCTATAAGCAGCCTACAGAGTGTGAGCACTAGCTACAGTGGTCAGCCAGCCAGCAAGTCACATGGTGAAAGCAACTAGTTGCCATATTGGGGTGCAACTGGAAGGCATTTCATGGACCATCACCCCAGGACAGAGCAGCCAGCCACAGCATTTATTTGTCTCTGTTGGTGCAAGTTGTATCATCTGGGAGTTTGAAATTTCAAGCTCAACTAATGGGACATCAGTATCAGTTACTAACCACTGCTTATCTGGGGTCCAATGTGTCATGTGCACTGTGGGAGCCTCCTGCCTTAAAAGGAGATCAACTGTAAGGCATTTCATCCCCTCCAGTCATAAGAAGGTTACCTTCGTACCTCAGGGATTGTAACCAGGCTCAAATCCGTGGAAGCACTTGTCACAAGGAGGAGATCTATTGATTGAACATAGAAATTTTGCCAATGTAGTGGATTCTGTTGAGCTCGAATTTATTCCGCATTTCTGCGGATTATTCTGAGCTCCATTACCCTGTCCAAGTCATAATATGTGTCCTGGTGTGTTCTCCTTTATTCTACATGGACACCATTACTGTACCGTGCATACTGTATTTTTTCATGTCTTTCCCTTTAGTCTACCATTTTCCATGATGTTTGACACTTCTGGGATTTGAACTGTTGCACTCATTCACTTCTTACTTGTTTGTGGATTTCGACTTTGTAGCTGTTATACTATACGGATGTGGCTGTATTATGTAACACACACAGTCCACCTCATCAAGCTCTAAGTCCTTAAGACTTTAGAGCTTGACTCAGTTGTGTATCTTTGCTTCTTTTAATATAAAGACCTTACAGAGCTCAACTTAGGCCTTTAGAATTGCTCTGAGGTGCACTGCAGCCAACAGTTGAATCAATGTCAAACAGAATGCAACAGCTGGAGAGGTAAGCCATGGGTGGTGCATTGTCACCGCCTATATAGGCCTCTGCAAGGCTTGCCTGACAAGCACTTTCAAGCTTCTGTTTGCTATGTTGAGCTGCCAGTGCCAGAGCCAAAGGTTAGCAGACATTGGAGTCATTCAGGCAGCTATTCTGATGATGACTTCTACCAGGTTGAGCAATCTTATCAACAATTCTTCAATTCTTTCCAATCGTCTTCAACAGTCTTTGATAAGGAGGACTTGGGCTACAAATGATAGCAAATTGCTGCAAGGAAGGAGAAGAGGCTGTGGTTAGTTGCCACTACCACCACTCTGATCCTGGGGATATAAGCCATGGTGGGAGTGTCAATCCCTGCCATAATCTACCCCTCAAGCCAACTGTGAAGTGCCACCTGGAGACCCTGAGGCTTGGTGTCAATCTGTGTTGGGGTGTGAAGGAGTTCATTGATGCAGGGCTTGGCATGGTAAGCATCATTGCTACTTAATGCCTTCGTGTTGCTGATGTGGTGCGACCCCTCTGCACACCCTGGCCTTCACTGCTGCAATGAACAAGCATCTTGCCATACCCAGGAACATCTGTGCTGAAAGAAGTGGGGTCATTATCTATACACTAATAGAAGTTCGGTCGGGTCTTATACTATTGGCAGGTAACAAAGTGGAAGCTGCTTTCTATTTTTGGTATCTATAGCTTGTGTCTGCCTGGGAGTGCACTGTGTTCTGGACCCCGGTACAATGTGCTCCCTGAAAATGAAAAGCATGGTGCTTCGAGAGGTTCGCATATCATTAAGAGCATCTGAAGTTAGGACGCTGCCGTGACTCGAAGACAGCGCCTTCTAGCGGGACTCATAGATAAGACGGGGTTCCACTGACTGCCGCCGATTCTCACCCAACGCTACATCCTCCCCAGCGCCGCAGTCACCTCAAATTTGCCTCAAAATGTTCCCCACATCTGGACCTGGTACGTAACACTGATTGATGTGATGTCAGCGCTTATGAGGATTACCATGTCAGCTTTCGTGACTTTCCCCACCACAACTATACAGCACTACGAGGCTGGAGGAACCAACCAACAATATCTTGACATCCTTCACGAGGAAAAATTCCCCGGCCTCTTCACCAATATCTTGACAAGCATTTTGCTCAAAAGTCAGTCAATCGAAGAGACAGTGACCGCAAACCTACGCGCAGTGCGCTCAGTTACGAGCCTACACAATCTCTGCAAGTCCCAGAGCCATTGGCTTTCCGTGAGACACGAGAATAGGGTTTATGCTGGATGCTTTGGCATCCCAACCTGTCCGAAGACCGAGGCAGATATTGCCCGCATCTGGGAGCAGATTGTCGGATTGTTCATCCGCCTCAACTGGCCAATGCCCCTGGGCGACCTTGAATTACTGCACCTGCACTTGCAGCCAACATGATGATGCTCAACCCTTATGTGAAGCTGTGCACAAGGCTTATCAGGTCCGTGTCCTCAAGCAATGCAAAGCATTGCCTAGGAGAGCTGCTGAGGAGGTGAAGGATGTACTGGTAAGTACCCTTCTCCTGGTGCTGCTGCTTCCTCCAAGCACAGCCACCCACCCTCTTCTCCCTCCTTTGATGTGTCTGCACCAGGCCACCACTCTGCACCTCTGCACACAAATATCCTTTCCAACTCATGGTCATTGCCTCGCCTGTAAACTACCACAATATGTATAGTGGTGACATGATTAATTGAATCACCACTGTTGTTTTTTGCATTTGGTGTGAGCATGAAGTTTGCACACTGTTCCCTCCTACCACTTGCTCCTCTTCCATTACACCTGCCCTTGCCATGCACCCAGTCACTCTCAGCTTCTCCTGTGCATGTTTTGAGACTGCACTGGCCAAAGCCATCCAAGAGGGAGACATTGCAAGACATACTCTGGAAGCCTCCCTCACCAAATCTCCCATTGCAGATGATGATGATGCCAAGAGCCTGTATAAAATGGGTATCTCTGGTGTGTTGCCAAACCTCATGGGACAGGTTGCTACTGGTATCACCAATGGTAATATCAAAGACTACAAAAGGTACACATATGTGTTTTGAAAGGTGCTATGCTGACACAACTTGTTACAGACTCATGAAGGTGTTTGGGCAATTCATCCAAGAGGGCAAATACCTACCAAGTAACATCCCCCATTTGGGGCCCATCCTTCCTGCAATCATCCCACAACTGATTTGCATGTGGATTTTTGTTGTGTGAGTGCGTGTTATGGTTCTGTTTTTGATTTGTTGACAGCTAGTTACCAATTTTATTGCCAAGTATCAGCCAGCTATTACAAATGACCCATCCAGGGAGCATAGCATTTCTGCCAACACCATCAACCTTAGTAGTGTATGTTAAATGTTTGCCACCACTCACCTCCCAGGTGGGAGTCCTAAGTTTTTGTTGAGGTTGCTGGAGTATTCCATGTGTGCAGCAGGGAAATAGTCTCTCCACTGAACCATAGAATGGTCAATCACCTGTATCAGGGTGGCAGGACAGGATGGCAGCAAATGAACAACACCCAGTCCAAGGCCTGATGATAGGTCTGCCTGTTACTCTTGCGCTCAAATAGAGCTCAAACAAGACACACATTGTTGTCAGGATGGTTACCAACAGGGCTGCTCACTTTCAAAGCCTTGCTGATGAGGTGCTGCAGAGCAGTCAGCACCCCTGTCTGGGATAGTGATGGAAGCCCTGAGATGCCCCAAGCTGAGAAAGCAGTCCTTGAAGCTGGAGCACGAGACCAACTTGAAGATGCAGATGGCTGGTATTGAGGACTGGTGGATGCTTCACCAGTGGGAAGTCCATATGAGCTGTAAATTTGAGTTTGTAGTATTGACCATAGTACTTAGTAAAAGCATCATAGTGGAGAGGCAATCAATAGCACACCTCATATTCCTCCGTTGACATATCCGTGCAGCAGATTGTCATTCATGCTACAGCTGGGTATATTTGACAATACGGACACTTGTAGGTTTGGCTCAGTGCAGAGCAGGGGTATGGAAAACTCCCAGGGTTCAGGGTACAAATATTCATACCCCCATACCCCAGGAATACTCCTGGGGTATTTCATCAAATTGAGCATATCTATGTCATATCAATATTTTCTCTTGTTATGATCCCTGAGGTAGGAAGGTATTGTTCTAATGACAGGAGGGGGTGAAACACTTCCAGCCCAATATGAAATGAGTCCACATGACTTTTTTGATGCCCAGATAAGCAGAGATAATTAATTCATACTATGGCCCTATTAGCAGGACTTGTAATTTGAAACTCCCAGACAACACAACTTGCACCAACAGGTACAAATCAATGCTGTGGCTGGCCACTCTGTCCTTGGGTGAGGGTCCATGAAATGCTTTGAGTGGAGCCAATATGGCAACTGGTGGCTTTCCCAACTCCTCCTGAAGGGAGCCTGATTGATATTGAGTAGCTAGTTCTGCCCAGTTGCCCAGATCCAATGGTGTGGAATGAGCCAGACCATTCTACCCAATGTATCAAAACATGTAGTTGCCCACTTCTCAGCAAGCTTCACTGTACATTAAGTGGATGCCTTGGAGGCCTTGAGATACCCAGGCAGCAAAGCCACCATGGGCATGAGGGCCTCCAAGCACGTCTCATTTGCAAATATTGACACCTAGGATCAACAGTGTGTTATGGACTAGGGTTGCTTACTTACCAAATACTGACTTAGTAACTACCATTCAGTTATTTATGTAATTGTAGTTGCCTAAATAATCTTAGAAAGGAGGATTGTCTTGTTGTGTAGAGGATTAATATAATGAGTGAAGTGTTGAGTGAAATTGACTTACAGTCAATTGGTCAATCAAGTATAAGGATTGCTTGAACAAGGCTCTGGGTGGCTCACTAGTGAGTACAGATTTAGAGAAATGAGATTGATTTGGTCAAGTGATGTATAGTTGATTCAGGTTATGTTGAGCACATTGTGTGAAATGTTGAGGTATGCCACTAATGCATGAACCTGACTCTAACTCTTACGGTGAAGCTAACTCTTACCAAACCCTTCAAAGTAGTGCAAGGCTATACTATGGGGGTCAAGACTAATTTACTTAGCGCACAGCTATAAGTACAATTGGTCTTAGTGTTGTCCAGTGCGGGGCTATGGATGATCGGGTGGCTCACATCAATGGATTGAATGTCAAGACAGTGTTATTCAGTTGTATGCTACAACAGTTTTTGAATACATACTAAGAGTTCTAGAATATTCTACAGAGGAACTGTTAGGTACTCCTAAATTGAAAATGTCCAAGTCATGAAGCCTGTCAAGTGGCTAACGGCAAGGACTTGCCTTTTTGGTGAAAGGTCTACACCTACCGCTGAAGGTCAAAGGTCAGCTGATCAAGGAGATTGTTCTGGTGAACCGATCATACTTATAGCTGTGCGCTAAGTCGATTTACCTTGACCCCTTCAACAGTATAGCCTTGCGCTACTCTGAAGGGTTTGGTAAGAGTAAGCTTCACTGATCTATGGTTAGAGTTGGGTTCGTGCTTAGTGGCATCCTCAACTATTGTTGTAACACTCTACTCACTATAGTTGTAACCAACTTACTGCGATCAACCGAGTTAAGTATCTTCACTAAGGACGTAGTGACTACTGTGCCACTCCAAACTTAGTGTCTGAACTTGTTGAGCAAAATTGATTCTCGATCAACCGATCTTCATAGTTGATCACACTAATCGTTGTGTTAATCCTCTTCACAATGAGACAATCCTCAATTCAATTCTTAACTCAGGCAACTACAATTACGTAACTACCGATGGTTGTTACTAAGTAAGTACCCAGTAAGTGAGCAATCCCAGTCCATAACAGGAACAATGGCCATCACAATCTCCTCATTCAACTGCCCACACACTCATTGTCCTTGGACTGAGCCAGTTGGTCTTGATCTGGTCACAACCAACAGGTCTGGATGAATCAATTAGCAGACTGGCACAATCCCCTTAATCACTTGACCTGTCTCCGGAAGCGTTAAGTAGTGAACTCGTCCAAAGAGGAAGGTCCTCGCCATTAGTCACGTGTCAGTCAGTGCTACCACTTGACAGGTTTTGCAACTTAGGCAAATCTTCTTCATGTTAGACACACCTAACACAGTGGTTCAGTACTACAGAATTCACACAAAACCCACTGGTGCCTTGAATAATGACTGCTTCATCATATGATTACAATCCCTGAGGTAAAAAGGTATTGTTCTTATGACTGGGGGGATGAAACACCTTACAGTTGATCTCCTTTTATGGCAGGAGGCTCCCATGGTGCACGTGACACATTGGACCCCAGATAAGCATAGATAAGTAATTGATACTGATGTCCCATTAGTGGGGCCTGAAACTTCAAACTCCCAGACAATGCAACTTGCACCAACAGAGACAAATAAATGTTGCGGCTGGCTGCTCTATCCTGGGGTGATGGTCCATGAAATGCCTTTCAGTTGCACCCCAATATGGACTGGTGGCCTGCATCATGTGACTTGCTGTGGCTGGTGCTCACTCTGTAGACTGCTTGTAGAGTCAATCAGTAAGTAACCATCATAGACATAGTATACCCATCCAATAGCCCTTCATTCAAAGAGTATACAGTAATATTCCTGAGCACTTACAGTGGCTGATTGGGCTGGAAAAGGCAAAACAAAAAATGCACATGTGCCTCCACACAAGTCAAACTGCCTGCCCTTGGACAAGGACCACCACGACGGTGTCCAGCGGCTGGCCTCTCCGTGGCCCAAGGGACTAGTACCTGCAAAGCGGGGAAGCTAACAGCCATCCACGTCCCACACCTGGGGAGAAACATAGACACAGTATGTGTCTCAGGGCGAGACCGCACCCTACGACGCCGAGCAGTGCGCTGGCACACGACATAGACTACATCTCTGAGAACAGAGATACCAATCATAACACAGACTCCCACAGAAACCACCTGAGCACTGAAGAGTAGAGTGAGCCCTACTGGCCCTGCCCCAAATGCCATGCTCACCATCGCCGGAGACAACAACTGCGAGCTACACAAACAGACGATGTGGCGTGACATGGCATGCCAGCGTCTAGACAGACAGAACATATAAGCACGGGTTTGAACGAAACCCGAGCCCGTGCAAGGCGCAGACACCGCCCCCAAGACTGTATCAGAGACAACCAAACACACCCACGATAACTCGGCTAAGACCCTCGCCCAGCCAACAAATGAAGCACCTCCAACAAAACTCCCTCTCGCACGTACAACAAGGGGACACTGGCACCAGACGCACCGAACACCCCGATACGTATCACTCTGCGACCGCACCATGCCGGAGACACCGGCAAACATTGAGCGAACCGAGCGCAGAAGGCCTACGGGCCAAGACCAAGCGACCGGCAAGGGAACACAACGAGGAAAACACACGGCCGGTTAAACAGCACCTGGTGCAAGGCGACGAGAGCCGAAAAGTGCCACAGACTCGAGGTACAGACCCCACGCAACGTGCCAGAGAGCTCACCAAACACTTAAAAGAGCACAGAAAATAGCAGATCAATTGCTTGCCCACACCGCAGAGCCCTGGCAAAACCTGTCTCAGGCATCTCCGCCCCCTCCCCGGGACCCACCCGGGAACGACCGCGCAGCCAAACGCTACCGTACGGCATTGGGTTGAGTTACCACCCAAACCGCAGAGGAGCCAGAGCGCGAGCACGGCCCTGAGCACGACAAGGATGTGGTGATCAACCCTCGCGACTACCAAGGCCTCCCGAACTGCGCCGCCAGCCTACCCCTCACTACCGCCGACATGTACCAATGGCCGGACCCGCTGGATCTGCCCACCGCTGTCGATGAGAACCTGCACAGCTGCATGACCCACGCAAAACCCTTCCCGCACCCGACCCCAACAACGAAGACTGCCTACACCGATGCATCATTCGAACAGCGTGTCATCTCCTACAACGTTCTCATGGGAAATGTCTGCAAGAAGCAACGCGATGCGATCAAAGCCGACCCCACCGGCTTCCTCGCGGTCGTCCCCTACGGGGCCGGCAACTGCTACTTCGAAGACAACCCCCGCGCCCACCTCGACATCCAGGACTTCGTCCGGTCCCTCAGGTTCCTGAGACCGACCACGGAGGGTGAGGATGGCGAGGTGCTGGAGGATGAACAGCAAGCTGGAGCGCAGGGAGGAAACCAGGAAGGGAACACGCCGGAGGGGGAGCCTAACCCTGACGTGCTAGACCTAGAGATCTCAAAGTCCGTGCGAGAGACAAACAAGGACATCAGGGACTGCTTCGGGAAACCGTGGACCCTCTTCCTCCATGGCGGCTCGCAGTGTCTCCGCAAATTTCTGCTCTACCAACAGACCTTTGCCATCTCCGAGCGCATTGCCTTCAGTGTGGTGCCGCTGGACCCAAACATCTTCTCGTGGGCCATCTGCAACCTCGTAGGAGACGGGATCACCCCAACGTTGAAGGACACCATCCTAGCTGGAGTCAAACGATGGCTCTGGAAGGACGACGCTTTCCGGGCGCACATCGACAAGGTCTTGGCCAGAGAAGGTGTACCAGGATCAGTCAACGAGCAAGTCCTCTACGTCACAAACTCGTACACCCTAGTCCTCATCCACAAGAAGGACGAGCGTGGGAACCCAGCGGCAATCGCTCAGCTACGCGGCAAACCCATCACGTCGAACATGGCCAACCACCTCACGTACCTGCAGCTCGTCTGCGACGGCAACTACTGGATCGCACTGAACCACCTGAAGACCCGTGGCCAAGGGGTAGAGTGTCAGCTCTGCAAGGCAGACACTCACCCCACGTGGGACTGCCCCCTCCATCAGACCCCAGGATGGTACGGACCAAAGTACGATGGAGCAGAAAGGCACGAAGACCAAGCAAAACGCGCCCGAGACGACGATGGCTTCACAACGGTGACTGCGCAAGGATCGAGCAGCAGGGGACGAGGTTGCGGCGGACAGAGAGCGACGCGCGGCCATGGATACTAAGGTAGACGCTACGATACCTGCACCCAAGTCACACCAGATACAGAAAACCCATACATACGAGTTTTGAGAATGCCTCACTATGAGCCCCGCTACGTAGGATACTTAACGCTCAATTGATAATGTTCGCATGCTACATTACACTCATTGCCTGGAACGAGCAGCCTACGACAAAGTAATTAATAGGTACAAGGCCCTACCACATAGGAAGGCCGTGCTGACCTCTAACAAGCAAAAGGTGTTGTACAAGGAGCGAAGTGACCAGGCACGCAGACCTCCAGCGACACCCCCCAGTGTACCGGCAGCAAAACGCAGCTCCGTGTGGCCTAGCAAGCCATACGGAGGGCCACCAACAAGCAACAAATACAAGACAACAAGAGACATCAACCCCACGGAAAGCAAATTTTGGTACAGGTAAGCATGCGTTTCCCGTCCCCAGAGGCGGGTCTCGCACAACTGCTGGCAGACCCGCCGAAAAAGGGGACGGGACAATGGAAGGCAGACCCATAGTTGGAGGAGCCCAGGAGTCTACGCATGAGGACCAAGACGGCCAACAGTGCGCAGACAATGAACGCGGAACACCCCAATGCCAAGAGGAACATAATCAAGACATCAATAGTATACGTGACGCGGGGCCAGAAAGGACCCCAGATAGGACGAACGCGAGCGAGCGACACCGCCAAACCCCAACAGACACTGGGGACGCGCAGAACGCGCTAGAAGGGCAAGATGCCCTGAGACCTTACCCTACATGCAGAACTGAGGGCAAGGAACAAGTAGGAGACATCGACAGTACGCGCGATGGGAACCAAGAGCAACACAGCCAAGACCCTGATAGGATGCAAGACGGGGAAGGAGCAGACACTCCGAGAGAACCAGGACACAACCACAGGAAGCAGCAACGCCAAAGGCAACAAACAGCCAAAAACAGGTGTAGAGAGCTAGAAGAGAATGAGCAGAGGCAAGAGGGAACACAGAGCCAGAAACGATACAAGGCAGTGATCACCATCGCCACGCTCAACATGAGAGGATACGGCAGAGAGAACGCAAACTCGCCGGAGAACAAGTGGCTACATGTCAATCAACTTGTACAAGAGAAGAAACTAGCAGTACTTGTAGTACAAGAGACGCACATGGATGAGACGAGATGACAAGCAATAGAATCACTTTTTGGCCAACGACTTAAGGTCATCGCATCACCAGACCCAGACAACCCCACAAGAAAGGGAGGAGTAGCAGTCGTCCTCAACAAAGAACTAGTGAGAACGGAGAACATATACACACAAGAGATAATCCCCGGAAGAGCGCTCTTGACCAGGATAGAACTGAGCCGGGAATCCACACTAACAATACTAGGAGTGTACGCACCAAACGACCCCACATGAAATGAATTCCTGTGGGAAGATATCAAGCTCTTCTACGACCACCGTGATAACCGGCGAGTACCAAGACCGGATATCCTACTAGGAGATCTGAACACAGTCGAAGAGCCAATTGACCGCCTACCGATGCATGCAGACCGAAGCAAGACCATTGAGATGCTTGACCAAATGAAACAGCAACTACACCTAAGAGATAGCTGGAGGGAACTGAACCCAAGCACGAAACTGTACACGTACCACCAGAAGAGTACAGGATCACAATCTCGAATCGACAGAATCTACATGACAGATAACATAAGCGCAACAGCCTATGATTGGAACATACAACCGGTGGGCATACCAAACACAGACCACATGATGGTCTCTGTAAAAGTAATGTCAGATGACGCCCCATGGACAGGCCCAGGGCGAAGAACCATACCAATGTACATCATTAGAGATGAACAGATGAGTACGTACATCAAAAGCCGGGGACTAGAGGCCGCAAAAGAACTCGAAGACCTGTGGGGAAGCCGATCAGTGAACGAAAACCCGCAGAAGATACTACACAGCTTCAAAATGGACGTCAGGAACAAGGCAATCGAGAGACAGAAGGTCAAACTCCCAACCCTTATATGCAATATTGTGGCAACAAAGAAAGCCCTGGACAAAACGATCAATGATGACAGGATCGAAGAGAACAAGAGAAAGAAGAAAGCACACACATTAACTGAGCAGTTAGACGTATTAGAGAAGAGGCGCCACAAGCAGGTCCGGACTGAGATGAAGGTTAAGGATAGGATAGAAGGCGAAACAATCTGTAAGGGATGGTGCAGATTAGGGAAGGAATTGAAACCATGAGATGTCATATACGCACTAAGGAAATCAGACTATAACTTTGGAGAGTCACCACTCGAGAAACACTCAGCAAAAATGGCAGACCTAGCAAAGGACTACCATGAGACCTGCAACAAGAAGGCATTGAACCTGAAGCAGAACGACGTCAGAGATGCACCGAGACAGTACTGAACAACATAGCAACAGAGCCAACAGAGGAACCTGAACAACATAGCAACAGAGCCAACAGAGGAACAATCAGACACTACGAAAGCAGATAACAGAAGACGAAGTGGACGACACACTGACATACTCGAAGAAAGACAGTGCCGCTGGGATAGACGGCCTCACATACAAGTTCTGGGCAGAAATGCACAATCGATACATCAGAGAGAGCAGTAACAAAGAGAACAAAGCTTTCAATGTACTAGAACTACTTATGGCTGCCTTCAATGACATCCAACGACACGTGGTTGACCCAACAACAAACTTTGCAGAAGGATGGATGTGCCCGATCTTCAAGAAGAAGGAGCGGGACAACATTGCAAACTATAGACCGATAACGCTTATCAATACAGACTACAAATTATACACAAAGTCACTTACCATCAAGCTTGCAACTGCAGCGCCGACGCTGATACACAAGACGCAAGCGGGCTTCATCCCCGGGAGACAGATATCGGAACAGACCCAGCTCGCGCACATGGTCATGGAATATGCAGCGATGTCCGACCCAAGCAAAGATGAGATAAGAGATGGGGTAATCGTTGCACTAGATCAAGAAAAGGCCTATGATAAAATCACACACAACTATCTGTGGAAGACGTTGAAGAAATTCAACATACCAGAAGAATTCATCCGCTCAGTACGCACCCTATACGAGAACACTGAAACAAGAGTCATGATTAACGGATTCCTAAGCGCGCCTTACCGCATAACCCGAGGCGTAAGACAGGGAGACCCTCTGTCCTGCCTGCTCTTCAATCTGGCGATTGAACCGCTGGCAGCGACGCTACGAGCATCAACCCTGAAAGGGTTCAAGATACCGGGAGTCGCAGAACGACTCATAGCAACTTTGTTCGCAGATGACACAACGACGTACCTAGACAAGACAGATAAACTGTCAGACCTAAACAAACACCTAGAGACGTGGTGCGCAGCATCAGGTGCACGCTTTAACAAGGACAAAACCGAGATCATACCGGTAGGACAACCAGACTACCGTAGAACAGTGTCTGAGACGAGACAACTAGCCCCAGATAGCGAGCAGATACCAGAGAATATACACATAGCTGTTATGGACTGGGATTGCTAACTTACCGAGTACTTACTTAGTAACAACCGTCGGTAGTTACGTAATTGTAGTTGCCTTAGTTAAGAAATGAATTGAGGATTATCTCGTTGTGAAGAGGATTAACACAATGATTTGAGTGATCAACTTATGAGGTTTAGTCGATCGAGAATCGATTTCGCTCAACAAGTTCACGCACTAAGTTCGGAGTGGCACAGTAGTGCCTACGTTCTTAATGAAGCTAAGAAACTTGGTTGATCGAAGTAAGTCGGTTACGACTTTAGTGAATAGAGCGTTACAACAATAGTTGAGGATGCCACTAAGCACGAACCCGACTCTAACCGTAGATCAATGAAGCTTACTCTTACCGAACCCTTCAGAGTAGCGCGAGGCTATACTATTGAAGGGGTCAAGGTAGATCGACTTAGCGCACGGCTATAAGTACGATCGACCTTAGTATGTCCAGCGCGGAGCTATGGATGATCGAGTGGCTCACACCGATGGATTGAAGTTCAAGAGAGTGTTATTTGTTCATACTCTACGACAGTGTTTATATATCTACAAAGTGTCCTAGAATATTCCATACGTAAACAATAGCCCTATTGAGATCCTCGGTCGACTGCCCGCGTATTCATTGTTCAAAAGCCGAATCGATCGGCCTTGGTTCGGTCACAACAGGTGAGTCTAGTCAAGTCGATCGGAGGTCCGGCACGATCTTCCTTAGTCACTTGACTTAAGTCTCAAGTAGGCAAGTATTGACTTTTCCTAAACAGGAAGACTCGTGCCGTTAGTCACGTGTCGGCGCTAGCCACTTGACAGACTTCATGACTTAGACACTTCGATTAGATATTCCTAACAATAGCCCAAGAGGGCGAAGCAATGAGAATACTAGGGGCGTGGTATGGATCTAACATAGATGATACATCGGTATGGACACCCACATTAGAGAAGATAGACCGCACACTAGAGCAATGGAACAAACGCAACCCAACCATGGCAGGAAGGAAGCTCATAGTACAGATGTGCATCGGCGGCATGACGCAATACAGAGCCCAAGTACAACGCATGCCGAAGAGGATAGAAGAGAGGCTGCAAAAGCAAGTGAGAACGTTCATGTGGCACGATAAGATGCAGACACCGGTCAGCGCAGAAACCCTTAGAGCGCCAATTACATCAGGAGGACGAGGAGTCCTCAATATAACAGCAAGAAATAAAGCGATCAAATTAATGTGGACAAAGGAATACCTCAAGCTAACGGAGGATTGCCCTCTATGGGTGTTCATCCCAGACACGATCATAGCGCACACCACACCCAAAACTGAACGTAACGTACCAATTGAGATCAAGCAGAACATCTTCCTACAATCATGGAAGACAAAGAGATCGGCATTACCAAAGAGACTACAAACAATGCTAAAAATAGCGATGGAATACGGAGTGAGAAGAGAAGGACTAGCCTTCGATAGAGATATCACCAGGACAATACCCATATGGCACCACGGAGAAGCTGATGCAAAGATCAGGTGACTAGAACATGGTAAAACAAGTGAATGCCTCAGAAGCAAACACAACGGATACACAGTGGGCGACATGGAAGAGATAGCCTCTCAGAGAGAGGACAACAACCATACCGGACGCAGAACATGTCAATGTACGCAATGCAATCAAATGAGGGACAATATAGGTTGCGAACACCCACACAAGTGCATGAAGAAAGCGGCCGAACTACTGGCACTGATACCAGATAAGTGGAACCCCACAAAAGCACAGCCGGACGACCCAGAGGAGCACCAGGTAATCAAAGAGATCAGCGAACAAACACAAGACCAATGACGACAGACCAGACGAAGACAGACCGCAAAACACATCGCAATCACCAGATAGGGATCAAGAAGACCAAGAACACTCATCTCACAGATGAGTGAATCACAAGACGACGAGGAAGCGAACCACCCAGACTGGGTAACGTTCGAACCAACGATAACTACCACAGGAACAACAGCGGACATTTTCCGCGTCTTCACATCAGGTGACACAACCAACGAAGTACTCCAAAAGACCAGACAGCAATCAACAGACAAACCACTCCGATATGCGACAGACAGTTCGTGCATACAGGTACAGAATGAGAGACAGGCAGGAGCCAGAGGCTTCATCGGACCAGACGACCCACTCAACTTCGCGCTGCGAGTCCCCCCCCAAATTAGGTAGACGAACCAAACAAGCGAACTCATAGCCACCAAGGAAGCCGGGACTAGAGCACCAGTAGAGAGAGACCTAGACGTGATAAGCGACTCACGGCACGTACTGACAGAGGCAACAAAATACAAACAGAGACACGAGGACAAAGGATACATAGGGAAAGAAAACGCACCAGTCATCCAAGCGATGATCGCGTTGCTGCGAGCCAGACCTCATACAGTACGACTGCGATGGGTCAAAGGACACAATGGCCATACACTGAATGAAGGAGCATACCAATTAGCAAACGAACGCGCGAGGAAGACTCACCCAGATGAGATAGATCTAACGATCCCGCCCCAGCTAACACAGACTGGCGCGAAGCTAGCTACACTGACACAGAAGTTAGCATACCAAGGAATACGACAGAGAGAGATGACAAAGTATAAAGGAAGAACACGCACGAAGGACAACATAACAAAGGCGATCGATTACGCCGAACACTACCATAAGACATCACCGACGGAAGCTATGATATGGAAGAGCATCAGACATAAGGATCTAAGACGGGAAGCAAGATACTTCCTATGGATGACGACCCACAATGCGTACATGGTCGGATCAAACTGGCTAAGGCCAGGGTACTCAGACAACCTGCAAGCAAGGCATGAATGCACAGTATGCGGCAAAATAGAATCAATGGAACACATACTCACCGAGTGCACAATACCCGCACAAGCTGAAGTATGGGAACTGACCGCAGAGCTATGGCGGAAGAAGCAAAGACCATGGCACAAGCCGATGATAGGAGGAATAATAGGCTGCGCAAATGCGGCCTTCAAAGATGAGAAAGGGAAGATACTAAAGGGGTTAACACGACTATACCGAATACTCGTATCAGAGGCCGCGCACCAGATCTGGAAGCTGAGGAATGCCCAAGTTATTAATAGCGAGGACAATGAACCACCGTCAATCGATGAGATAAGGAACAAATGGATGAACACAATCAACAACAGATTGGCGATGGACTGTAAGATGACGAGTAAGAAGAAGTACGGAAAGAGAGCAATCAAGGAGACGTTAGTAGGAGACACATGGAGCGGGGTACTCAAGAACGAGAAATACCTACCGCATGACTGGACAAAGGGGAGAGTTGAGGTTTTAGTGGGTATTGATCCCGGTTAAGTCGTTACAGGGGGGGTACATCGGAGACTGGAGGTGAAGTTCCGATGTGCAGCGATGAACCGCGGACACAGTATCGAGTCCCACACAGTGCGTAATAGCATTTCCTCAACGGTGGATAATGAAGATAAGCAAATAAATACAAACATGCCTATATATGTCTATGCAACTAAGGATCCCATGAGGTTTGAAGCCCTCATACAATAGCAGGTAATCTGGAGTCAACTTGTCGACGGTCAGACCCAGTGCCACAAGGCGCAACGCTCCACCAAAAAAAAAAAGTCAAACTGCCTGTTTCTGCTCTAGATACTCACTGATTTATCAGGACAGTGTACTCATGCAGTTGAATGACTTCTGTACATGTCAGTTGCTTCTGTAATACAGCAATGATGAGCAATATTGGGCTACCAACCCACAGCTCATGTGCTTCTTCCACCCAATTTTTGCTGCCAAGTCCCCAGTGCCTAGGAGGCCACCGGGTATCCCTCTGATAGTATGATTATAAGAATGTGGTATACAAGTGATGTACAATACAAAAAGAACGAAAAAGAACAGCCAAGAAACAGCCCAGTATTGAGGGAAGGAGCGTGCGCTGATGTGGCAGTGGTGCGCCACCGGGCACGCGATGCCGCCTGCCTTATCGGGAGGTCGAGCTATTTTTATTGCAGGGTATCCTAATCGGACTTACACTCAAAGAGGTAGACAGGGACATGTCCCAAACAAGGGAGGGGAGAGCGGTAGGAGTGTGGTAGAAGCGGTGGTATGCGGTGGAAGGGCCTACGGACCTATGTAGCTTATCAAACGGGACCCGTATCATGAGCTAATAAGCTGAGAGATACCCGAGATAGAGGTGACGTGTCCGGTGGGAGAGTGTGTGACAGGCCTAAATGGGGGGTCAGTAAGCCTTGCCCATCATGGACTATCTTATCTCACATGTTTGGTTCTGTTTGTCTCATGCCCTCTATGGCGTGCCAGCACGCTTACTATACTCTTGACTACTCTTTATCACTGCCTATTTGGATGCAATCCTGTATACTTCTCTAACAGAATAGAGATTGGGTACAACACATCCTCTGGTCTGATATTGAGTTGTTACAATTTCTCAGGCAAGATGCTCTTTCCTAACAATGTCATCACACCGGTCCTGCATGACATTGCATGATGGTGTCTTCACAAGCTCTAGATACCATCATATTCTGCCCTAAATCACAGGTGGAATAATTGTTGTCTGGGGAGTAGTTGTGATTCAGTGCTGACATTATGGCAGCAGGGTTCAACTCCAGAGTGCATGAGGGCATGGATGTGGTTGGTGGAGATGGTTCAGGGTGCTCTGGGTCTGAGGTGATGATAGGACAAGGAAACATTTCATTGCATAGATTATCTGCAACCTCCTTTTCCTGAGCTGCTTGATGTTTGCCCATGACTTTCTTATGCCCCTTGCTCTGTAAATGTTGCTGCATGAAGTAGTCCATTGTGTCCATGATTTGCACAGACAGACCTAAGCCTCACAAGTTATGACATACCAGCCACAGTGAGAGCAGGGTCATTGTGTTCTCTATGATATATGATGTTCAGATGTCAATTATGTAGGTCTGATTAGATCAATGATCTTTGGGACCCCACAAACCTGCCAGGGGTAGGCTTGGGGGGTCAATATTGGCCACTAGTTCTGCATACCCCTTGCTTTGATCACAAAAGATTGAATGAGGCTATAGAATGGTCATCCAGGAAGATTGACACACCCAGCTTACAGATCATTGTTGCCTTGGACTTGCAGAATCAATCACCATACTCTTCATGCCTCAAATCAGTCACCAAAACCAGTCAATTAGCAAGGATATCTTCTAGACGATCATGGTGGTGTCTCTGCTCTAGCGCCTCAAAGAAGTCCCGCAATCCTCCGCCTTCCATGACCGCAGGCAGATTCATCACGGACATACCGATCCTATGATCAGTTACCCGGTCCTGTGCAGTGAAAAATATCAGCACATGCATGCAGCCTAATGACGAAGTGATGCACCGACCTGAGGATAGTTATATGTTCTGATCTTGTCGCCGCGGTCCGCGCTCGAGACCAGACTTCGTCGGGCGTCGCGGCGGTCGATGACGTCTTGTGTTATCTTGCGATCCATGAGCCGCGCGCGAAGTACTTGAAATGCACGTCTACGATTCTGCGTAGCTTCTGTGAGCACTGAGATGACGACCCATACTGAGCGACCAACTCACTTGGTGCTGGCTCCGTTCGTCTTGCATAGACACGGTGATGCCAGTCGGTATATGAGTGAGTCGTACCGCCGATTCTGTTTTGTTGACGTGCTTTTGCGAGCGTTGAATAATCATAAGTGAGACTGTAGGTAGTCCGAGCGTACCTGACCACCCGCACCCCGGGCACGCATCACCTCGATCTTGATCTCGTCCGCAGTGAACAGATCGCTTGTTTCCTGCTGTCCATGGTCCTCCGAAAGGGGTAGAACCTACATTGCATGAGAACGATATTATGCGAGAGGACCGGTGCAACTTACAATGACTGTGACTGTACTTGTGTGAATGCGACCACTGGTTTCCGTCGACGGAACGCGCTGGACGCGGTGCACGCCGCTCTCCCATCGCATGAGGTCGTATGCACGCTCGCCCTGCACCTCCAAAATAGCGTCTCTCATGCCACCTTGGTCGAGCGAATTGCTGTCCATGACTGCAGTCTTCCAGCCGTACTCCTGGGCAGCGCGCTCGTATGCTCGCAGAAGGTCGACCAAGAACAGCGATGACTCCTGACCGCCGACGCCGGACTTGAACTCTATCAAGGCTGACATACCTGCCGTTGTGCTGGGTGGGACGACGAGAGTTGGGAGGGTCTCATCGAGGAGAGTCGATAGTTGTTCGGTGAGGGATGCATGTTCCTCCATGGCAAGCGCACGCATGGACGGGTCAGCGTCGTTTAGAAGAGGCGCAGTTTCTTGTAGTGACTACTATTGATTGGCTCGTTATGCGACCCACGACGGGAGGACAGCGAAAACTCACTTGTCTTGCGCGCGACCACTGCTGCCATGCCTCGTCCAAGGTTTCCAACTCCTTGATACGCTTTACCAGTGCTACGTCTTCTGGGCGTGACCAGTCTTCGGATACCTGCGGAGAACGAATCAGCTCGATATTACTAGCTTCACGGAATCGCATACCTCGCCGAGTAGCTTGGCCCGCTCATCGACTTTGCTCTTGACATACTTCAGGATCGGCGACTGGTCGTACTTCTGGACGGAATCATGATTCGCGGTACTATAGCGTGATAGCGGACGTGGGCGAGTAGGACGAAGGCGAGCGAGACGGGGGCCAAAGCGAAGGAGCATCGTCGACCGACGCTGCTCGCCGTCGCGCAACACGTCTCGCGTCACGTGCGCCTGCGTGGCGCGTCTGCTGGCGGCGTGGCGGACGGTGCGCGTCCTCGTCCTCGTCAGCGCTTCCGCACGGCCATCCAGCTCTGTCCAGGACTCTGTCCACGACCGACGTCCGCCCACTCGCGCCTCCTTCTCGCTGTGGCAGTCGCCGTGCTCTGCAGCTCGCACTGGTGCGTTTCATCCTGTGCTCAGCGACATACGTTTCAGCTCAGCCCTGCAGGCTTCTAGCATAGGCATCCCAAACTCAGAATTGGCCCTCCAACCACGGGTTTGAGGGGTTTGATTCTCTGACCGCAACAGCCATGTACGTTCTATGCCTACCGACTCTGTCGACAGCCTCACGAGACGTGTTTCTCCAGGGTTGCTGTAAAGGTCGAATCGTCCGAAATATCCGGCGCAGAGCTGCGTATAGCTCTGCCCTGGTACCTTCACCTATACACCGTGCCCTCGCTCTGTCTCTACCCGCTCCTGGCGTACGCATACTACGTCAAGTACGATGACTGGCTGCAGAGCGAAGAATGGACCTTCCTCGCCTGCGTAACTGTCGGGGTCACTCATGCTCTCAGTTTCCTCTCCACCAAATGGAGTTCCGCAGCCAAGGCTCTCATAACCACCCGCTCGGTAAGCCCATGACAGTTCCATGCTATCCTTTGCGCTTTTGACCCTTCTGTCAGGCTTCGTCCCTCGATAGCGCAGATTGTATTCGCCTCATACCGTCGGCTCACCGCGGACACGGCGAGATCGTTCCCCTCGTCGGTAAAACCCCCTCTGACCCCTCCACCTACTCGTTCAACTACCAGCGTGACACCTACCTCGTGAGCTCGCCCTCGCCGATCGCATTTACGCGCCTGCCGTACCCGTCATCCAGCCATCCGCCCCTCTCTACCTACCAGCAAGTCAAGCCTCTCACATCACAGACTGTCCCGAGTCTACAGTCCATGTATGGCAAGAACGAATTCGACATTCCGGTGCCTTCGTTTACAGAGTTGTTCTCGGAGCAAGCGACCGCCCCGTTCTTCGTCTTCCAGATCTTCTGCGTGACATTGTGGTGTCTAGATGAGTACTGGTACTACAGCTTGTTCACGCTCTTCATGCTGGTCGTCTTTGAGTGCACCGTGGTATGGCAGGTAAGTCTTCTGACCGTCCTGTGTTGCCATGCATTTCGTGCTCACTTTGCTTTCCAAGCGCCTGAGAACGCTGACAGAGTTCAGGACAATGTCTGTGTCGCCGTATGCCATTCAATGCCTCAGGGACGATAAATGGGTCACGATGCAAACCGACGAGCTCCTGCCAGGTGACGTCGTGTCGATCGGTAAGCTATGCAACCCAAGCCTTCTATCCCCCGTTAACCTCTTTACAGTCAGACAGCAAACCGAGACAAGCATCCCCGCCGACGTTCTGCTGCTCAAAGGGACGTGCATCGTTAACGAGGCTATGCTCTCCGGAGAGTCCACGCCCCTCTTGAAGGAGTCCATCGCGTTGCTCGAAGAATCAGAACGGCTCGACGTCGACGGCGCTCACAGGAATCAAGTTCTGTTCAGCGGCACGAAGCTCTTGCAGGCAGACGGCGGTACGTACTGCTATATGCGCGTTGTTGGTGTTGCTGACGGTCGATACCTGCAGGTGAGACGCCCGACGGGGGCTGTCTCGGCGTGGTTCTGCGCACTGGCTTCGGGACGGCCCAGGGCCAGCTTGTCCGGACAATGATCTTCTCCACCGAGCGCGTCTCGGCCAACAACATGGAGTCGTTCCTCTTCATCGGGTTCCTGCTCATCTTTGCGATTGCTGCGAGCTGGTATGTTTGGGTGAAAGGTCCGTCGCTCATCATTATCGTTAGCGGATGAAGGCTTGAACCAATTTCTCAGGTATCGAGCGTGAGCTCAAGAAGTCGAAGCTTTTGCTGGACTGTGTGCTCATCATCACGAGTGTCGTTCCACCTGAGCTGCCTATGGAGCTGTCCTTGGCTGTGAACGCATCCCTGGTTGCATTGTCAAAGTTCGGTGCGTGTGCATGTCATACTCCTTCCACATCTCTGCTGACCCAACTGACAGCTATTTTCTGCACCGAGCCTTTCCGCATTCCATCTGCAGGACGTGTCGACGTGTGTTGCTTTGACAAGACTGGTACTATCACGGCCGAGAACCTAGTCCTTGAGGGCGTCGCAGGAATCGAGTACGCTGTCCAGTTCATACTCACTCGTGCAACATGCTGATTTGCTTGCAGCCCTGAGGACCGCTTGAAGCTCGTGAACGTTAAGGAGAGCGGGAAGGAGACGACCTCGACCCTCGCTGCGGCACACGCATTGGTCAGGCTCGACGACGGCACGATCGTAGGTGACCCCATGGAGAAGACGACGCTTGACGCTCTCGGATACCAACTCAACAAAGGTAGAGTCGACGTCAGGATATATTGTGACATTCGCTCACCGTGTCGTATCTAGGTGACACCGTGACCCAAGGCGAGGGCGGCAAACAACGCACCTCGCTGCACATCCGGCGCCGCTTCCAGTTCTCGTCCGCGTTGAAGCGCATGTCGACCGTCTCGACGACGACGAACCGCACCCTCATTGCGGTCAAGGGCGCACCGGAGACCATCAAGACGATGCTCGCGAGTGTGCCAGATTTCTACGATGACACGTACAAGTGGTACACGCGCAGGGGCAGCCGAGTGCTCGCCATTGGGTTCAAGGAGCAGGATAGCATGTCACAGGACAAGGCATGTTTCTGACGTTGACTTGTTAATGGCTGCAGACTGACGTTTTTCGTAGATTAATAAGTTGACCCGCGACCAGGTCGAGAGCGGGCTGACCTTTGCAGGCTTCCTCGTCTTCCACTGTCCCTTGAAGCCGGACGCCGTGCATACGCTCAAGATGCTCGTAGACTCGTCACATCGGGTACGTGCAGTATCATGCAAGGCTAATATGACACATATTCACTGCTTTGCTAGTGTATCATGATTACCGGCGATAACCCTCTGACGGCAGTTCACGTCGCCCGAGACGTCGAGATTGTCGATCGTGAGGTTCTGATACTGGATCTGAAGGAAGATGCGACGCACCCTGGCGGTACGTATTCTGAACGCATGCAATGCAGCGTCTCTGATACTTCGATCAGATCTCGCATGGCGCACAGTCGACGAGCACAAGTTCATCCCTGTTGATCCCTCGGAGCCTATCGACACATCACTTTTCGAGGACTACGACATCTGCGTCACCGGTGCCGCACTGAGGCAGTTCGAGGGGCGCTCCGCGTGGAACGACATCGTGCAGAACACCTGGGTGTACGCGCGGGTGTCGCCCGCGCAGAAGGAGGCGATCCTGACGACGCTCAAGTCGCTCGGCTACGTCACGCTCATGGCGGGCGACGGTACGAACGACGTCGGCGCGCTCAAGCAAGCACACATCGGCGTCGCGCTGCTCGACGGCACCCCGGAGGACCTGCAGAAGATCGCGGAGCACCAGAGAATAGAGCGCGTCAAGAAAGTGTACGAGAGCCAGCTGAAGATCTCATCGCGCTTTGGGCAGCCGCCTCCGCCTGTTCCTGCCGCTATCGCGCACCTGTACCCGGATGTCGTAGAGGCACAGAAGAAGGTTAGCACGGAGTTCCAGAATGCGCGCAAGAAGAATACTATGGAGAAGGTGGGTTCCCGTGGCTGTGGCCTGGCCCTTGTACTCACCTACTGGTTCAGTTCGACCTGGCGTCAATCACGGACAAACTCGCAAATTTGGAAGATGAAGAAGACGTTCCCAAGATTAAGCTTGGAGATGCCTCCTGCGCAGCGCCGTTCACCTCGAAGCTGTCCAATGTATCTGCGAGTGAGTCAAACTCCGTCTTGTTTCTCGAGAGATCAGACCTGACGCGATGCAGTCACGCACATCATCCGGCAGGGTCGTTGCACCCTAGTCGCCACGGTTCAGATGTACAAGATCTTGGCGCTGAACTGTCTCATCACGGCATACAGTCTCAGCGTACAGTACCTCCAAGGCATCAAGTTCGGGGACTACCAAGTGACGATTACGGGTATGCTTATGTCTGTCTGCTTCTTGTGCATTTCGCGCGCCAAAGTGAGTGAAATTTCATGTCTGACGCGGGCAGCTGACGAACCTGTGCACTACAGCCGGTGGAGAAGCTCTCGCGTGAACGCCCGCTGGGGAACATTTTCAACTTCTACGTGCTGCTGTCTGTCCTGATTCAGTTCGCGCTGCACATCGCCTCGCTGGTGTACATCACGCAGCTGTGCGGCTTCTTCGAGGAGTAAGTCGGCCGTTGCGAGGATGTTATCGCCGTGGACGGTTACTGATGGGGATGGCAGGCCGGGACCGATAGACCTGGAGGCCAAGTTCGAGCCTAATTTGCTGAACACGGCCATCTATCTGCTGAGTTTGTCGCAGCAAGTATCCACGTTCGCCATCAATTACCAGGTGAGTACAGTATGGCCGCGTGGCTGTGGGCGTTCGCTGACGTACGGCGCAGGGCCGTCCGTTCCGTGAAGGGATCAGGGAGAACCCCGCCTTGTACTACGGCCTGGTGGGTGCCAGCGCCGTTGCGTTCTCGGGTGCGATGGACTTCGTCCCCGAGCTGAACCGCTGGCTGCAAATTGTGGAGATGGATCAGACGGTGAGTCGAGTATGATGCCGCGCTGATGGCCGCATATTGACGTGGGCCGGCTAGTTCATGTACAAGCTGACCGCGACGATGATCGTGGACTTTGCGGGGTGCTGGCTCATCGAGCTTGTCTGCAAGTGGTTGTTTGCCGACCTGGAACCGAAGGCGATGATCACGCGTGGGAGGGAGCGGAGGGAGGCCAGACGGAAGCAGGAGGCTGCTCTGCAGAACGGGGCCGCCGTAGAAAAGAAGCAGCAATGAGGCTGAGCGCACAGGGACTGTACATAGAGTTTGCGCATGACAAACGATAGCACTCGCATCGAAGGCAGGCGTTGTGTGGGCAGACAAGGCGACCGGGTGGCTGATTGATGGGACGGGCGTCTGTGCACAATAGGTGGAAGGCGACGACATTGCCTCTTGTTCTTAACCTCAATTGTCTGCCATGTCCCCAGCGTTGACCGTCTCGCCTTTTGTCTGTCGTCTATAATACCCCCTCTTCTCCCTTCGAGCTCCCCAGCTACCCCGCACTGTGTGCGTATTGCGCGACCTTCAACCTCATTTCACCAGCCTCGATTGTCTTGTCATGTCCACCAGCACATCCTACACACGCCCCCTCCCGCCCACGCCCAATGCCCCCAACGCCCACGAGCGCACCCGCCTCGTCCGCTCTCCCCAAAAACTAGGCTCCGTGTCCACCCCGCAGCCCGCACAGTCCGGCGGCCTCCTCCCCATCGGCTGCGCCGCCGCCTACACGCCCTTCTCGCTCCGAAGCAGCTCGCCAGCCTCGCGGCCCAGCACGCCCGGCTCAGTCTACTCGTCGTCCTCGACCAACTCCTCCATGGCGTCCCTCGCCCTGCCCACGCCCCGCACGAGCGCCGAGTCCCTCGCAGAGCCCAAGGGCTACTCAGCGACAGCGCGCGGGCGCAGGTCGAAGGAGCTCCCGCGCCCGCTCGTCCTCCGCCTCAACGCAGTGCCCATGCCCCCGAACGACCGGCGCGCCGCGCTCCCTCCCACGCCGACAACCGCGCGCTCGTCCTCCGCGCCTCCGGCGACGCCTACGACGCCCATGCCGCCGAGCTCCTCGGAGCTGCGCAGGAAGCGGATGGCGAAGCTCGCGCGTACCCTGGGGGAGAACGTCCCCGTCGACCTCGTCTTCCCCGAGACCCCCGCGCCACCACCCGCACCCGAGCCCGTCACCGCCGTCGACCGCGCCCTGCCGCCCCTGCCGCTGCCAGCGACGACCGCCTTTGAGCGTGCACGGAGACGGCGGAGCATGTCTGTGGACCTGTCGCAGGCGGCTGCAGCGGTGCTCGCGCCGCGCAGCTCGCGGATCTGGGTGACCGGCGGGAGCCTCTGGACGGGCGAGTGGAACCGGAAGGACATCCGCGAGGTGCAGCAGCAGCTCCGGCGGCTGCGGTGATCCACTGACTGCACGCCGCGACAGAGGACGCGGCAAGTGTCATTATTACGGAGCTCCCGGGGTGCTGGACATCTGCGGTGGGTTGGCTGTTGTACGTCTGTCTATCTGCGCGTTTTGGATTGGAAGGTGTATTGTATAACCATGACCATGTGTTCCCTCTGACATGACTGCCTCGACTCGAGTACCCCTTGCGAAACCCATTCATACCTTACTATCTATGCCCCGGCATGTACGACGTTCAATGATTATACTCTAGATTAGGTGTACATAATTGCATAGATTACAGCCGCTAGCGACGCCGAGCCTTGTGGTGGCTATCACCGAAGTCTGTCGATGGCCTGCAGACGAAATGCTCCTCTGAGACATGTTGTACACATATGCTGCGGAGCGGCCATGTTGACTGTCGATGCACCAGAGATGTGTGAGGTGCATGCACGACGAGCGAGCGGGCCACCGCGGGGTTGCTTAGACCTTTGCAGTACTGCGTGAAGGGCGAGCCTGGCCGCATCGAGCCCGTGTGCACGCTCCGTGAAGGATGTCCGCGTGAGGGCGCGTCGCGGGGATGCGCAGGGTGCTGTGTCGTGTCGCATCAAGAACGTAAGTCAGGTATGCACAGAGCTAGACCACTTACGTCTGAAGGGCCGAATATCTACACCTCCTCGAGAAAGCCTTGCACAATGAGATGTTCGACGTCAGCGCGCCGCACCAAGAAGCGGTGGCCCCTTCGGAAATCAATCGCGCCCTGCTCGGTATGGACGACCCCGCAGTCGCGGACGACGCGGACGAGGACGTGCAGGTCCTTGGGCGGTTTGACGACGGGGGCCATGAGGTCGACGTCCTCGGTGAGCGCGCCGGCGTCGTCCTGGCTCATCGAGGCTGCCGACGAGAACGCCTCCGTGCGGAGGGTGAGGATGGAGGTGTTGTAGGAGCGGAGGAAGTCGACTTCGTGGGGGGACAGCTTGGAGCGGACGTCCGCCGGGGCGGCAGCGGCGTTTCCCTGGCCGTCCGCGTTCGCGTGGGCGGGCGCGGCGGAGGGCATGGACAGCAAGAGGGGGAGGGCGCCGCCGACGGACCAGTAGAGGTCCTTGAGGCGGTCGATGCGGTGGGCGTGGTAGGCGAGGAGGCAGCGCTTGTTGCGGTTGATGGCGGTCTGGTAGAGGAGGATGGTGGGGAGGAGGGGGTTGGGGGCGACCTCGTCGGGGTGGGCGGCGAGGGCTGCCTGGAGGAGGGCCTCGAGCTGGCGCTGCTCGCGGACGATGGAGCGGACGAGGACGTCGTTGTACTTGAGGAGCGTGTCTGTGGCCGTGGACCGGCGGGACTCGACGAGCAGCTGGGTCGCGAGGTCGCCGTACTGGTGTGTTGCGGCCGCCATGGGTGTGCAGGGGACTCCGAGGGAGAGCCACGACGCGACGCGGGCGGGCGACGCGTGCGTGACGTGTGACTGCACGCGTGTGTCACAGCTGGGTGAGGGCGGGTGGGCGTCTACGGGCATGCAGGACGCGTCGACGATGAGTGCGGTAAGCGAATCGCAGGACATCGAACAGGCCACCGCCGCCATCGAACAGGCCACCGCCGCCATCCAGTGCGCACCGTCCCCGCCCTCCCCGCGCCCCGCTCACCTCTCCCACAGACAGCCAGACAACAAGACCAGGCGATACGATCGCCAGCTCCGGTGAGCCTACCCACCGCACCCGCCGTGCTCGCTCACCCATCCCGCAGACTCTGGGCCGCATCCGGCCAGAATGCCCTCGAGGCATCCCGCATCCTCGTCCTCTCCTCCTCCGCAACCGCAACCGCCGTCCTCAAGAACCTCGTCCTCCCCGGCATCGGCCACTTCACCATCCTAGACTCCGCCGTCACCTCTCCCGCCGATGCGGGCAACAACTTCTTCCTCGCAGGCCCCTCCAGCATCGGCAAGCCCCGCGCACACGAGGCCGTCCCGCTCCTGCGCGAGCTCAACGACAGCGTCGAGGGCGAGGCCGTCGTCAAAGACGTCCGGGAACTCCTCAAGACCGACGAGGGCAGGGCGTTTGTCAGCGGGTTCTCGTTAGTCATCGCACACAACCTCCGCAAGGACACCCTCGACGAGCTCTCCAAGCTCCTCTGGGCCGATCACAGCAATCCGCCACTGATCGCCGTCCGCTCTGCTGGCTTCCTCGCCGAGTTCTTCATCCAGTACCACGAGCGATGCGGTGAGCGTCTCCCTCCGTGTCTCGGAACTTCCCCACCTCGTGTCCGCGGCCCACACGAGGCGACATATGAGATTGTGTGCACGCCAATCATCGCCACTCTGTCTAGGTATCTGCGAGTGCGCCATCTCTGCGTGAGCTGCTATGCGACGCTGAGTCCGATCGCGAGGAGCATAAGCGAGAGGAGAAGCGTTCGCCTCGAGCAACTCTTCTCCCCCCGCTTGGTGCCCGCGGTAGGATGGTTGAATGCGGCTTCTCATACACCATGTGTTGCACTTGAGTGATGGAAATCCACCAGCTGCAGCGGCATCTGCATCCCTGCCCAACACTGTACTCTGCTACATGAGTCGGTCAAGTACAGATGTAACTCGCAGCACAGAACAACTCAGCCGGTCCCACTTGCACTAACGCTATGGGCAATGCCGATCCTATCCGAACTACCTAGCCCAACCTCATAGGTTATGCATCCACAGTCGCTGACGCCATCCCGTAGTCGCACAACCACACACCGACGATAACGTCCCCTCCCTCCGCATCATCCGCCCCTTCCCTGCGCTCTCAAAATGGGCCAGCGAGCTCGACTTTGACAAGCTGGACCCCACCGAGCACGGGCACGTCCCCTTCGTCATCATCCTCGTGCGCGCCGTCGAGGACTGGAAGAAAACGGTGCGTCCCTCACATCGTCGCTATCCAGCTGCACCCCCGCGGCCAGCTCACTGATGCTGTGGATAAACGACAGCACGACGGCAAGCTACCCTCGACGACGCCCGAGCGCAAGGCGTTCAAGGAGCAGATCGCAGCGATGCGCAAGAAGATCGACGAAGAGAACTTTGACGAGGCCGAGGCGCAAGTCTGGCGCATCTGGCGCGATCCCCCCGTCAGCCTCCCTCTCCCTCCGTCCCCCACACCCATTCACTCACTCATCCTACACCCACAGGTCCCCGGCGCGATCCAGTCGCTCTTCAGCCTCGCCCCGCCCTCCGACTCGCCCAACGCGGTCTTCCACGCGCTCCTGCAGACCCTCAACGCATTCGTCGCCGCGCCCGACGGCCCGGGGTGCCTCCCCCTCAGCGGCGCGCTGCCCGACATGCGCACGGACACGGAGAGCTACGTCCGGCTCCAGACGGTGTACAAGGACTGGGCGGCGGTCGAGAAGGTGCGTCTCTCTCGCTTCGAGTGGGATGGGTCGGATGGGACGGATGGTGGGCTGATGCGCGGTGGGTAGGCGAAGTTCAAGGAGCTGCTGCAGAAGGGCTTCCCCGACCTCGCGCCGACGATCAGCGACGAGGAGATCGACACGTTCGTCAAGAACGCGCACCACGTCCGTGTGCTGCGCGGCCGGCGCTGGAGCGAGTGGGACGCGGACAAGGAGGCACTCGGTGAGTCGCGCTCGCTGCGTGGAGGGTTGTACTGATCTGTCGTGTCTGTAGCCTCGTCGTTGACGATCTCCCCGCGCGAGACGGCGGCGCACCTCGGTCTGGCAGCGTTGTCGGCACTGCTGAACAAAGCACCGGGTAAGCGTTGTCGTACTGGCACCTCTGACCACGCCTCACGAGGATGTGTCGCAGATGGGTCAACCGTGACAGTCGACGGGCTGCGTGCGGAGGTCCAGCAGCTCGTCGGGCAAGACATCGAGCTCCCAGAGGACGTCGACACTGCCATCGGAGAGATGTACGTGCCTACCCTCCACCTTCGCCCCTTGTCGTGTTGTGGATACTGATGCGTGCATTGCAGCGCCCGCGCGCCGACCGCGGACCTGCCCAACACGGCCGCCTTCCTCGGGGGCATGGTCGCGCAGGAGGCGATCAAGATGATCACGAAGCAGTACGTGCCCGTGAACGGCTACTGTGTCATCGACATGGTCGACATGTGGACGGGGACGGTCGGCGGACAGTGAACCGTGGTAGTGGGAGATGGTACGGATGAATGAACGCAGTTGCTTACGGATAGATCGTCGTGCTATCGTTGCTGCTTGTACTAACAATCGCTGCAAGTCAATTCATGCGCTGTGATGCTGCTATCCGGGAGTGAATGTCAGCCCTTTACGGCGAGATGCCCGACCGCCTCCGCTGGCCTCACTGTAGGCGAGTGCAATGCCCCAGAGAGCAGACGTCAGATGGACAACGCATGCGCGTGAATGGTGATGCATTGCGTACTAAATACGACGGATCTATACTGAGTGGTGTGTGCGCACTATGTTCGGACTGACTACTATCATGACCCCCTCTGCGCCTTCCATCGCATTCCCTCCGAACCTCTCCAATCACGCAACCTTCACGACGACCTTGCCCTCACATGCACAGGGACAGGGACAGGCTGCGCCCTCGCCGCGCCCGGTGCGCCCGGCGCCTGCTCGCCGCCGCCGGGCGCGAGCCCGAGCTTCGCGAGGGCGGCGCGGAGCGCGTCGAAGACGGCCTGCGTCGGCGCGGGCTCGATCGAGTCGATGTGGTGCAGGTAGATGAGGCCCGTGCGCGGGGAGAAGGTGTAGGTCGAGTTCCTGCGGCCCTGGTCAGCTGTGGGTGTCGAGGGAGGGGGGAGAAGGGGGAGGGGGAGGGGTACGCACACGTCCCAGCCGCCGCGCTGGCCGCTCACGCGCGCGATGCCGGATACGCTGAGCCCGAGGAAGAGGCTTTTCTCGCGCGAGGAGCGCTGTTTGTGCGGCGCGCGCGGGGGCCCATCCTGGTCTGGGCTCCCTGCGGGCCGTCGAGATGAGCGGACGGTCGCGCGGAGAGACGGGCGTGTGCACTGACCTGGCGACGACCGCGGGCCCAGGACGCGCACGCGCGTCGTCCTGACCGTCAAGTCCGTATACAGCGCGTTCAGCGTGTGCCGCACAAACGCGGACGACGCGAGGTACAGCGCCGAGCCTGGCGCACCAACCCCGTCCGTCTGCATCAGCCCTCACAAGCACATACGGACGGAGGGAAGACGGACGCAGCGCACCTTCGATCGTCAGCGTGCGCGGGAGCGGCGGCGGGAGCGGGTGCGGCGGGGTGTACGCGAGGCGGATGTGCCTGCTGTATATGCTCTCGCCCTCGCCGTCCGGCCGCGCGGCGCGCCCCTCGCAGTGCGGGTCCGCGTCCGGCGTCCGTGCGCGCGCGGGCGGCGCCTCGAGCGAGGTGACGAGCCCGGTGTGGAAGAAGTCCGGGAGGGTCTGCTGGAGGATGTAGACCGCGCGGCCTGGGGGGCGCGTTCAGAGCGAGGGCGGGCGCGGAGGGCGGGGAGGCGAACGACGCGCTGGACGTAGAATCAGGTCCTCTCATACGTGCAACCCTCAGACCCGCCCCGAGTTGGGGGCGGACGGGCGGGCGGAGGGGGAGGCAGGCGTACCTGTGCGTATCTCCCACTCCTGGTCCGAGATCTCGCCGTCGCCGTTGTGCTCTGGCTCGTAGTCGTCCTCGGGCGCCTGGTTGGGAGACGACGAGCTGAACGCGACGGGCGGCACGGTATGCGGGGTGCTCCGGAGGTGCAGCGGGTCTGCATTTCTTCTCGCGAGGCTGGCGTGCAGCGACGGCTTTTGTGCGCTGCCCGTCTGTGCGAGCGCAGGGGTCAGCAGCAGCGACAACTCCGAGAAGGCGTGTCCCTCGTGTGCGAGGGCGGGGGCGGAGAGAGGACGCATCTGGCACGCCGTCCGCCTGCGCGCGCCAGCGGCAGACCTGCGGTGGACGTGGGCGATGCTGCGTTGCAGGGAGGTCATGGTTGAGAGCAAGAGGCAGGAGACATGCGCGCGGGGCCGTGGTGGACGCGTCGGACGCGTGCCGGCGACGCGTCTCGCCTCGGACACGGATAGCTCGCTCGCACACACACGCGGGGACAACAAACAACGCAGATTTATTAAACACGGAACGGACGAGTTGAAATCAATTCAAATCGATAAGAACCCGCACGGCGCGCAGACTAGCATACGTATCGTGCCGGGTATAGAGCAGTAGCTACGGTCAGCGCGGTATCCTAGCGCTTGCGACAGGATGCGACAGACAGTATGCGGGAAGGGAGTGAGCGTGGGGAAGGGAGGTATGATGCGACGATGGCGGGGCAGTGTCAGACGGGCGGACCCAGGGACGTGCGACGAGACGAAACGAGGCCAGCAGGTTCCTCCGGGCGGGGACGTGCCTAGAGCTCGTCGCAGAAGGGAATGTCGTCGTCGTCGTCGCCGTCGTCCCCGGTCGAGAGGGCACCGGTGCCGCTGGCGGTCGGCGACGCGGCGGCGGAGGACGCGGACGCGGTGCCATCCGGGGCGACACAAAGGACCTGCGAGGCGTCAGCGATCAGATTGCGGGCTCAGCACGCGCGATGGCCGGCGGAGGACACGCACCTCGCCGGTGTAGAGGTTCTGGCAGTCGGCGTTGACCTGGGGGTTGCCCTGCAGGAGGAGGGTGGTGTTCATGCTGTAGGTCGCGGCGACGCCTTCGCAGGTCTCGTCGGCGGAGACGACGTGGGTGGTGGTGCAGTCGGAGCCGACGTAGCCGAGGCAGAGGGTCTCGCCGGGGGTGAGGTCGTCGCAGCGGGGGTCGATGCCAGGGTTGACATCGGCGAGCTGGTAGCTGGGTGTGCGACAGGGTGAGCGGGGCGGCTAGAAAAAGGCGGAAGACGCACGTGGAGACGTTCTGGGCAGCGGAGATGCTGTCGCAGATGTCGCCTGCGACGACGGTGTAGTTGCGCGCGCACGTCTGGGCGGAGACGGCTGGAAAAAAGGTCAGCGGGGGCGGGGGCGGGGAGGCAGTGCAGCGCACCGTTGGCAGCGAGGAGGGCGAGGGCGAGGACGACGGGGCGCGAGAACATGGCTGCTGGAGGCGGGGGAGGCTAAGGAGGGGCGTGCAGCTGGTCGCTGGTCGTGAACGGAGACGGTGGTGGGCGAGGAAGACAACCAGCAACACAGCGATTCTTCAGGCGGCACGGTCGGCCGTTGCCGCGCCGTGGCACACGCCCACACGGCCCCGGCGTCCGTCCGCGGCCCCGCCACCGCCGCCCATGCGTGTCTGTGTCCCCCGCCGCGCCTTCTCCGCCGCCGCCCCCGCCGGCCACGACAACCCGCTGGTGAGCGTCCCCGCCGCCCCGCCCGCCCCGCTCACCGTCCGCCCGCCCGCTGACCGTCCCCAGGGCCTCCCCGCCCGCAATGCCCCGCCCCCGCTGCCCCGCAGAGGCCTCCCACCCAAGCGGCCCATCCCCCACGCCGCCGCCGTCCTCGCCGTCGCCAGCGGCAAGGGCGGCGTCGGCAAGAGCACCGTCGCCGGTCCGCCCGTCCCCTGCCTGCCCGCACACTCGCTGACGCCCCCCAGTGAACCTCGCCGTCGCCCTCGCCATGCACCGCACCCCCGCCGGCACCCGCCCCCGCGTCGGCATCCTCGACCTCGACATCTTCGGGCCCTCCGTCCCCAAGCTCATGGGCCTCGACCGCGCAGACGAGCCCCGCCTCACCCCCGGTCCGTCTTCCTCCTGCCCCCCGCGCACCCACTGACCCCCTCCAGGCGGCGCCCTCGTCCCGCTCATCAACCACGGCCTCCCGTGCATGTCCATGGGCTTCCTCCTCCCCCGCCCGCCCGGCGCACAATCCAGCGACGACTCCCCCGTCGTCTGGCGCGGCCTCATGGTCCAAAAGGCCGTCCAGCAGCTCCTCTTCGACGTCGACTGGCGCGACGGCCCCGACCACCGCGGCCCCGGCCTCGACCTCCTCGTCCTCGACATGCCCCCCGGCACCGGCGACGTCCCCCTCACCCTCGGCCAGCTCGTCACCGTCGACGGTAAGCCGCCCCCCCCCGTTCCGCGCCCGTCCCTGACCGCCCCCAGGCGCACTCATCGTCTCCACACCGCAAGACGTCGCCCTCTCCGACGTCCGCAAGGGCGCCGCCATGTTCCGCAAACTCTCCGTCCCCGTACGTCCCGCCCCGCCCCCGCTCCCCCCGCTCACCGCGCCCCACAGATCCTCGGCCTCCTCCTCAACCAGGCCTTCTACACCTGCCCCTCCTGCGCGGCCCCCCACCACCTCTACGGCCCGCCCGACCCCTTCCGCGCCACCGCAGCCCGCCTCGGCGCCCCCGTCCTCGGCGAGCTCCCCGTCGCCCCCGGCGTCAGCACCGGCGGCGACGCAGGCGTGCCCTACGTCCTCCTCCCCGAGCAGCACCGCGCGCGCGACCCCGCGGGCTGGGACCGCACCATGAGCGCCGTCGCCGAGCGCGTCTGGGCGGCGCTCTCGAGGGATGGAGCTCAGAGCTGAGGCCCGTCGCGGCACGTATGGGACCAGGGCCGACGTTCATCGTCCCACAAAAGCTCGCCCCGTAGATCTACCGACGCCCGAGTATATGTACACAATGACAACCGCACTGTCCGGCAGACGCCTACTTACACCTGCGTGCGCCAGTGAGCTTCACCCGCGTACTTGCCCTTCTGGCACCGCAGGGCCGCGCAGCGTCAGGTCCGCCAGCGCCGTGCGGCACACGTACCCTCACTCGAAGCCGCCACGTCGCCTGCGCCGCCGTCCACACAGGCCCCCGCTATCCACCGCCGTCGACGTCCGCGGGCACGCAACCGGCTACGCTGTGGGCACACCAGCGATGCGCCCCGCCGTGCTCTCGTCCGCCCCCAGACAGACCCAACGTACGTACTCCCGTATCGTTGTCCTCCGCCGTGCCGTCCATCACACAGGCCCCGCGGTTAGGAATGTCGGCGATGACATCGCGGCTGAGACGTCGAGCGTCAGAGGCTGATCATGAGGTGGACGCTGTGGAGGGCCGCCGTCGCCGTCGCCGTCCAGGGACTCTGGGCGGTCACGACGGGAGACGGACGGTGAGCGCACTACGTCTTCCAGTCCTGCCAAGTGATGTCGCCAGGTATGTCGAGAGCGGCGGGCGCGAAGGGGTGGAAGCCCCGGACGCGCATCTCCGGGAGGATGTTGACAGACACGCGAAGGGCGCGTGCCGGTCTCGTATGTCGCGCCCGAGAGCTGCACCGTGGGACGGCCGGAGATGTGCGAGTAGGTGACGAGCATGCACTTTCGAATCTACTGCCAGTGTTCGCGCAGACAAGCTTAAAACTCACATCGGGGGTGTAGCGGTCGTGCTGATCGAAACAAAACTACGATGATCAGGGCACATTAGCAGGCCGTTGCGTGGTTCGTGTTCGAGATGTTGTTTGGCCTGCGGCGCGACGCCTCTTGGGATCCCATCATCAGCTCCAGAAATGTTTAGCATGTAAGAATGACTGGCAACACCGTGTTCCGAATGCCAGCGCTGAGGGACGCTCTCGAATCCACGGCCCAGAAAGGTGTCGCGGCGATCTACGCTTGTGTCGAATGCGGTGGTCGTCGACAAGTCTGATAGGAGCGTTTATCTCCCAGGGGCAATGTGTTCGTCAGAAGTGGAATCTACGTGAGAGACGGCATGATGGTTGCATGTCAGGCCTAAGCTAGGCTATGTCCCGAAGTGGGGACAACCTGGGGACAACGAACACGTTCATTACATGATCGAAATGGGCAGAGCTGAAAGGTTGACGCACAACGCATCTACTGAGCAATGCCTGGGTGGCAAGGGTTGCATATTTGCGACTCAAGTGCATGAGCGCGTGGCTATTACCTGGTCTGTTACTATTGAATACGAGCAATTCATAGGTTCGATATACGGCTCTGTCGGGCAGCAAATCCGGTGCTGGAGCATCCTACCTCGTGCAACTCTTCTTGTACATTGTAGCTTGTTGGTGATTGTTTGATGCACAGAGTCAAGATACCCATGATAGATGTGCCGCGCGACGCAGCAATGCTAGAGCCGGGGGCCCGCAATGTAGCCGCTGGACAGCGCCAGGAAATGTGTCGAATAGAACCTTTCAGGCGGGATACTAGCAGAATATCTCAGCTTGATTCCCCATATCCCGCATGGATAAACAGCTTGGGGCGCGGTGCTGACAGAGTATTCAGTTCAAGCGATCGGACACCTCAGGACATTCAATGTGATGTATAGTAGAGGGATAGATCAATACACCTAGACCTTCGTCATACGCGCACAAGGACACCCATGTATACAATCTGTGTCACAGCAACAAGAAACAAGAAAGTGACGCGGCGGGAGCGCTGCGAAGGATTGACAGGCGTGACCGTCGCAGACGCATCCGGGAGAACCATCGAACGGAGAGATCGCAACTATGACAGGGCATAGCGAGGTTCATGTTCAGCGATGACCATGAATATTACCAGACGGACTCACCAGGAAGAACGCGGTTGCGAAGAAAGAGTACGCGAATATCACAATGTACAAGGAACGGCCAAAGCCCAGCAATCCGGCAATCAGAGTGATGATTACGCTGTCAGGACATCGCAGCGTGTCAGTTACGCCCGCGCAATCCGGCAAGGGTCCATGGAAGAGATGGCCTGTGAATCGCACTCACCCGACGAACTTGTAGCCGTCGTAAGCTAGCAAATCTAATATCTGGCCAATGCTTCCCTGCGATGACATGAAGTGTCAGCGAGCAAGGAGGCTAGCATGCGGACAGACATACGGGAATGTTAAGGAAGTAGCAGCCGAGCTTGACGAAGACAAAGTCCATCAATACGACCGCGAGAGCCTTCGACGCGGTGATACCGAGGATCTCCGGATGGAACCTGGAATGCAGGCCAGAGTGGAGGGCCGCAAGAAGCACATATGTCACGATTGCCATCACTGCCTACGGCTCAGTAATGATGTCCGGCAGGGCGTCGAGTCGCACACGTACGAGGGATGTAGAGGTCAGGCGCGTTGAGGTCGTCTCGCGGTGCTTGCCATTCGGCTTGGCCATTTTCCGAGCGGCGAACACGGCGAGACCAAGGTTTGTGTCTCCATGGGAAGAGCAAGAGCCGGAGCTTATTCATGACATAGGAATTGGAGACGTTGAAATGGTGTTTGAGCACGGTAATCGGGATGAGGCCACCCAGCTGCGGCTGATGGTGAGCGACGGCAGGACGCAAGCCAGACGAGACGCACGTTTTTCTGCACGTACTCTTGGCCCGCCGCAACTGCACTACGGCCCATCTGCATGCCAAATTGAGCGGTGGTGTCGTTGAGACCCCATGCGGAAAAGTCGACGGGCGCATTGGGGATGTGAACCCCGCCCTGAGCAGCGGCCGGTTGCCGCGGGGGTGAGCCGACGGGATTGTAAACACCTTGCTGGGTTGCATAGGCTTGTGGGGCGCGACTGCCTTGTCCCTGCGGTGGGATGGACTGGGTGAACGATGGCTGGGTGGGCGGCGAGCTGGTGTAGCGCTGGTAGCCTTGGGGCGAGATGGGTGTGGACGGCGGTTCGGGGATGTAGGCAGGGTGGGTGGGGACGGGGTGCTGCAGCGGCGGCGGACTTGTGTTGTTGTTGGGGAAGTAGGACATGGTGAGCACGCGGGGAGCGGCAGCAGCGAGGACGGCGGCGACGGCGAGGACAGCGGCGACGGCGAGGACAGCGGCGACGGCGAGGACAGCGGCGACGGCGAGGACAGCGGCGACGGCGAGGACAGCAGCAGTTGGCGCGCAGCGAACGCGCTACGTGTTGTGCACGTGACGTGTGCCAGCGTATAAACTGGGTCGCGTCGCGTGTGTGTGCGTCGACCCGCGCGTCGTGTCGCCTGGCAGCCATGGCCCGTCCCGTCGCATCGTCCAGCATGCACATGTCCTCCTACTCCGTCACAAAGACAGACACCCCCGCCATCAAGAACGCGCCCCTCATCGGCCTCGCAGAGAGCAATGGCTCCTTCAGCAACATCCACCTCGCCGCCCTCGTCCTCGGCGTGCCCTGGATCGTCAAGCGGCTGCTACCCGTCGTGAGCCGCGGTGGTTTCAAGACGTATCTGTTTCTCGTTCTGTTGCTTGGTGTCCCCGTCACCATCGCATACTGGACCCTCATGAGCATGTACGGCCCGAGGAAGAATACGAAAATCGAACTCCCTGGCAGGAGCATCGAGGAGTATATCACGATCAAGGACGAGGAGCTCAAGGCGAAGTACCACGGCAAGGAGAGAATCCCCATGCAGGTCTTCCACGACGCGTTCTTCGACGACAAGATTGATTTAAACGGTCAGTGTATCCCCTGACGTGTTCTTCGCGCCCTTCTGACGCGTCATTCTGTGGTAGGCGACGTTCTCGAGATCATGGAGCAACGACATGACTGGGCCAAGATGGTCTTTACTCCCGAGCTCTTCAAACACGTCTTCCTCAAATTTATTCCTGATGTACTGTACCACGAGCGCAGTCAGGACGAGGAGCAAGTGCGTGGGCATTACGACCGTGAGCTAGGACTTGTTGTCTTTGCGCCCGTGTTTGATGGTGTCCCTGTGCCATCCAGGTGGCGACGACTTTTACGAATGGTTCCTTGGACCACGCATGGTTTACACTTCCGGCATCATCGGCAGTCTCGAAGAGGAGGAGACGCTTGAGAAGCTGCAGGACAACAAATTGACCGTCGTATGCGAGAAGGTGCGCCGGGTCGCATACCGTCAATGTCCCCATTCCTCACTGACACTCGCCGTAGCTCGAACTCAAGCCGGAGGATCGTCTCCTCGACGTTGGCTGCGGCTGGGGTACTCTCTGCGCATTCGCTGCGAAGAACTACGACTGCGCCTCTGTCACTGGTATCACTCTTGGTCGCAATCAGACCAAGTTTGGCAACGAGCGCATTCAGAAGAACGTAAGTGTCGTTGCAGCGGATATTTGTGAATCGCTCTGACTTCGTATCTAGGGCGGAGACTCCACGCGTCACAAGGTCTTGTGCCTCGACTACCGCGACATCCCTGGTGGCAAAGCTGCGTACTCGAAGATCGTTAGTCTTGAGATGGCTGAGGTGAGTATGGTTCCAGTTCCCGTCAAACAATACCGCTCACGATGTATGTAGCACGTCGGCATCCGGCGTTACCAGGCGTTCCTCCGGCAGATGTACGACCTGCTCGAGGACGATGGTGTCTTCCTCCTCCAGGTCGCAGGCTTCCGCCCCCACTGGCAATACGAAGACCTCATCTGGTGGGCGCATATCATTGCGAGTCTGTTTTCTCTTTTCTTATTTCGGCACGCAGGGGCTTGTTCATGAACAAGTACATTTTCCCTGGCGCCGACGCATCCTGCTCGCTTGGGTGGGTTGTCAACCAGGTCGAGAAGGCTGGCTTCGAGGTGAAGAACATCGATGTGATCGGCGTGCACTACAGCGCGACGATCTGGCGGTGGTACAAAAACTGGGTCTCGAACAAGGACAAGGTCGTCGAGAACTACGGCGAGCGGTACGTGACGCGAATGTTGTTCCTAGCACTGCAGGCACTAATCGCAGAGAAATAGCTGGTACAGGATCTGGGTCTTCTTCCTGGCATACTCGACTATCATCAGCCGGTGAGTACGCCCGCTATGCGTGGATCGGGCGTTGACTGACGGAGACTGTAGTAACGGTGGCGCGGCCGTCTTCCAGCTGACATTGCACAAGAACCTCAACGCGTACCCGCGCATCCTCGGCCTCCCTAGTCACAACTCAATTCACGTCGCGCCCAAGCGCGAAATCTTGTACGTCGTCGAATACCTGTTGCCCCTTACCGATCGTTGACCGTGCGTTAGGTCGGTTGAGTAAAGGGGCTGCTTCCGTGTTGGTGGGCCCAGGCGGGTTTCTCGGGTATTGTGGTATCTACTGCGGGTAGAAAATTATATTATCGATACAGCGTCGAGCGTTCCTCGATGCAGATGTGTAATACATGCGAATGCGTTACTTGCGATGATTCTTTTATATCGTGTGGTAAGTACAGTGAAAGGGTTTTCCGCCGGAATGACTGCTTGATTCTCACTTGTACTTAGCGTCCAACCAATGACCGTACTACCTTCCGTCGGCCATGTTCAGCATCAACTTCTCACACTGCAAGAGATCGATGACGCACTCAGTGTGTACAGCACCCTAGTCCCGCCAGCGGAGAATGCGGCCAACAAGGCGCGCAATGACGCCCATCTCATGTACGCCCGCGTTCTACAAGACGGTGAAGCGCGTATGTTAGTACTTCAGCAGACGCCCCATCCTCAGCCAAGACATCCAGTTCCTCCATGTCACGAAAAATCACGTCGAGGTACTTGGCCGCGCCAGACATATGTGCGATGCGACAGCAAGCGGCGTGGATGCTGAGACACCTGGGATTCGGCAGCGGGAGGTCACAATTGCCATGCACGACGAATTGTACGTTCTCCTGAAGACCGTGATCCAAGCTCTTGTGCGCTAGGTATGGTGCTAGAACCACCCGATAATGATTGGCCTATTGTGAACAGTCCGTCACCAAAGGCGGAGATGAACTATAGGAAGTCTCACCTTATCTGGGATTGCTTCAAGCCAGAGCTCCATGTCGTCAAAGGCTCCTTGAATCGTCGGTGCGAGGGTCAAAATGTTATTCAGACGGTGGATACCGGTGCCTTTTTGATCCGCCTTGAGTTCGTTGTAGACGTCTTCGTAGCCAAATCGCTGTAATATTGTCCAAACCGTCCCCACTTGGTGCTCCTGACGATGTATCATCTGATTGGTGAGTGTGCTAAATGGTGAGGGATTGACACGCACCTCGTTGCCGCTTTCGCCAGCCTCAATGCTGCCGAGTGAGTCGGGGAAGATGTGGCTACATCGCGTATCGACAACTGGCTCCTCTGGCCAACGCTGAACGGCGAGTCCCTCTCTAAGGGAATGACGATCGACCATGCGCGTCAACACACAGCGGTGATCATCCCTGACGAGGGCCTGATCAATACTACTAAGACTGTCGGTTACTTTGCATGTATTAGACACGGGCTTACAGCGTCCTTGGCATCCGAGTGGTTCCGCGGACTGGACTTCAGAATGTCCTGCTTCAGCTTATCGAAGGAAGGGCGCGAAAGATGACTCGAAGGGACTGGAGTCTTCCCTCTCGATTTCCTGACTTGTGTGGTGTCAAGTTCCTTCCAGTCACCCGAATGGGGTCGCGACTACAGATGCGAATAAGGTTCCTGACGTACCCCATACCCAGATCGTAGACAGCCTTGAACCGATCGTTGTCGTCCGAGACGGTGTTGCAAAACGCGACTTCAAGCTTGAGTGTGGCTCGCGCTGTGCTGTTCGGCGGATAGAGGAAGAGATAGCCGACGACACGGGCATACACGATATGGTCGGCCTTGTTTGCCGCCTTTTCCGCCGGCAGGATCACAGTGCTGTATAGACTGAGTGCAGTATTATCTTCCTGTACTATGAGTAGTTGATGCTGGACTTGAGCGACGGAAGGTAGTGCAGTCATCGGTTAGCCAGCTTCAGTCAGGCTGCGAAGGTGTTCAACTGCCACGCCTCGGAGTGGGTGCCTGTGGGTGCTAAGTTACAGCGCTCATGAGTCATGTGACGGGCCCGTGAGTACTTAGTCTGCCGTGCGAGCGAATCGACGACCGCCGCAATCAATCCTGTACATTACGTATTTGCCTGTCGTCGAGTTAATATCCTGTCTACCACGCGCCCTGCGATGAACCATGATGACGTCGCTTGACCTTTGCGCATCTCAAGAGCATCCCGACATAACAGTTCGAGATGTGCCGGCAGCTCGCTAGATGCATGCTGCGATAATAATGCCATACTGTACTTTTCGACATCACGAATATGAGCGAGGCTATACCTGCACAACGATCCGCTTGACCAGGCCCCGGCCCATCCGCTCAATCTCGCTCAGCACCGCGCTCTCGTTGAGCACAACCAAGGATTTGTCCTTTTCCTTTTCCTTCGGCTTGTCCGTGTCCTGTACAGATGGCATATTGATCAACACGCTGTGGCTGTTGTTACACAGATGCTCCTACCTTCGCTACGGGCATGCTCGAGTACCCGCCGAGGACGCGGAACGGCCGGGGCACCTTCAACGACGGATCCCACACGCCACCGAACATGTGTCCGCCTAGAGGGTCATGGAACAGCACGAACGTGTGCTCGTACACCCGCTGTAGCCAATCATTAGCACACAGTTGATAACGTAGCGACGATGAAATGAAATACCTTGAGGTCCTCGTGAAACGCCCGCGCGGGGTCGAACCCCGGGAGGAGCTTCGCCTCGCCGTCGTCTCCGCGCGCGTTCGCGTACTTGCCCTTCTTCGCCCAGATGGCAGGGTCAGCTTGCACGCCCTGGGCGTACCGCGGGAGCACGGCGGGATCGAGCTCGACGATGAAGTCGTAGTGTTCTGTCGGGTGCGCGAAGAGCGTCTGCATGAATCCACTCAGCTTCGTGCACACTTGACGGATGTGTGCTACCCACCTTCACCTCGAAATTGCCTCCCTCCATCCCCTTCAACGCTTCCCACGTCGCCTGCGCGAGCGCCTTCACCCTGCGCGCCACGACGGCATCTGGGCCCTCCGCTGTCCACACATGCCCTTCCCTATCCACCTCCGTCGCAATTGCCCACACACCCTGCCGCGCTCCCGCCTTAACGTCCACGCCCACGGGTGGCACGTCCTTCACCGCATCAGAGTCGTCGCCGTATAGCGACACGAACATCCCTGCGCTCCACTCCCAGTCCTTCAGCAGCTCCATAACCCGCGCAAATCCCCGCTCCTTCGACCCTGGCACGCCCGCCCGCGCGTCCCCGCCGCTCTTCGCGCCCCGGAGGAAGACAGCTGCACAAAGGAGCTCCGCCGCTTCCGCGCGGACATGACCTTCTAGCAGCCAGTGCGCCGCGAGCCACCGCTTCACGAGGCGCGCCGTCCCCGCGAACGCGGAGAACCGATGAGACAGCGCAGCGACCGCGCGATGGTGCCTCGGCGCATGTACGAACCTACGTCGGTATACCTCGAGTGCGGCTGTCGCAGCAGCGCGCTCCTTCGGATCGCCCTCCATGTGCATATTCTTCTTGACGTGCTTCGGGATGTGCGGCTTGTCGTCGATCGCGCGTTCCAGCAGGAGCTGCTCGCGGTCGTGCCAGATACGCGCGTGGAACGCCCACCCCGCGGCTGTCACGATCTCGAGGCAGGCTTGGTCCTCGATGTCGGACGCAGCGTGCGGCGAGGAGACGATCACGCTCGCGCGCAGGCCCTTCTGCGAGCCCATGAGCGCAGTCGCGAGGGCCTCGAAGAACGCGAGCTTGATCTTCTGGGTCGCGCGCAGGTCATCTGGCCAGCGACCGGACTTCTCGAACTCGACGATGATCTCCATCGGGGCGACGTACCGTGCGCAAGCGGGCAGAGCGGACGCGACGGAGGTGGGGATGGCTACGGGTGCGAGGGAGCTGGTGTACCGGAGCGAGTCTGAGATCGGGCTGACGGTGGTGATCGCGAGCGGGAGCTGCTCGTCCAGAGCCTTCATCGCCTTGACGAGGCTGTCGAACGCGGACATTGCGGCCTTGAACCCCGTCTCCACCCGACCGTCCCTGAGCACCTTCCCAACGTTCTCAGGCAGCCGGACGATCCCATCAAAGCCATTCTGCCACCCATGGATGCTCTCCTCCGAGAGCCCAAGGTGCAGTCCGAGGATGTACCTCACGATCATCGCGGGTATGTGCGCGCGTTCGTCCGAGCTCCCGACCGTCCACACCACGCTCTCGACGATGCTCCCGTCCTTGAAGCGCCTCAACTCCGCCTTCTCGCCCCAAAAGTCGCGGAACTGCTTCGCCTCCTCCGTCTCTTGCTCTGATGCAGGCGGCCCGTGGTCCACGAGCCGGAATGCGTGCTCCGTATCGAGAACGAGGCCAAGGAGAACTGTTGAGGGATTGGATGGCTGGGCTTGAGAGAGTGGGCGCGACGACGACGAAGGGTGCAGGACAGCAATGGCTCTCGTGCGGTTCGACAGCGCGCGCTTGGCAGTAGATAGGAGGTGGGCAATGAGGGCATTGTAGGCGGACCCGTGTTCGAGGATAGCGTGGGGCGGGAGATTACCAGCTTCTGCGGAGGAGAGGTCGATGCTGGACAAATTGTCAGGTTATGGACAGTGTAACCCACAAGACATACGAACCGTAATACAACGTCAAACCGATTGGCCACGTCCCGCTGTTCCTTCAGGAACACGAGAGGAAACGGGTCCTCCGAGAGCCCTGAGTTGTCGAGGACGTCTAATGTCTGCTGCGCGTCGTAACGAAGCTACGCGACCTATGTGTCAGTGGCTCTCCTGGTGAACGAGTGAGCGTTGCTCACCATTTCGAGCGAAGTCAGCGGAACACCAGCAAGTAGGTTGAGCATAGATGACGAGTCGACTAGGGCAGCCTCATGGGAGGCGTAGTCTTCTGGAGGGAACTACCTCTCAACACAGTCAGCAACAAGATCATACCGAGGTACGAAAAGCATACTCGATGGCCATCCTTGGATTTGATGACGGTACGATTCTTGGCGAAGTCATACCTTGCTACACGAACGCTGTAGTTAGTACCGCAACCGCAACAGAAAAGCATAGCCCTACCGAGGAGGTCCAACGCAGCCTTGAACAGCTGATACGAGCTCAGACCCTTCCCAAGAGGCCTTCTCTTCTCCTTCTTCCCAAACCCGCCAAACTGACCGCCGTTTTCCGCAACCTCCTCGCCCATTACCAGGCATTCTAGCAGCCCCACCCACCACGCCCCCCGACCCTCGAACCCCCTCACGCAGAGCCTGTCGCCCACGCCGTACCCACGCTGGTGAGCCCAGACTCTCAGAAGCGCGAGCGCGTCGCTGAAGGCAGGGACGCTCTCTTTGAGAGCATGGGTTGAGACAAGGTGGGGCTTGGGCGTGAGGTGCTGGATGATGCGCGAGTTGTAGATCGGACTGGGTGTGTCGCTCGCGGAGTCGTCTGAAGACGCGGACGCGCGGACGTTCGGCCGGGAGGGGCCTAATCTTTGCACCGGGATGGGAGAGGAAGACGGGAGGACAGGGAGAATGCGCACTTCGGTATTGAGTGAGGAGAAGTCGGAGGCGGAACCGTCTGCTTTCGGACGAAGCACTAGGGTGGTCAGGCGAGGATCGCCGTTCGTCGACTCGTAGAGTACTTCGATGTTCAGCCCGCTCTTCTTGCCAGAAACTGCCGCGGCGATAACAGCAAGGTAAAAGGCACGTTTCTGGAAGAAACGGCTGTGAAGGTAGTCCTTCTCTTGGAAGAGCGACTAGATGTGTATAGAAATGTCAGCTTAAATAACGACCTCGTTCTTGTGAGACGCACCTCGGGCATAGTAACCGCCAAATCAACGACGTAGCGACGCCCATCCTTGGCCTTCACGCTTGTCTTGAGTGCCCAACTGCCGACTAAGAGAATCTCTGCCGGCTTCTCAAAGGCGACCTTCCAGTTGGTGTCTTCGGTCGGCTGGGGGAGCACATAGGGTACTGCTACGCCCTTCTTCTGCAGATCACGAGAAGCAGCTAGCGGGTGCTTTGGTGGGATAGATGGGAGGCCGTTGAGGAAGGTGTGGAGGGAGAGCAGGAATTTGTCAAGTGGGGCAGAGCGATGATACTTGGCCCGGACATTCGGGAGCAGCGCGTCGATCTAAAGGCGCGGCGTTATTGTATATCGCAGTGCAAATGAGCCGTATGGTACTGACCTGTAACTTGAAGGACGTAGACCTGAACAAGTCAGTTGCATCCTTGATGTCTCTCAACTCCTCGCCCTTCGGCGGTGCCTTGACATGTATGGCGGCATCACTCTCCTGTGTATCGCCTGCCGGTTCAAGTAGCTCGACATGACCCTCGCTGGATGCATCGCTGCCTACGTCCTCGTCGGCGCCGTCTTGCTCGGATTCATGTTCCTCGAAGTCAGCATGCGCGGAAGCCTGGCTCAGTCCAGAGTCTTCGCTATCTGGAGTGGTATGTCGCCGCTGTACATGCGTGAGTATGATTACACGCGCAAGAGCTGAAACAAAGCACCTTTGATTTGGCGTGAGGATTGTCCTGGACGCGTTTTCTCTTGAGGGAAGAAGCCATCCCGAGCCAAAGCAGTCGTTTGCACAGACGCCCATGAATTGAGCAAATCTGCCGTGTGCCCGATCGATCGGTGCGCCACGTGCCCAGTCCGTGGCCGTTCCGTTGCCGCTCCTCTTGCTCAATGTGGACCACACTCACTCCGAGTTACGCGCATACATACACGGCGGTCGCCTCCACAGGGTACGCGATAGAATACACCAAGTTCAGATGATATCCCGCGGTCTCGCACTCGTGAACCGCAACGTCACTCTCGCAGAGGTCCGGGTTGAACGTTACCGCAGGTCCGCAACTATAAGCTGGCGCGGTGTTAAGTCCTCAGGCTCTTCTGCTTCAAAATGGGTCCAGGGACTGCTGGCATGTTGTATTATACATAAGTCTGGTCGACAAAAGGGGAACTGGTTATTAGCTAGCGCTTCTGTCGCAGGCCTTGGGCAAGTACTGCTCTCGACTGGCGATGCGCTGTCAACGTCTTTACTGGAGACAATTCGGATGAACGCATGTTTTGAAGGCGGCCACTCGATTCTTATCCACACAGAATCGGTGATCTACAACTCGTACAACGCGCAGTTGAAATCCACAAGCTGTTGTCAATGACACAACCTACTTACTGCCAAGTCTTCTCAACCTCCAACAACACGTCTATGGTCTCGAGCAGGGTATCCTTTGCTCCCCTGTACTCCCTCATGCCCAACACCTCTTTGGCACGCGTCGTGTCGACCGTCGACAGGGGCCCCGGGAGCGGCGGCGCGTTCTCGCGCGTCGGGAACCTGTTCTTCAGAGCCGGACGTTCCTCCAAAAGCGTCTTCACTGCATCTGCGTACAACATCGTCGCAGGCCCCGCGACGAGGAAGCGCTTCTCCTCGACGTCGCTTCCGGAGGGCAGCTTGGGTAGTCTGAGAGCGAGGACATGCGCACGTGCGACATCCTGTACGTGGCAGTAGAACGGCGGGATCTGCGGGGGGAGCGGCCGGCCGGGCTCGCCGGCGATGAGCTGGTACAAGAGACCGTTCGTACCGAGGGAGTTGATGCCGGAACCCGAGGCGACTCCGGGCACTGGTCGGCCGTAGACGAAGGGTGGGTTGACTGTGGTGGCAGCGGTCAGAAAGCAATATGCGAGGGTACGAAGGCGGAATCGTGAACACACTGGTGGCGAGGTCGAGCTCGGAGTTCGCCCGCGCGAACTCCCATGCGGCGTGCTCGGCGAGGATCTTGGTGCCGCAGTAGACGGCGAGGGCGTTCAGCTCAGGGTTGAATAGCTGCTCCTTGGTGATTTTGCCCCAGTCTGCATGCGGAGGGGTGTGAGCCAGAGCTGTGCACGTCGGCTCGGAGTTGCAGCGTACCTTTCTCAGTGAACGTTACGCCCGTGAATGAGGACGATCCGGCTGGGGGTATTGCATCAAGTCGAGAGACTCGTTGTGCGATGGGAGGTGCACGTACGATCAATGGTTGTGGCCCAGCTGCTGGTGAGGACTACGTTGGAGACGCCTGCCTTGACGGCTTGTCGAAGGATATTGAGCGTGCCCTCGACTGCGCTCTGTGCAAGTAGTTGTGAGTGGCGGCTCAACGGCAAGAGCTGTGATAGAGCACGTTGAGTGTAACTTCCGGAGACTCGCGCCCTGCTAGGGGAGAAGCGACGTGGATGACGGCATCGACGCCTGAGAGCAGCTTGAAATCAGCGCCTTAAGCGATCCCTAGGATGGGCATGGATCGGAACTCACCCTGCAAAGCAGAAGTAAAGTCGCTCGTCGTGATATCGTCAATAGCAGTGCTTTCGAAGTTGGGGTTTGTGAACGCCGAACGCAGTACATCCGTCTTGGCGCCACGGGCGGTGCTGCGAACAAATTGGGGACGTGAGCGATGGATGTAATCTGCTATGGATCCGCAAGCACTTACCCCCGCACGCGATACCCAGCCTCCAGTAACTGGACAACGACATGGGACCCAATGAATCCAGACGCGCCCGTAACCAGGATGAGCTCAGACTTGGACATGGTTATGCAGAAACAGAGTCGCTCGGAGACATGATACATACTTATATGCCATGTCGGCGCACGTCCACGGTCCACCGCAGTCACCGAGAGTCCGGGTTCCAGTTGTTTCCTTATCATTAGGCCCTCCTTCCCATGGGTCCTATCTGGAGTCGCTGTCTTGTCAAAGTATAGTTCAAACTCAAATGAAGGGAAGCGTTCTTGATGAGCTTACCACAGCGGCGTGATCGAATATAATAACGTACTGCCACGAATGTGCCCCAGCGACCACCATCGCTAGCTGCTGAGCTACGAGTCCGCTCTGGGCCAAGTTTGAAAATTTGACGGCTGGTTGTAGTGCAGGCCTGTGTCCATTGACGTCTGTGAGGAGCCCGACACCGTGACTAAACGTTGTCCTTGTTCTCCAAGTTCTAGCGCTCTCATTGTCTGGCTAGGATGCGCGAGTTCAGACACACTGCGTCGACACTTTGACGATGTCAAACCAAAGTCAGCGCCAGCCATTCATAGACATCCCCGGCCGTTCTTTCCCCTAGCTTCATAGATTTCTTGTGATCGCGGTCACAGCGTCTGGGCTAGAGCCTACTGACGACTTGCACTCGGAGCGATTGTAGCGTTGTGCCGGTGCTGCGATTGCTAGGCCAGTGTCACCGAGTTGCAGCTGGTAGAACTTGACAATCTATCACCCGCTTAGTCTCGGAGCGGGAGTCGTCCGACATGATTGACGATGCGCGCAACTGCACGTCTTCGCTTGAGATAGGCTGTTCCTCGGCCCTCTGTGACACCGATGGTGGCGACCGGTCGATCGAGAGTCCAACTATAGTCATGCATACATCCGCTGCAGTCATACGCACCGCACATACCCACTCGCATACCCACTAGTCCTCTATGACGATCACGTCATCTGCAGCAGGCCGCACCGCCCACCGCCTCCTCGCCGGTGGTTCTGCCACCTCTGCACCCCCGCCGTCCTCCTGCGCTCGCTCTCGTTTCCGCTTCGTACCCGCCGGCCGGCCCCGCACCGCTGTACCCTCGTCGTCTGAGTCGTCTATCGTGATCGCCTGCGTCCGTGTGGACCCTGCCGTGCTGCTCACCGAGCCCGCGCGCGATGTAGTAGCGGGCGCAGGGGCGGGGGAACCCACAGCCTTCGCCTTACCTTTGCCCTTCACGGAGGCGGATGTGGATGTGGGCGGGCGGGCGTAGAGTTCGGTCCATTGGCGCGCGGTCTGGTTGTGTTTAGTCCGGTTGCGGACGTACTCTGTGGCTATTGACGGTACGAGCGGGTCCTCTGTGGGGAACACAGTGAGTGGTATGATGTAGTGGAAGATGCAGGAGACTGACTGGGGTTGGGGTCGGTGAGGAGGGACGAGAGAGAGAGAATGACTTTGAAGAGGGAGAGGGCGGGAGACCAGTTGTGCTTGAGGATGTCGATGCAGATGTTGCCCCGCTCGTTGATGTTCATGTGGTATATCCTACATCGAACGCGTCAATATCAACATGTCTGTGAGGGATGGTCGCCGTGCGCAAGACGACGCGACGCGACGCGTTCGATTCACGCGACTCACCGCGTACGGAACGTGACCTTAGGCGCGCTGAACCTGTGGCCGCCGTGGCGGGAGCTCAGCCACATGCGCTGAAGCGGGTGGTGCACACGTACGGATAGTCGTGGGCGAGGCTGATCTCAACGTGGAAGAGACCACCTTCATACACGCTGCCTTCAGGGCCAGGGATCGTCGCTGTCCAGCTGAAGAGATTGTCGTCTGAGGGAGCGAGCGTGATGCTGCCGAGATCTTCCTTCTTGAGGTCAGCAATCTCGCGGTGGATACGCTTGAGCGTTGTCTGAAGACTGGTGAGCAGGTGCGCAGGTGGCGAAGGAGAAGTACTGGATACCTACGGATGAGGAGAGCGGGGGAGGCATGCTGAGAGTCGGAGGTCAAGCCAGGGAGCGCGCCGATGGACATTCGGTCAGCCTGCCATATAAGGGGGGCTTAGCGTAGGAAAATAACCATTTCTGGGTGGGAGTCAAGCCTACGTCTCTCGCTCTCTACCACAACTACCTCGCTCGCCTGCCTGCCTCTTCGACGGCGGGTACTACCATGATCACTCGAATATCTACCTGTGTCCTACACTAAGTATCTATGTTCCGCGAACTCGAATCGGAGAGCCCGCGCGTCCCCAGCCCTTGGGACCCCTTCCTGCCCTCCCCACCCTCGGGCTGCTCAGCGGACAGCCTCAAGCACATCCACGACGGCGTCCCCAAGCTCGTACCAGAGGTCGAAGAGGTATGTGCTATCCCGTGCTCGGAGCTAACTGCACACAGGCTTACCCAGGGTCCCACTCGCAGGGCAATGTCGAGTACAAGCTCAAGCTCACCCACATCTCTCCCGCTCGCTTCGCCCGGCTTGTCACGCAGCTGAAATGGCGGCTCCTCGAGGGCGGCGGCCAGGCCTACTACGAACTGGGCGTCGCCGACAGCGGCGCCCTCATCGGTCTTTCCCGCACCGACCTGGAAGCCTCCCTCGAGACCCTCGATCGCATGGCCGGCGAGATAGGCGCGTCCGTTATCGTGGTCAAAGAAATCGAGGTGCCGCCCGCCATGTACTCCCTTGCAGAGGAAGCCTCCCGCTACATCGACCCTCATACGGGTGAATGGGCGGGCCGCATGCACCCTCGCCGCCGCGGAAATGCTCTCGCTGGGACAGACGACGACACGACTGCGACGGAGACAACTGAGACGGAGACCGAGCTCGACACAACGGACATGGACGATGACGACGGCAGCCCAAGCGCATTCATCTCCGAGCTCGCCACCCCCGCAGACTCCTCGCGCGCGTCGCCCATGCCCCTCCCCGCGAGCTTCGCCCACCGCCTCAGCACGCATCCCAACCGGCCGTCGCCGCAGTCCTCGCCGTACATCGCACCCTTCGACGACGACCTGGCCATGTTTTCCATGGAGCCCGAGCCGCCGCACCTGGATATCGACACGGCCGAGGATACCTCTGCAGCTGCCGTGCTTACCCCGATGTCGTTCGTCGTCGATCTGGAGATCGCCTCTGTGTACAAGCCGCGGCCATTCAGACGCCCGGAGCCTGTGCCCGCACGTTCTGGCTCGATGACGCTGCACGGACGGGCGGGGCGACGCGCCAAGTACAGAGAGAAGGAGGTTGGCAAGGAGAAGAAGGTGCACCCGTGGCAGACGGGTGGTACTGTTCCTGCGTCGCGCAAAGGAAGCAGCGGTGCCGATACGGGGAACGGTGCGAGCGCGAACATCGTGATCCCGAACAATGAAGAGACGAAGGCTGCACTCCGGAGGCAGGCGCGCGAGCGGAGACGCGAGGAGAAGCGGCGGGCACTGCTTGTGGCGAGCGGTCTCGCATCCTCGATTGGTGTGAAGCCGACTCTGCCAGTCGAAGAGGATGATTCGGCCATTTCTCCGTCCGTCTCTCCTGGTGAGCATGATGACTCGACGGCAGAGCGCCAATCAGCAGCGGTGGACACGGTGACGGAAGACCTCGTCTCGGGATTGGTATCTCTCCACGTCGGCATAGACACATGTGCTCCAGCAGCCGGCGACCTGGCTACCTCCGTTCCCGCCGTCAAAGCTGAGAGCCTCGACACGGCGAAGGAAGTAGCCGTCGCGCCCGCTGTCGCCGCGGTTGTCCGCACGGGAGAGCCCCGTCTGATTGTAGAGGCGCTCGTCGTGCGCAAGCAATCGCTCGAGGAGACGTTTATGAACTTTGGCGGGTTCCAGGTAGTGTGAATCTTGGAATTGCGCATGGACAACGTGTTCTCGGGCCGCCGAGCACTGATAGGCATTGATATTGGATATTTATGCTCGCCCGTTGCAGGCTGTATGACTAGTCCGTGGTTCTCTGTACATGTATTTTTGTTCTCCTCTTGGGACTGATGTATACGTTCCTCTCGAGGGCCTTCGGCCATCCATCCAGACATCAGACAACGTCTATGTAGGACTCCGAGCCCTTGAGTCCTTCAAGATCTTCAGAATTCCATAATGGTGAGTCGGCATCATTCTCGCTGGTACTGCCGTTGGCGTGAATGGGACTCTTGGGAACGCGCTGACAAGATGAATACCGTGGACATGTTCAAACTGATGACAAGTCTCGCACTGGCAATCTCATACAACCGCAGAACTGTCCTGACGGTGCACCTTAACGCGACTACAGGTTAGCAGCAAGATTGTTGTCATACGAGTTACGGGCAAGGCCAGAGGACTTGTGCGTGGTCGCTGCCACCGCGAGACCTGCTCGGACGTGCTCGTCAGTGGATGCGACATTGCGAACGCTAGGGCTCTTCGGGAGGACGTTTTTACACTGAATAGAACATCAGTACAACAAGGTATTGGAGGGAGTACGGGAGTACTCGTTGCTCGCATACACGTATGTGCTACTGGTGAGCCCGACTCATCCCACAATCCCTCACTTCGTTCGGGGCTCCTCTATGGCTCACCTGTTGCACACTCGCATTCGTGTGGTACCAACGTGGAGGATTGTGATCACCGATTGATGGACAGACCTGCAAATAAATCACGGTCCCAGCGAGCAATGTGGGTCGACCGTCGGGGAGTATAGCATTGTCGGTCGCAGTGGTGATACTGGCAAGCTGTCGGTGTCCAAAAGAAATTCAACATTCGATTTGCGGCTAAGGAAACAATAGACGGTAATACAATAAGACTACAGCATGGGCTCAAACGATACATCTGTCAGATTACGATGCTTCTGTTTGGTTTCATCAGGCTATGTGCGGGCGAGCGAAGGCCTATAGCACCGTCTTCACCGGCGTAGCTGGTTCGCTGGTGAGCTTCTCAGAATCGACTCGGGATGCCTTCCAGGTGTCGCGCTTCCCCAGGAGGTAGCCGGGGTGGAAGAGGTTGAGGCAGAACATCGCGAGCGTGATCATTCCGCCGTCGAGCCAGTCTGCCGTGCGCCTGATTCAACGAGACGTGATTGGGTAAGTGTTCGAAACGGACTTACTGAGGTAGCGTTGGGTCGAGATGATGTAGCCATCCCATCCCCCAGCGAGTTCCTGACATTGGGTCGTCAGGCAATCGGGATCGGCGCCAGCTGTCGGATAACGTTACTTACGATTGTACGGTAGACGGAACTATGCATGACAGAAGTCGCACGTCAGCACTGACGGTGTGTTGGGATATTGGTGCGTACCGAATGAATATGCAGAGACTGCTGAAGGTCAGGCCGAGGAGCATCAGCTTTGCGTTGCGGTTGAAGTGATGCCGGCCTGAGGCGTGCACGACATCCCTGACGGGCTTGTCGTATAGAAAGCGGAGCGCAAACTCGGAGGCGAGGAGCATGTACACTGTAATCGAAGCTGCGCGGGTAATCCAAATGATTAGTGCTCCGCGGCCGAACATATAAGGTGGAGGTACGAACCCATCTGGAAGGCAATCCCGGCGAGCATGATGTGCCCACCCTTCGATGGCGACATCAGCGGATGAGAGCAATCTCGTTATACGCCAAGACTTACCATAGCAGGGCTCTCGTATTGGTTGACAGCAGTCGCAGCCATGCCTCCGCCGACGGCTTGCACAACCAGCGAAACAATGTCCTGTGTCACGCCCGGTAAATATTTCGGGCGTCGACCGTAGTTGAAGCTCACTTACGCAGCACACGAAGACAGCGGTATCTGGTGGTCACACTCAGCACAGTACGGGTGCACGGTGAGATGCAGGACTTACACCATACAGGGCTTAACCGGCTATAACTTGGACCTAAACGGCGGATGAGCTCGCCCAGGATGACAAAGTTCGCTGCTACTAGAGGCGTCGGAGCGATGATAGTTGTCACGATCCTTGAGAATCAATGAACACGCTCAGATCCGCTCATTGGAAGATAGGGCATCAGGAAAGTGGCACCTTGCCTCAACGGCCTCAAATGGCCTCACCTGTCTAATTTGTACCTAACTTGTCTCATTGCCTCACAGATTTGCGACTTGGCTGGCTGTGATTTTGCGTACTTACTGATCGACTATACAACTTACTGATCGGCGATACAGTGAATGCATTACAATAATATCTATATGATTGACACAGGTCGACACACTATCGCCACTGAGATACGATACCCTCGTTCCGGCCGTTGCTCAAAATAAAATCTGCGTTCAAATGTTCAAACGTTCACCGCCGGCCTTGGCAGTTAACTCATCCCGGGTGTTCTGCACTTGGGCTCACCATGCCCGTGCCCACCACCCGCTTGCTCGCGAGTTGCTGCACCTCCGCCCGCCGTGTCCGCTGTCTCGTAAGTGTGTTGTTTTCCACGTGCTCACCATTGCGCCCGCCCTTGTACTCCACATCCGTTTGCCTTGCGGGTCATGACCGTACACGCGGGGGCGCCACGCTGAGCTGCATCATCGCCGGTACGCGCTGGTGGTGAACGGGTACGGGTCAATCGCGGGGTACGGCGGGTCGCGGCGGGTCGAACGGATGTCGGACAGCAGGTTGAGCTGATCATCCGGGAGTGTGGGCAAGTGGGCGGGCGAGTAGGTGCCCGGGCGGGCGGGAGCATCGGCAAGCAGGTACATGGGCAAGGAGGTGAGCATATGGGAAAGCAAGAAGGTAGGCGGACGGACAGGTTCATGACTGAGCAGGCCGGTCGGAAAGTGGGTATATGGGCGTCGTCATTGGGCGAGCAGGAGAGCGAGGCATACCTTCAAGCATTCTTGGCCTTGAAGCCCTCATCACGCCCTTCGTTCTGCTCCTCCTCAGTATCCAGTCCTCATCTGCATGCCCATCAGGCAGCGCAAGCGGCATCTTGACAAATCATCAGATGTTGGCTTGTGGACGTCGCGGGGCAAACCGGTCGCGTCGTGCGGGGAGGGAGTCGTTATGATGCGCGCGCGCGGCTGGCGGATGCGCGCGATGCGCACATCGTCGGTCGCGCGGGCCATGCACGTCATTGGTTGCAAGAGGGTGCCAGTGACTGACGAGGCGGAGAGCGACGTTGGCCGGCCATAAGTGATGGATTGACGACGTCAACAGCACAGGCAGCGCTGTTGCCCGAAGACCGTTGAGTGTCTGCCCTGAACTACATTACAGCTCCGACCTCGCTCCGACCGCCGGCGCTCCGAGTCAGTGCGCACGCGCGGCCTTGCTTTGCTGGCACTTACCCTCACATCACGCAGTCGCGGGCACCTCGTCTCCCAACATCGACGTGCAAGACAACCCACAAGGACATCGAATGTAAGTTTCGTGTACACAAGCGTGCAGAAAGCTGATGGCTGGTACCAGAGAGGGGAAAGCAATGGGTGAGGGCCCGGGCAAGCGAGCAGCGGGCGCGGGTACAGCCCTCGGGCATCCGCCGCCTCTACGAAGACCGCATCGAAGAACGGCGAGCATGTGCGAAGTGCGCACGCCGCCTTGTTCCCGAGGCGGAGCACAACATCAGACGTGAGTAGGTTGTGCCCTACACGGCCCGCGTCTGGTTAGCGGCAAATAATCGTGGTGAGCTTTGTTTTGTGACTCGTTATCCTGTATATGCATCTGACCGGGTACTTCTCGTGAAGTACAGGGTGTGGGGGGCTCCAACACACAATATGGCCGAGATGCGCATCCCTGTATCCAGATGTCGGAGTGTGGTCTGACAGCTCCCTCGCCACGTAGGCATCCAGTGCTCTCAGACCTTCCTCATCGGTGATGGGTTGTGAGTGAGGTTTGAAAGGTTGGTTCGAGGTGAAGAACATTGACGTGTTCGGTGTGTATTACAACGTGACGATCTGGTGCTGGCACAAGAACTGGCCCGCAAACAAGGACAAGGTTGTCGTGGTCGGTGACTGGTGCGCGGCCCCAATGTTTTTTTACATGTCGGAGACGCTGATCGGCATCGCACAGGTGATACTCGTGACGATTGAGCAGCAGCAGACAGCATGTGGAGATGACAGGACACGGGTGCGCATCGGGCAATCTCATGACGTGGATGCCCTCACGGAGCTTCGCAAATAGGGTCGCTGACCGCATTTCGGAGGGGTACAGCGAAGAATTAGGACTGCTGTTGTGTAGGATATGGATTGGCTAGCTGAAATATATTTGCTATTTTGTTGCACTGTCTTTCGGCTCGCCTGAGTATCTCATGTGTATATGTGCCCTATGAGCCTCGTTGCCTCGTTGCCTCATCGCGTCTCAGATGAGAAATAATCTACTCAAATGAGACATGTATGAGACAGCCCGTCTCAGAGTGTCTAATTGCCTCATTGCCTCGATGAGGCAAAATAGGCAGGTGGTGCACTTTCCTGATGGGGCTAGGACGTACTGCATCAAATATGGATTTTCCGCGTCGACGTTCAGACTGGACCATAGTCTCCCTACCCAGCCCAAGATCTCAAGAGCACCTGCGGTGCATGCGGTGGGTATAAGCCACCACAGACGAGTGTGCAGTGTCTCTACGGAATGAAGGGCTGTCCGGGCGGGATGAGCATTGAACTTAGCGCTCACTGTCTCTCGAAATAATGGCAACGCACCGGTAGACAAAGAGAACAATACCAAGAATAGAATGCATATCCATTCAGTGGGCACATAGCCATACGGATTCTGGTTGAAGTCGTCCGAAGATGCGCGGGCACGTAGTACAGGGGCAGACATGACGAGGTAACCCGGAGGGGGAGGAGAAAGAAAGCTCGAGAGGGACGCCCTTCATGCGCCGACACTCCTCTCCAGAGCCGGTAGACGACGCCTGCGGCCGGTCGGCGAGGGGTCATTGAGAAATTGTCTGTCGGCGGGTGCAAATCGCGCGCGGCGCGGTCTCGACCGGATGTACGGCAGCGGGGCCCCTGCTGCGGGGACGGGTCTTTCTGTCATTGGCCTCATCAACGTACCGTTGTATTCCATATGTTTCTTTCATACATAGCACATACCAATTACTACATCGTGACTCGTCAGTCATTGCAGTGATTGACACGGACGCAGGTATCGCGCGAACCTGGCGGAAATTACTAGACAGTGAGCGGCGCTGCTTTGTTGCAAAAAATCGATGACTCGGACCCGAGGCTGGGCTGAATCGCATGTTGTCAGCACAATGGACACGTATGACGGAAGAGGTATGCGATTGACAGTACGTGTAGCAGGCGCACTGGAGTCTGGCAGTAGTACAGTCACAGCAGGTCCGCTCAGACCGGACGGGTATAAGAGTACGGATTACCTAGGAGCAACATTCAAACGGCACGGGAGTCACGTACCCGGGCGGCAGGCCAAGACTTGTGTTGTGCGTTGTCAATGTAAATACGCACCCGCGATGCGAACAATTTTGATAGACCAAGTGAATTGGCTTGGCTTATGGGTCCATGGGCGAGACACTCTTTCGGTTACATATTGAGTCATAATACCCCAAAACTCGACACCCCCCCACACCTCCGACACCCACTCGTGCACTAGGGGAACAAATACGGCTTGCGCCCCTAGGAGAAGACGACGAGCCGACCGCGGAACGCGGAGTATGCAGGATTTCTTTTCACCTATCACTTATGCTTATTTATTACGATCTATGCGCTCTGGATTGACGAACTGAACCACACACATAGTTGCTACCATAGACTACAGAACGAGAACGACCCATTACTACCTACCTTTCCAGACGTTACTCATACCAGTACAGCCCCGAACTGGACGACGACCTGGGTGGCGCGTTTAAACGCCCACTACTGTACAGGCCGGCGTCCGCCGCGTCTTAGCACATGGTTGCTTGCAGCGGTTAATAAATGCTGAGTTCATCATCATCATATTGAGTCATAATAGACGCTTGCCGGCTATTATGGTATACAACGGATACTAGATCGAGCTCGATCCCCTACGGCTGCGTCGTTCAAGTTTTTCTTCTAGCCGGTGTAGACGGCATAGTCAAGCTAAGACCGGAATAACACCATGTTAGATATCAAGGACGAGGATCTGCACATTCGCATCCAGCAAAGATCCACAGAAAGTTAAAGTGACCTCGCCCGGGCCCTCTGATCCGCCTCGCAATTATCACACTGCAACCCCTCCGAGGCCGTGACCCACATTAGGCGGCTTTACCAGCAGCGTCTCGTTGCTCGCCGGCCTTCCGCGGTTGCCAAGACGGATCTCCTCCACCTGAGGCATCGGCGCATCGGCGGGCTTCGCGTTCCACGTCTCTGCGGGGCCGAGGATAAGCCCAGGGTGAATACAGTTGAGGGTGAACATCGCGAGCGCGACCATGCCGCCATCTAGCCAGTCTGTGGGGGAACGATGAGTGGGATGGAGGTGTTTAGAGGAAAGGGGGAACGTACTGAAGTAGCGCTGCGTGTGGATGATGTGGCCGGTCCAGCCGTCTGAGAGTTCGATCGTACGGTAGATAGATCTGACAGACAGTTAGAGTATGTTGAATACGGAGCGGGGGGAGCCCACCGAATGTAGATGCATATACTGGCGAAGGTGAGCGCCCCGAGCATGATCGCGTGCTTGCGGTCTAGCGCATGCGTCGCGGGAGGTGCCTTGTCTGCCCCGTGCAGTGGTTTGTCCAGCAAGCAGCGGATGACAAACTCGGACGCGAGGACCATGTAGAACGTGATGGCCGCTATGAAAAAAGCAGACTCAACGTCGATCTCGTTGTTTGGTGATAGAGGAACGCACCCAGCTGGAAGCAGATGCCGGCAAGCATGATGTGACCACCCTTGTTTGTACGTTGAACATAAGATCATTGTCGGTCAGGAACAGAAATGGACATACATTTTCAGGGTTCTCGCCGTTCGCGACGGCATTTGAGGCTGCAGCACCGCCGAGAGCTTGAATGACAAGAGAAATCACGTCCTACACTGGCATCAGTAAGTGTAGTATGCGAGATTCGCCTCGCCCCACGTACGCAGCTGCAGAAGATAATAGTATCTATGTCAGGATTGAATCAGATGTCTTTGCGTGGCGGAGATACGGATTGGGCGTACATAACGTCGCGCTCAATCGGCTATAGCGCGAGCCCAGCCGTCGGATCATCTCACCGAGCATAACGAACATCGCAGCGACAAACGGCGTCGGCCCAATGATCGTGCACACAATCCTGTAGCATGGTGAGAACTGATGGAGACACCAAGGAAGGAGATTAGCAGATGCTTACTGCATGAGGTAGGGCGTCATCTGGAGGATGTCAAAGATAGACCATTCACGTCCGGCCCATCCGACTATCTCGAGGATCCCTGCGAGGCAGGCGGTGCATAGCAGGAACCAGAGACGGTACCGGGTAGCCTGGATGGCGTGCAGAACTTGTTGGGCAGCGTGTTCAATGTGTGGTGTATGTGGGAATGAAGATACCGGACGTACGTGTGGAGACTGAGAATAGAACAATGAACAGGATGCATATCCATTCAGTGGGGACGTAGCCGTAGGGATTGCGATTGAGTAGTTTACGAGCTGCGAGAGCATGGTTAGAGCCCCAATGAGACGGTCACCACTGAAAGTTGAGGACGAACACTGCAAAGTCATTGGGAGGCGATGATTAGAGGAAGATGGACGGTACGATTAAAAGAAAGAGCCTCAAACAACGAAGCGCAAGACCGAGCGGAGGCAAACTGTGGGCGAGTGAAGGTGCCATTTGTCGAGAGCATGAGCAGACATATATAGTGCGGCCTTCGGAGGCAGGGGTTTGTGCCTCTGCGTGCCGTCTGCTCAATTAGTCAACAAATCAATGTCCGCGAGTGAGTGATCAAACGTACCTGCACACGGGGGAGATATCTGGTGCAGACATGCGCGGACATCGCGGGGATGAATAAACGCTGTACCATCCCCCGCTCGACTATGGGCGAGGCAATCGTTAGCATGACTGTCACTCGTCAGCCGGCTCGCTGCGGCACAGCGCTGGGCCCGACAGCAACAACGATGTACACTGTATGTGAGGTGTGAGTTGTGCGAGCGCGCGTGGAAATCGTTCAGTCGTGCGGCCCTGCAGTTGCGCCAAGTACCGGACAGGAACAACGCGAGACATGTGTAGCGCGGGCGGGGATCCGCGCTCACTCGGCGAACCGTGACAGAACTGGCACAAACTGCATTGCCGAAGTAAGAACTCTGTATGTACATGGAGTGTGGATATATCACGTACCTGCGTTGCCGAAGTAAGAACTAAAGAAGAGGCAACGCAGGACGCTCGAACTTGAACGACTACCGAAAGCGGAAAGGAGACCAAACAAGACACGCGGCGCCTAAGGGCGCCGCGGAAGCAAAGACATGTGGGTCGTAACACCGTAGCGGTGTTACACTCCTCCCCACCGGGAAGAATAGAGTGTATGGTGAAAGGTGGAACTAATTAGAGAGACCGTTTGTAAGCAGATAGTCATCGAGAGCGGCACAGTCAGCAACCTCGGAGCCTGGTAACCATTGATCAGATTCGGGACCATAGCCCCGCCAGCGTACGAGGTACTGGTAGCCACGGCCTCGTTTGCGGCGATCGAGAATGCTCTCGATCTCCCATTCCTCCTGACCGTCGTCAGTAACGAAGGGCGCGGGCCGAGCGAGTTCGCGTCCGGGGAATAGAGAAGGATCGTTTCGCCTATAGGGACGCAAGAGCGAAGAGTGAAAGGTGTCGAAGATGTTCATCGCCTCGGGCAAGTCGAGCTTGTAAGAGGAAGTATCGGGGTGCGCAACGGCGACTCGGAAAGGTCCGTCGTATCGCACCATGAACTTGGCGACACGATGATCACCGCGTTGCATGTAATCCCGTCGACGATGGAAGGTTGAGAGCAGAACAGGGTCACCCACGGAATAAGGTAGCTCCGGTGAGCGATGGACGTTAGCATTCGCTGCTTGCTGCGTCTTCGCGAGGAGCAAGTTGTCCTGCGCCTCCATGCAGTAGGACTCGATGCGCTTGATAAGATACGACGCGTCGCCCGCTGAGAGACCAAACTCAGCAGACGCGTCGGAAACCGCGCGATCGAAGAGAGGCGGCAGCAATCGGGGAGAGCGTCCGAGACGGATCTGGAAGGGCGTGAAACCCGTGGATGCGCTGACGGTGTTCATGAGTTGGAAACGGATGTGGGGCAGCGCTTTAACCCATCCCTTCTGCTTGCGGGTAACGTGGTAACGCAACATCTGGATGACCGTCCGGTTGGAGCGCTCGCTTGCACCGTCGGTCTCGGGATGGTAAGAGGAGGAAAGCTTGACTTTGACGCCAGTCAGGCGGTGGAGCGCCTTCCAGAACCGGGAGACGAAGAGTTTGTCGCGGTCGGAAATGATTTCGGAGGGTAGGCCGTTTTCGCAGTACCAATGGATGAAGAAAAGCTCGGCGAAGTCCTCCGCAGAGATATCAGTCCGCGTAGCGACCGCACGCAGATCGGAGCCGAGACGGCAAGTCATTGTCGCGATACAGTCGTACCCATCGTCTTCAGGGAGCTTCCCGATGAAATCGATGCACACACTGGTACCGCGTCCATCGGGCACGGGCAGAGGATGCAGTGGGCCGACAGGCTTGATGTTGAGCGATTTGTTCCGCTGACAGGCGTCGCAAGAGGGGACGTAGAGGTCCTCGAGATCGCGCCGCATATTGGGCCAGTAGTACGCGTCGCGCAGGGATGCGTACGATTTGTCAAACCCGAGGTGCCCGAGAGCATCATGAGCGAGGCGGAACAGACTCTCGCGAACATCGGCGACGCGAGGTATCACCAGCCTGTCGCCGACGAAAAGGAGGCGATCGCGCACAGACACACCGGCAAGCGAGCGTCCGTCGAGTTCGCCCTTCGCAAGCAGAGCCGAGGGCGTCCCACTCAGACCCTGCGTTAGCGAAGCGAGCAGCTTACCACACCACTTGTCAGTCGCGTACCCATCCCGGATGGTGGTCAACCATCGAGGATCAGAAGAGATACGCAACCGACCAGGTGTGGCTGCCACGAGTGCGAGAGGTCGGTCGCGAAGCGCTGTAGACGCTTCACGCAGCACTCGCACAGACGCGACGAGAGACGGGTCCACCACCTCTGCATCGGGGGCGAGGCGCGACAGGGCATCGGCCACTGAATTGTCCTCGCCCCGCACATAGAGCACCCGGAAGTCGTACTGACTGAGGAACTCCTGCCAACGCGCTTGTCGACGGGACAAGTGCCGTTGACCGGCAAAGTTCTCCAACGTGCGATGGTCTGTGTAGACCTCAAACGGCACACCAATGAGGTCGGTACGCCAACGTTGGAGAGCGTGCACGATTGCCAACAGTTCCTTCTCGTGCACGGGATAATTTAACTCAGCACCTTTGAGTTGACAGGAGTCAAACGCGACAGGTCATCAGCAAATCCGTCCGTTTGTCTAACACCTTCTAATACCGTCTAAAACACCTAAATTCAGACAATTAGGCATATCAGACGATTCAGACACGAGCAGTCAAGTTAGTAGATTCCTCTCTAAAACGAGACAGGTTTAGACACTTTGAGGACCCTCAGAGTCTCAGACTGCCCGGAATTTCGAGACGTTTCAGACACGCCAGACACAATAGTATAAAAGTAAATATATTCAAACTCAACACCTAATCTACTACGCCATCCTGCTGTGTACCGATAAGTACGCCGGGTGCGACAAGCACAAGCTCACAGGTCGCACAGGCCACGGCGCTCAACCATCTGTTGCAGGTGCGCAACAATCAAGCGGTTGGAGCCAACTGCCAGGGCGCTCGGGCCCAGTCGTTATCATCTTCGCGCTGTGTCACTGGGCGGACACATCGTGAGCGCTGGGAGCAAGGGGACAAACATCGTACAGTGTAATACGCACCAGGTGAAGTCAACGGAACAGATGAGCGTCACCTGCTGGTGATGTTTGGCCAGCATTGAGGTCACACGCGGCGTTTGAGGCGGTTGCGCACAGCGGGCGTGCCGCAAAACAGCGAGAAGGTTGGTTTTGATAACAAGATCTACGACAACTTCTTGAACCTCGTGTGGACGGCGGAGCCCAAGGGTGACGGGGGCGGCGAAAGATGGCCGCGTTCGGGAGGAGACTTCATGTCGAGCGAGGGCGGTGGGCAAAGCCGCGAAATGCACGAGCGAGGGCGGGTGCGAGCGCGCGGGAGATGGCGGTCGGCGGGAGTGTTCGAAGGGAGAGGGAAGGTCGAACGAGGGCGAAGTGGGCACGGCGGGTAGAACCGCGTAACGCACGAGTGAGGGCGGGTGCAAGGGCGTGCAAGACAGCAAGTGACGCGCACGTTCGGACGGGGGAGGTGCGTCAAGCGAGGGTGAGCGAGCAGAACGAGAGGGCGAGAAAGAGGAAGATGGACGGTGGAGAGCTGAGGCACTCACCACAGTCGTTTGAACCCTGAGTCTCCTCTCCTCTCTACCAATCACCCTGCTCGTCTCTTCGCGGTGGGTTGGTGCTGGTTGATTGGCCGAAGGGTCCTGCGAGGCGGTCTTGCAGGCGCAAGACGCGCGTTTCGTGAGCGTGGCGTGCGGGCCCTTGTCCGCGTCTGCTCTTGCGTGCGTCGAGCCGGTCGGTGCGTCGAGCTTGCGGGTGCGCTGGACCTCGTCCGTCCGCGTCGGGCTTGTCGTCGCTCAGAGTCAGAGGGCGCGGCGGCGAGGAAGAGAGTCCAGACGGCAACGCAGTCATGACGTGGCAACGGGAGGTTTAGGGCAGGCTTCCACCGGAGTTTGCCATCGGTCGGCGGTACCTGCGCGCGCACGCTAAGTCCACTTGCCCTTGGCCTGCCCTCACTCAAGTACTCACCACTTGCTCACCGGTGCGCTCACCACCCGCCCCGGTCTCCATCACGAGCTCTCACATTGAGTTCGCTCCAGTCGAGCGTGCCTGGATGCCCGTGGGAATCGCGTTGAGTGCGCTTGATTCTCGCGTCGACCTCGACCTCCCCGCCTTGCAGCCTTCGAGCAGACCACGGTTCCCGTGCATCTCGCAGCTGCCTGGTCCCCGCTGACGCCTCAGACGAAGACCGCCGCGCACTCGTCCAGACTCCGGGCCACTAACGATGGGACTCGCGAGGAGAGGACGCGCGCCCGCGCACCGCACTGCGGCCAGTCCGCCCGCGTCGTCACGCCGCTGTAACACGGCCAAGCCCAGGCGCGTTTCGTGCCGCGAGCTCGAGGCGGCCGCGCAAATTGCGCTGACAAGCACACCGACTCGGAGGGACCGCGAAACGGCACTCCCCGCAAGTGCGATCTGTCATGAAGTCGTGTGTGGGTCCTCCGAGGTTGGAAGAGGGGCCCGGGCTGGGTCGGCACTGCGAAAGGACGTGCGCAAGCCCACGTACTATAGTATTGTAGTATTGTATCTGGGTACTAGTAATGTCAATACATGATGTTGCCTTGAATTCGAGCACGATTCAGAGACATGGGGTGAAAGTCTAGACGAGACTTAGACAGGTAAGGTATTTTAGACAAAAATTAGACGGGCTAGACACATTTAGAGGGTTAGGGCCTGTCAGACAAATCACAGCTTTGCTGATGGTCGCGCAGACTCCAGAGTCTCCCCGTAGGACAGGACAGCACCGGTGCAGAAGTCGCTTGCGTCGGTCGACATGAAGATGCGATTGCTCCCCATATTAGAATGATCAATAACCGTGAGGCACTCACGACTAGTGACGACCGCCTTGATAGCCTCAAAAGCCGCAGTATGGGAGTCGTTCCAGACGAATGACTTCTCCGCGTCTTT